CCGCCCCCCCCCCCCCCGCCCCCCCGCCCGCCCCCCCCCCCCCCCCCCCCCGAGAAGAGGAATCTGTGGAGGAAGGTTGAGTCGCGCAGTGATAGGGTCACATCGTCGTTGGATGAAGATGGTGTTTGACAGACCAAAGAGTAGGAGGCAGCCAATACCTTTGAGCACGAGCCGATTTAGAGGTGGGAAGAGCTTTGTGCTGTTTCAAGCTACATTTCGGCGATGTGGAACTATTGTAGACCACGAACATATAGCACTGCCAATGCGCATTTGTTTGAACTCTTCTTTTAGTATATAGCGCCGTGTGCTTCAGTCGCAAGAGGCGATTTTGATTCAACAATCTTGAATGATACTCTGGGGCAACGATAAAAGCCCGAGAGTGAATGGATTTGACGACTGCAGGATCTGTGGTTCATTGAATTCTGCTTAGACAAGGTTGCAAACTCATCAAATCGCATCTAGAATAGTATTTATGCACTAAGAGCAAAAAAGCATTCGCACCCAAATCTAGAGACCCAGGCATTTTCACAAGCTATTCTCAAGCTCAACGACCTCTTTTAACATGTCCTTGTACTTGGCCACATCCTCCTGAGACGGCTTTGGCAGTGGTCGTCTAGCAATACCACCATAGCCATACCAAGCCTCAAGACCTGCCTTTGTACCTACTACACCACCAGATATGACAGCCCAGTCGCCTCTGGCCACAATAGCCTGCAACTTCTGTGCTTCAGCTACCTTGCCAGCTTTGTAGAGATCAAAAACCCTGACACAAGCCTTGGGTACAACATTGCCAAGTCCCGTAATAATACCACTACCACCAGCGATCAGTGTCTGTAGGGTGAAGTCTGCGGATCCGCCCATACACATCCACCCTGAATTCTCTGACGTCGATGTTGCAGCATTGACTGCAGAGGCGATCCGAGCGAGCTTTCCAGTGTTACCACATGTAAGCTTGCAACCGACAATTTTGGGATGCTTCGCCAAAGTGGTGATGTGATCACTGCTCAGATCTATGCCTGCCACTGCGCCTGGATAATTGTAGATAACAATTGGAATTGGTGATTCATCTGCTAAGTTCAGGAAGTAATCCAGCAGCACCTTGTCAGTGTATGCTGCCTTGTAGTATGAGGGTGGTAGGACTAAAGCGTAGTCGCCTCCCGCATTGTAGGCGTCTTTGCAGAGAAGAACACTTTCCCGAACAGATTGTGCTGCACAGCCAACGACGATAGGGATGTGCTCGAATCCTGCCGAGTCTAGGGCTTGCCGTACGGTAGACGTTACGAGACTTCGTTCCTCCCGGGTGAGATGTACAGCCTCGCCATTCGAGCCTTGGACAGTCAAGGCAGTCAGGCCTGCTTGCGCCAGACGAATAGCATGTTTCTTAGTAGCCTCGATGTCTATGTCTTCTGTTTCTGGATGGAAGAAGGCCACGAGTGGAACGTTGATTCCTGCTTTCAAGGGCCTCGGAGGTCTTGTGCCATTTGTGCCGTTCATATTATCTACCTTTTGATTGATATTAGAGCTGCAATATTGGTCACGACTTGACTTCTGATCACTTCAATATGCCTTGTGCGGAAGATAGATCGTGTATAGGCCTTACTCCCAACCTGATAGCCAGAGGGTCAATCGAGTTTTGACAAGAGGGATGTCCCACCAGTTTTGCAAACCGCTGCCATTTATACCACACGGGTCTTTGTCTAGCGAGAGCAGGGTATATCGTTGACTCCAACGCCGATGTTCAGTTGTGGAGAGTTTACGTGGGATGGACCTGATAGTGAAAGATTTGGCCGGTCATAGCATGGTTGTGTGTATATTTGCCGGCTCCAGAGCCAGATCTCGGCGGTCGCGATACTCCGTCGCAGTTCCCACGTTTTGAGAAGTCTAGAAAGTTATTAGCCATTCACTGACAGTGGAAGGCGCTCGCAGTCGTTCTCTTGCCCGTTGACATTCGAGCGGAATATGCTGGTGCGAGTCCCCAATCTTCCGGACTCGCCATCCTCCGAAGATGATGTTCCTCGCAGTGAAAATGGCTCCAGTCCGATTACCCCAGAAAAAGTCTCTTCGGCAAGTTTTAGCCCGAAGCGTATTTGTCCTGCCTTCTTCGCAAAAGTTCCGCCAGAGGTATCTCATCTTCGTCGTAGAACTCGACCTCTTCATCGACGCCAAAATCATCAAGACGGTTTCCACCCGAATCTTGCCAGCCTTCTTCGCCGCTTGTAGAGTCTTCTTCCTGGGCGATATTGACCTCGAGCGACGAAGATGCATTAGATTCGTACCGCTTATGAAACACTTTGCGTCTTTCTACATGACCAAATCTGCGCTGATAATCGTCCTCCTGTCGACGTCGGAATGCCTCAATCTCCTCGCGACCTGTCAGACCAGCATGTTGCACTGTAAAAGCGTCCATGCTTTCTGGACCACGCTGGATTCGGGGCATTCTATCAGGATCTGGAGGTGGCCAGCTCGTTCCTGGTTCTTCAAACCCATTAGTGTCAAACGTCAAGCCGTCCGTGTTAGGTGATTGAGCAAAAGGGGAGAACCATGCTATCGGATTACTGGAACCCATGCCAGCGCAAATGTTGCGCCAGATACCAATGTCATAAGGAAACTCTTGCCTAGTGATTCGGATCTTTGTACCATCGGGACCGTCCAGGTAGCCGCCAAGGACTCTTGCTCTGCGTAGTAGTTGCTCGTGTCGTTCGATTTCCCAGCCTTCGATCGTAGAGACATTGCAGCATAAAGCATACAGCGATCTGAAGAAGGTGACTCCAACCAAAAAAAGGGTCAGGGTATTCACTATGACAAGCACAAATAGGAGAACAAGCTGGGTAACGGATGGTCCAAGATCCTGGGCTCAGGTCAGCTTTGATCACGAGTAGTTACTATGTCCTTACGTAACGAAGATTCCTGCTTTCCCAGATCGCGGCGGCTCGATCATACAATAGACGTTCCAGGTATGTCATGGATGCAACAGCATACAGCAGGAATCTCATAAAGTGTGGGAAAGTAAAGTGGGATACACAATTCGCAGTCCATGGACAATGATGATCCTGAAGTGGGATACATCGTTTGCAGACTTTGCAATGATGTGACCTCGGAGGCTTGAGGATACCGCACTTACGACAATGTCGCTGTCTGGTCATCAAACCCTCAGCATCGTCACGGAAGCCTTCTGGTTTCCAGTCGGCAGGTACTCGTCCTGGATCTGTAAGAACTGCTCGTGCATAGCAGATCCATATAGCTACGACCAAGGTATTAAAGACCACACGCTCCTGAGTAGTCAAAGCACCTGGCTTGAGACTAGGGAATACTAGCTGTGAAACGTATGCCAAAAACGCGATGAGTACACAGACACCAGGCACTGCCAAGCGCTGCAACGTCTCAGGCGTCATGTTCTGGTATGTGTATCGTCTGAATCAAATGTAAAAGGCAGATTGGCCTCGTCACGCGTGACTGACACGCTAAGGCAACGCGTCTGCTTCGGTGCACCTGCCTTCTATCTAGGCCACGTCTCGAATGATTTCATTTCTTCGCCATCATTGCAGTCTTCGACGTCTGCCAGTACTTTGTTCATGTTATTCTGATTTAATGCCTAATATTGCTGCACTATCTGAAGGAGCTACGCGTGCCATAACATCGACTCTCGTTCTTAGTGATGCTGTTTCTGTTACAAAAGAATTGATTGATAATGCTCTGGACTCACGCGCGACCAACATCGTTATAGAAATCTCTGCGAACACCTTAGATACCATTCAACTGAAGGACAATGGCACTGGAATTGGGGTCGAAGACAGACAGCTGCTTTGCAAACGTGGCTACACTTCTAAGATCAGAACTTTCGAAGACCTGACTCAACTTGGTGGCAGTTTTCTGGGCTTCCGTGGAGAAGCGCTTGCTAGTATAGCGGCACTGAGTCAATCAGTTCAGGTTACGACTCGGGTCGATGGTGAGGTTGTTGGTACTCAGCTCAAGTTTGATGCAGCTGGCAAGCTTGTAGGGTAGGCCTTACTCATTTCCTTGTTTATTTCCATGTTATGACTCTTCCAGTTCTTCTTCCGCGTCACATGGCACCGGCACTACTATTCGAGTTTCAGACTTTTTGCAAGGCATTCCCGTACGGAGACAAACTGCTGTAAAACAAGCCACGAAGACTTTGGCGAACGTGAAAAGATTGCTGTTTGATTATGCTTTCGCAAGACCAACAGTAAGATTTCAGGTCAAGGTTCTTAAGTCGAAAAGCGACTTCAAAGACAATTGGTCTTACGCACCTTGCAAAGATGCCACAAATCTAGCTCTTATGACATCGAAAATCTCAGGAAAGGACCTTGCTGGACAGTGTCGTCAGGAGAGCATCTCTTCTGAAGATGGATATTATCATATTGATGCGTTTGTGCTAGCTGGTGCGACAGGTGCGTTCTAAACCAGATCACGATGGATGCAGAACGGAGAAGCTGACCTAACGTAGATGAGTTGTGGTCGCACTCAACTGAACAGTTTGCCTCAATCGATGGAAGACCACTCATTGCTGACAGAGGTTTCATGAAAGATGTTAACAAGATCTACAAGGCATACCTTCGCAATTTCCTTCCGGTCAAAGATTCCATGCCCAAGAAGCCTTTTCTCCTCTTGAGGTTACAATGTCCTAAAGGAGCTTATGATGTGAACGTCGAGCCAGCAAAGAATGAAGTGTTACTCAACGATGATGGAGTTGTGCTTCGACTGTTCGATAATCTTTGTCAGCGCGTATATGGCGAGAAGAACGAGCCGCAACCACCTACTCGCACGAGGGGAGGTGGATCCAGTATATGGGACAGTCCATCGTTCGAAATGTTGTTGGCCAAGAAGCCAGCTTCGTTGGGTACACCTAGTCCAAGAGAAGAACAGCAAAAGCCAGAACCAGCGACTGCAATGCGAGATGACGTTTCTCAGAGTCTTAGGCAAGTAGAGAACAGTAGCAGCTTAGCAGCTCAGTCGAAGCTTAACGTGCACCGCAATATGTACGACCAGCTTCATGATGGTGTAGGCACCACTGAGGACAAAGAAAAAGGTGGCGATGATTCCATTCTCACGGAAGAAATGGAAGAAGCCTCGGTCATGGATCCTCAGGTCACAAATCCATTCACATTGGCTAAGGTGAATGCACGTGTCCAGCCTCGTTCACAGGACACCTCTAATGTACTTGACGTGCAAACATCGCCTGATGACCCAACCAGGAAGAATCAACAAGGAGTTCTAGGACACTCGCCTGGCCTTAGATTAGATGCACAGAAGCAGTATCCGACTGAACTTCCATCCCCGAGCGCATCACCAGAACGTCCACTGCTGTACCAGAATCCTGGTCCTCCTCTGCGACCATGGAAGAAGGGTACAGCACCAGACTCTACGATGGAAGCGTCAACGCCTCTTCGGCCACCACTAGACAGCACAACTCAGGCGACACATCCAACGTTGTTAGACTCCTGGACGAAATCTGTGAACACCTTGTCGCTGAACCAACATCAAGCGAGTCTTGGTATAGTCAATAGCTCCGACCCCAGCGAACCATCTTCACCTCTGGCAAAGGCACGTTCAAAGAACTTAGAAAGACGCGCACCAGCTAATGCAAGCCCTAACCCGCCTCGATTGCTTCAGCAGAGACCATTCAGAACACCTTTTCGAAGAGACATAGATGTGCGAACAGTGTCTCCTGTACAAAATCCACAACTGCCACCGAGTCCGCACAGTACGCCAGGGCCAGCTCCCAGCAATATGTCATCATCTCCTTCTCGAAGCCCGCGACTGACAGGACCAGAATTGCCGGGGTTTAGTAGACCTAGTCTGGCACTCTCCACTGAGCTCGACGATATAATGGATTTTGAGCACCGAAAGAGAGCATCTGTCCTCCAACATCGAAGTCGTCACAGACAGACATCGACCGACACCTCGACAGCAGGAGCGATGTCAGCGAAAAATGTAGACAGTTCGAATTCTCTTCAAGCATCAGCAGTTGGCTATGTTCCATCTGAGGAAGCGATTACCGACCGCAGTTCTTACGCATCCAGATTCGCGTCGGACAGGACAGACGTTGAAGACATACCCAAACAACCAAACTCGGCTTCATATACACAGAATCCTTCACAAAACCGATATCGAAAATCCATCCGTTCCCTCGACGAGTTGATCGAAAGTTCTTCTGGCAAGGAGAGTGCTCGCTACAATGATCAAGCTCGAGTTCAAGCTCTAGAAACGAATGCAATAATAGAGCAAAGGCTACAGCAGCCTGAGAAACAGCACGACAAGAAGGGAAGAACTAAAATATCCAAATTACCATTTGAAGCCATATCTGCTGCTACCACAACATATACCTTGGTAGCAGTCATGCAGGATATCGGTAGGACCAAGCCAGAGAATCTGGCAAAATCTGCTGCAACAATGGCGCACATCGATCCGTATATCACGACAGGACTAATAGATCTAGCATTTTCTGATTCTGATTCACGTCAATACATTTTGCACACTTACGAGCAAGATGTCAGGATTATGCTAGAACGGAGGAAAACGTCTTGAATGGCTAGTGTGTCAGCTGATATCGATTACGCAAGCCTTGAGCTCGTGTGTTCGTTAACATGGAAGTCGTATGCCCTTTCTCTCGTTTGTAGCTCCGAGAAGGTCCTAGATCGCTCAACCCTGCCAGATGAACGAGTTTCAGGTTTGATAGCGTGCTTCGTGATCTAATTTACAACCTCACGCGTCTCGGTGCACACACAGCCTCGTTCAGGTGTCGTATGAAAGGTCTAAACTCTAGCGCACCATCAGCAATCTGGAAGAAGAACGCCCTCTATGTGGTGCTCCAACACCTACCTACGATGGACACTACTTGTTTTTGAGTTTCTTCACCGCGACAGCATCTTGCACCTCACAGCGATACAAGTCTCTTCCCTCGCGCAAGCATTATCTCGTTCCGTTCATCGAATTCATCGGTTTGGGACCAGGTCTGGTGAAACTAAGCTCTTCGTAGTAAGATTGAAATGTGGATACTAACCCGCCAATGTGGCCATTAGCGCTGTTTAATGCACGATGTCGTCACCCGTGCCAAAACGTTTTGACCTTGTTTTGTGTTATTTTCAGGTTTGATGTGTTATATTCGTGTTGCTTAATGTGCGAATCGTCAGCAGCAAGTTTGAGCTCGTTTGGTAGTGCACAGATGAAGCACATGGATTGACGCTGCCCATTTCCTGTGTGCTTGTTTGCGCACGAAGCTTGCATATTGCTTGGGTCGTGCTTGCCTTGATCCACCACGATTTGCAGCTCCACCCCAATTTCCAGTATTGTCAACTGCCAACTTCCAACACTCTTCTTCACCACATTGCTTGGCCAGTTTTCGATTCCTGGTCAATTTCTCCTGCTGTTAGCAGTAATCTCAAGCCGTTCGAATTACAGGATTGTCGCCTTCGTCACTCTCGATTGAGGTTACAATGATGGGCGGGCAAAAGGAGCCTCACAACGAAAAAATCCAACCATCACCACATAACCCATCGCAACGACACGTCTTACCGACATGGATGGAAGACGGAAGGCTTGTGACGAAAGGTGTTAATCCTGAAGGTGAATCTGGACGGTCGGGGTTCAGACCGTCACACTTCTTCGGAGTAGCATGGTATGTAAAACCCAATGGATACACGTTTGCAAGACAATCTAATTCGTGTCTTCCCAGGAGGAACTCGAACACGTTATCGCGATGGGTGAACATCCTGTGGCCTTTTGTGCCTGCCGCAATTGCGGTGCACTTCGCTATTCCTGAACGACACGGTACAATCTTCGCTATCAACTACATTGCCATGATACCTTGCGCCAACATGTAGGGTTCACACCAAACCACCTTGGCTTCTGACTGATGTCTCTAGGGTCGGTTTCGCTGGTCAAGAATTAGCTCGCAAACTTCCGCGCGTCTATGGCATCCTGGTCGAAACTACCCTCGGTAGTGTCGTTGAAATTATTCTGTTCCTTGTCTTGGCCACCCGAGCAGTCCACAATGAGGAGTATATACAAGTTCTTCAAGCTGCAATATTGGGAAGCATATTGACAAACCTTCTCCTCTGTCTAGGCTTTTGCTTCCTGGTTGGTGGTATCAAGAACAAGGTCGAGCAGAAATTCCACAGTGTCATTAGTGAAACTGGTTCTGGAATCTTGTTAGTGGCGGGTTTTGGACTGCTCATTCCTTCAGGCAAGTGAATGTGTTCAACAGTGACCACGCCGCGACTAACTCCTTGCAGCCTTTTTCTCTGCATTGTCCGGCACAGCCACGAATGTTAACCCTAGCACTAACACTCGCCGAGCAGAAGGCGGATCAGAGCCACTTATTGCCTATACTATGGAACAACTTTACCATGACACGCTTGGCATCTCTCACGGAACCGCCATCATTCTCATGGTCGCCTTCATCGTCTACATCTTCTATTCTGCTTTCAGCACACATTCTGTCTTCGATGAGATCCTTGCCCAAGATCAACAGATGGACAACGATCGTCATCGCGATAATGCCAAGAAGAAGTTCACGCTTTTCGAGTGTGTGCTTGCCATCGTCATCTCGCTTGCTTGTGTTTCTCTCGTCGCTGTCTTCCTTGTTGAGCAGATTCATCACGTCGTTCGCGAGCGACACGTTCCAGAAGCCTTCCTCGGTTTCATCCTCGTTCCACTTGTCGAGAAACTTGCCGAACACATAACAGCTATCGACGAAGCTTACGACAACCAGATCAATTTCGCCCTCTACCACTGTATCGGTCCCTCCGTCCAGACAGCACTCTTCAATGCCCCTCTTGCCGTGATTGTGGGATGGGGCCTTGGAGTAGAGATCAGCCTCAACTTCGAGATCTTCATGATTGTCCTTCTTGTCTTGAGTATCCTGGTGGTGGGTAATTTCCTAAGAGATGGCAGTTCTAATTATCTGGAGGGAGCACTACTAATAGTAGTATATGCGATCATTGCACTAGCAACGTGGTTCTACCCAACGCGGCTTCTAGGGAGCACCAAAGGAGTGCAGGCAAGCTCCTAGAAGGGGAACAAACGTGCGCAGCAATGCCATACTGAGAATCCAAAAGGAGGAGTTTGTGAGAATGTCTTTCGACTTAGGTGAACAAATGGGTCAGGGACAAAGAGATTCCTGGGTTGAGTGGGGTGTTCAGATTGTGCAACAACAAGTAATTCTTGGGTTTATTTGGGCTTTTCATTCAGGTATTCAAGCAAGCGAGGTGTAAAAGGGTTGCACAACAAAATCAAATGCTGAACAGGCGGAGTTCATAGCTGCACTACGAATTTTCTTGATCTTCTCCTCAGTTAATCTCGAGTCTACTAAACAACCAGAATGGTTGGTGTTATGTTCACATTTCTTCGTCAGGCAACCTTACACAATACTGATCCTACAAAAGCTTCACGAGTACCCCCAAAATCACGTCATGCTCCACGCAGGAAAAAGACTGTTTTGCTCGTCAGAACGGGTGGTGTACATATTAGTAAAAGCTATCTAATCCGACAGCTACATATATTGCTTTCGCGAACCAAGTCACTCAAACACACAAGTTTCCTCCAAGCTGCCTACCTGCCTACCCAGACAATCCGTAAAGCCTCGAATATTCACACACACATGATATATCAACCTACTACGCCCAGGCCATGCCATGCTATTCAAGACATCTTTTTTGTAGTCGTACTAATCAATCAATCATGTCACATTGGACCTGCCATTCCCATTTCCACTATTCCTAGTACTCCCGTCAAGATTCCACGAAATAGTCCTTCCGCCTAATAATGTTGTACCACCACTATTGCGACCCGTTAGAGAAGACTGCTCCTAGTAGTCCTCGTCTCTATATGGTTCGTAGCCAGCCCTATTAGTAACATAAGGAGCTGGAGATACGCTCTGGCCACGCAGGTTTATGAGCGGTAAGCTGGCCGTGCTTGGTCGGCGGTAATTGCTCATTTGGCTGTTCATGCCGGTGCGTCGTCGCTCTTGCTCAAAGTCGCCCCATCGCTTCATGGTGATCTTGGAGCTGTCGAATTCGCCTTCTAGCTCTATGCCGTGGCCGCCCTTGGTGTCACCTGCTGTCTTTCGTGTGTCGCCCCAGCTGAAGTCGTCGAATTTCCAGTAGGCGTAGACTGGGAGGACGAAGTTCCAGATTGGGAGGGAGACAAGGTAGATCATCATCCAAAGGACGTAGGACCATCTATGGGCAGTGAGGACGATGAGGACAGCTGGTAAACCAAGGATGAGTCCTAGCAAGAGCAATGGAATGATTGGAACTGGTTTTGCGACAATCGAGATGATGATGAGGTAGACTGTGAATGAGATAGCCGCAGGAAGGACCAAAGTACCGATGAGTTCGATGAAGACAACGAATTGCATGCTGAAGCAGAAGGTGCCGCACAGATCTCGGACGAGAACCAGTTCCATGAGATTGTGGACAGTGGAGTTGATCCATCGTCGACGCTGCGACAGAAGCACCGAGAACTCTTCAGGGACCGTCGTCTTGCACACGGCTTGTGGTACAAAGACTTGCTTTCGCTTCGGGAATGTTTTCAGCATAAGAGTCGACAGGAACCGATCCTCACCCAGAAGCAACAGATTCTTCTTGTGAAGTGTATCGACGACGTTCTCAGAGTAGTGCTCTACAACATCGGGATTGGCAAGAATCGGGACCCAGTAGTTTTGGCCTCCTTTCGGCGACTTGATCCGATACATACAGAAGCATCCGGGCAGGCAGGTAACACCACCGAATACCGACTCGAAGGACTTCGACAAGTGGTGCGAAATAAAGTATTCGAACACTTGAATCATAGAGACCCAACTTGCCCTTTTGTTCGCAATCTTGGTTTCACCACAAAGACCCATGACTTCTGGATCCTTTACCATGGCGCTGATCATATGTGTCAAACTGTCGGGAAAGACCTTTGTATCGGCATCAACCATGAGTACAGTCTCGTAGAAGTCGGGAGACATGCCGGTGACCTTCCAAATACCATTGAACATTTCGAATTCGAGCTCGGTCATTCGCTCATCGAACATAACCTTCTGCAAGAAGGACATGAGAATGATCTGGCTGTCACGTTTTCCTCGGTTACCAGGCTTGGATTTTCCTTGCTCTTCTGGGGTGCCGCATTTGGTGATGAGTACCATGGGTACGCGCTGTTGCTTGTCACGCGCGATTCTTGATTTAGCACCGTAGTCGTAGAACCCTGAGTAAACCTTGGCCATATTGTGACGCTTCGACCCGCTAGCGACAGCCACGTAAGAATATGCTTCTACGTCTTCAGGCACGACCGTAAAGTCTCCCATCATACCCAGCACGATGTCTGGAGTGGAAAGAGCTTCGCCTTTACCTTTTATCAGACCGTCACATATGACTATTATGACCTTGTGGCTATTTGGATAGTCTGTGGTAGCAATCGAGTCTAGTGTTGTCCTGATACCATCCTCTCCTTCTGAGTATGCTGTGACAAGACACATGGTGTGACATAGAGGATATCCGAAAGGCTGATAATCTGGTGGAGGCTGTGGAACGACATCAGCATGAATGAAGCTGTTCATGACAACATTGTCGTCGATCATTTGTGATAGACGCTGATCACCTAACATCAAACTCGATCTGCTGGCAGCCACACTCATGCGACCTCCGGACGGATCAAGTGTTGCCGAACTTATATTGTATCCACCCTTGTACATCATGCTAGTAGGCCTCGACTGGGTAGTCATAGTCGTCAATTGCTGTCTAGAAGGCCTGCGATCATGTGCATAAGGACTAGTAAATCGCGAAGTGGAAGGCAGCATAGTGCTAGCACGTTTGCTTGTTCGACCGTCGGATCCAGAAACTGTGCTATTCGGGTCAGTGATCTTCGGAGCCGGTGTGTAGATGTCTTGTGTCCATTCCTCAATCTGCTTGGCACGCTGCTTGGGATCTGATGTTTGTGACGTTTTTGCGGCAGCATACTTTCGAGAGAAGAACCATTGGAACAACAACGCCAAAAGGAACTTGACAAGTACGATGGCCAGAATGAAGAAGAGAGAAACGTAGAGCACGACTTTCGAGGCGATGCAGCCAACACTCTCGGTATCGATAGAGCCCACCCTCATGGTCTGCTCAAGACATCTTACCATCTGCCTGTCTTCGGCTGACTGGAAGACATGGGTAGTGTCCTGTCCACGAGTCAAATTATTGTTTCTGAGGTCGTCAAATGCGGATGGGTATGTGACCTGAGCCGGATCAAGCCATCTGACCAAGTCCAGATCAATGACGGAATTGCCATAGACCATGAGGTTGCGACTGCTGTTCTTCACATCTTCCCAAGTGAAGTATACTTCACCAGACTTCTTAAGATTGTAGAAAGCGTTTCGGGCGTTGGAAGTTGTGTGGCAAGCATAGCCCAGATATGTCATGTTGTCATAGCCAAAGTCTGCGTCGCCTGAGCCATCCTGGTTAAAAGCAGTGCAAGGAAAATACCAAGCCAGACTGCCGTCACTATTGGAGGGTATGTTCGAGTTTGGCGCCTTATTGATCAACCCTTTGCATTCACCGTTGACTTGTTGGAACATGAAACTTCCATCCTGACCACCATACTTGTGTGGCAAGTCGTAGAGGACGTTACTGTCCAACGCAATGCCATCTGCAGCAGGATGATATGAATTGGCCAGGTTGTAGGCTGAACCATGGAAGATCATAAATCCTCTGTCGACTTTGTTGATAGCGAGTCGCAACCCAGGCCTTGCGCATACTGTTTGGGTGAAGCCAAAGGTCAAATAGCCGACAAAGGCAGCGATGAGTAGGATGATGCTAACCAAGCCGATCTTTTCTCTCCAAGCTCTTCTCTGTGCTCTCGCAGGCATACCGAAACATTTCAGGAGGAGGTTAGGAGCCCAGAAGGTGACAATAGCACAGTAGATGTTCCATACACTTGGGGGTTTGGCGAAGTCCTGCTCCTTCAGTCTCTGCTTCTCGATATCGGTGAGGACCGGTCGAGTATCCTTTCGCTGCAATTTGCCATCTTTTGGAGCCTTTTTTCTCGATATAGGATCCGAAGCTCTAGGTGCTTTAGCAGTGCGACCTCGACCACCTATTATGTCGTCTGAAAACGGCTTGAGACCGCTTCCTTCTGAGCTAATCGTCCGATGCTCATCGTCCTCTAACATGGGATCGTTGCCAGTGGTGGAGGGTAACACATCCATGTTTTGAGCATGCTTTCTGTAGTGGTAATTTGGATCATTACTATCTAGCCTCCTCCTGTCTGGCCTGACCAGTGATTTCTTGCGACCGAGGTCGGAGGTCTTCGAGGACATTATAAGGGCTCGATCGTCGGCTCGTGAGTGTGGAGAGTCCGGTGGCAGTGGTGGGCGGACGAAAGAATCTTGCGAATGCATAGAATATGTGCCCGTCTCGACATCCGAGTAGTTTGTGTATGTTCTGTAGGGAGCTCTCTCCCGCGTGGGAGAGGTGGTGGGCCTGGGCTTTGGCGGCGAAGGCATGGTGACTGTCCGGTGGGAAAAGACTGTCTGTGCGCTAACAGTTGAGCATTCCAATAGCAATCTATTGGCTGCTCATAAACCAGTCTTCCTCTCCTTTCGAAGTAACACTGTTGTATAGGCGAATAGGCAACCACAGTTTCCCAATTGATAGTAACTTTGGTTCTGAGTAGGGATGACCAAACAAGGGAAAAACGTGGTCTACTGCTGTCGTGCTGCAGGTTGCAAGCGGCCGAGTGTGTGAGAAGGAAACTCGTATACCGGGGTCAGCGAACGTGATGGTCGGCTGTATTCTGCTGGGTACGTATATCAGGCACGATGAATGCTAACGAATGTGTTGGTAAGTGACAAAAGCGAAGGTGAGTATGATTGAAGTGGCTCCCTTACAAGAATCGTTTGATGGTAAAAACGAACTTCGAGAAGGCGAAATCCTTGTTGCTGTCTCCCGAACAACATGTCGCAACGACGCCTCATCGAAGGGGCCACTAACTTTGGATCATTAGCTGCATTTGGTTCTCAACCCCTGGGAAGAAGTGCTCATGATAGGTTGCAGACATGCAGGCTGGGGTTTGCTTGGAGCTCTTGCCGCGCACTAAGAAGAATTTGTCCGGATGCTGATCGATTACAGTGTGGCACGATTGGCTCTCAATTGGGCAGTCTATTTTGGATGCTCTTGTTGTGGCAACTTATTCTATTGTTTGAACGTGAATTTGGCATTTCATCAGCCTTGTGCTGAGCAGTCTGTTGAGGACAATGATGCTCTATCGAACTACTGAACGAGATCCTCTTAATATCCACGCTTGAGAGCATTGAGGATTGCAACTGCAAATCTATTTTGAATGATGGTGCTTGTAGCGTGCTAAGCACTAAATGTGGCGGCACATTGGTAGATCTGCAAGAGCCGTTTCCGATCAGATCTGATGAATGACGAGACTCGAGACTAGCAATTCAGCAAAGCCTCCTTCTACAAATACGACTGCGAGACTTTCACATCTTGTGATCAAGCACCTCTTGCCTGCGGAAGAGGCGTGCAAGGAAAGGATGGAACACGAAATTTGAGACACGGTGCGGTTCCTTGCGAATAACATCTCTTCAAAATGTTCCATAGACTTGGCGGTACACTGGTATTGATGTGTTGGCCATATTGCACGTTTCGAGCAGGCTCGGACAGTGACACAGCTGGTCGGAAGCTTTTAATTAAGTGTCGTGTTCAATGTCTGGTGAGTTGTTGAGAATAAGTGAGGTTAATTATCACAGGCTTCTTTACAGTATGTTTGCGTGCATAACAAAGCGCGTTTAAATCACATTTTGTGTCTCGCATGCAATTTTTGCGTCTAGGAAGCGACCCGCGGAAAGAGTTACGGTCGTTCAAGCAAACTACCTCTTCGTTCCGATCACGCTATAAGGTCAAGTCTGATGATAGTTGTTTCAAGAGGAGAAAACAATGTTCCCTGTGTTTCACACAGTGTTGCTGGTAACGCTCCGTATTTGGTAGATCAGAAAGACCATAGGTTATGTTGTGCTCTTTTCTGTAAATCCTGGACAAGGATGTCTTCGTGGGTGTAAAGTTTGGGGAAAATGGCATGAGCCGAAGCTGGGACTGCCGGACCAGAGTACTGTAGAACTCTGTCAGTGATACCATCGTGCTTGCAAAGCTTCACCTGAATTGGTCGACCTTGCTGGATTACACTGTAACTGGGACTTCGTACATTGTCTTCTATCATTGCACTCAATGCGAATACTGCTTCACAAAGGTGACATGAACTTCAGGTCCCGCGAACGCTTGTTTACACTCAATATGCGCCCGTGCAGAAGAAGCGCGCGTCCCAGCAGGAAGAAGTGGTTTGGCAATTCCACTTATGCAAACTTCATGCAACACCCCTGAGCTGCACACTAATGCATGCCGGGCGGTGCACGTCATGCCCCACCCGGCTTCACTATCAAATTTTGAGAGGCAACGAGCACCAATCCGCCGCTCCGACAGGAAACACTCCCTTCCAACAATACTCGTACACTCGAGCTCCCTTCTCGCCTGCTTCGGTTGCGCTGCTCACCCGATCCACTCCTTGCCTCGTGCGCCCACGTTTGGTGTGACCCAGCTTTGTTCAGCAATCGAGAACCGCTGCTACTCGATCCTCCTCTCGTCATCGACGCTGTTTCCATATACTTTCGAAAGAGCTTGGGTGTTGACAGGTGACCACATAAAAGAGTGTGTCTATTGTGTTGAGAAGAGCTGCAATACTCCCACTATTTGGACAACGAAACGCTTGGGCCAGAAGCATTACCCTTCATGGCGCAAGCCGAGCCATCCTCATCACAGCCTTACCCGCTCACCCCTCCTGCACCTGTCTATTCCCACGCTCCAGTGCGCTCCCAAAGTCCTCAGGCAGACCCGAGATCCTTTCCCACGAGCAGGACGTCTAGTGGAAATGTAATGCAACTGAAGCACCTACCGCCATCGCCTGGTTATATTGAGCAGGCTGCTGAAAGAGGATCGTTTCCTCGAAGAGTACCCGTTCATCCCCAGATACACTTGCCAGACGATTCCACGTATGATGAAACAAGTGACAACAGTCATCCATCTCCAATACTGTCGCACTTTCCCCGGAAAGCCATCAACATGACCACATCGAGCCCTGACCACTCTCGCGCAGTCTCCACCTCCAGTCAGTTTAATCTACCTAGTCCCGCAAGGTCGACCTTCAATGAAGAGCCTCACCCAGAAATTAACGAGCCACTGCAGTATCACCATATGCAAGACCCAGACATGGCTAAGCGGATTTCGAGGTTGACTCTAGAAACTACCGGCTCAGCCAATTCCAACAACGAACCCTCGACCCAGCACATACGGCACAGTTTCCTCGGCGCTGATTTACAACGTCCCGATTCAGGCTTCTCGTCTCAATCAGACCAGAGGGGCAGGACTCTTTCACCTCGTTTATCGCCCCAACGCCCCAGCTCAAGGCAATCTCGATCGCCTGACAGCAGACCATTGTCCTACGTTGATCTATTGAACGTCCCATACCCTCAACCTGGACCTTCGGGCACCGAAAACCTGGTCAACCAAGGCCTACGTAATGTTGTGGGTCAAAACGCTTCACTTCTGTCCACTCGAAAGACCCTAGACATGTACAGAATGAACGTGAAAAAGACCAACGATCCTGCTGTGCAGTACGACTTTGCCATCTTCATGATTTCGGCCGCGCAAGAAGAAGGTCTGGAACAAGATGATGAATCGGTGTCTGGCACCTCCCAGAAGTCTGCCAATCCTCCTGTAAGGTCTGATCTACTCAAGGAAGCCAAACACATCCTACAAAAATTGTCTGATAGATCGTATCCCTTCGCACAATATTATTTAGCCGACGGATATGCCTCTGGTCTCTTTAACAATGGCAAGCCTGACCTTGAGCGTTCATTTCCCCTGTTCCTGGCCGCTTCGAAACATGGCCATGCGGAGGCCATGTACAGGACAGCTTTGTGTCACGAGTATGGGTGGGGCTGTCGGGTGGATGCAGCAAAAGCTGTTCAGTTCTACCAACACGCAGCCTCTAAAAACCATCCGGGTGCCATGCTTCGTCTGGGTCGCGCTTGTCTTACAGGCGAGATGGGGTTGACCAAACGTTATCGTGAAGGTATTCGTTGGTTGAAACGCGGTAGTGAAAGTGCGGATTTGCAGTATAACCAAGCACCTTATGATCTCGCCTGTCTTCATGAAGAAGGATACGGTCCCGACGTCTTCAAAGATGAATCTTACGCAGCACAACTGTACACCAAGGCAGCTGATCTCGGCCATAAAGACGCATGCTTCAGGCTTGGTGAGGCATACGAATATGGTCAGCTGAACTGTCCGAAAGACCCTTCCTTGTCCATCCATTTCTATACCGGTGCCGCCGAACAAGGTCACCCACAAGCGCAGATGGCCTTGTGTGCATGGTATATGATCGGTGTTCCTGATGTGCTCGAGAAAGATGAAGCAGAAGCATATGAGTGGGCCAAGAAGGCAGCGGAGAACGGTTTACCGAAGGCGCAATATACTGTTGGTTACTTTACTGAGATGGGTATTGGCTGTCGAAGAGATCCTCTTGAGGCCAATGTGTGGTACGTAAGGGCAGCAGATCAAGGCGAAGAAAGGGCCAAGCACAGAATTAGTGCCATCAGAGCGGCCAGTAGTGGTGCAGATCCAGTTCTTGCGGCCAGGAAAGCCAAGCAAATGCCTGCTACGACGAATGGCGACACCACCGCCAAAGGAGAAACAACGAAAGGTAAGGAAAACCAATGTCCGAATTTGAGGCTCGTTACTGACAATCATACAGTAGAAGGGGAGAAAAAGAAGAAATTTGGTCTGTTTTGAGCAGAGTAAAACGTACAAAATGGTTTGGTAACTGTGGTAACCTAGCATCTTGGTTGCAAATCACCACACCACCAAGTCAAAGTCAACAGCATCGGGAACATCACAGCACGGGAGGCCGATATGACTCGCATAGCGAAGGAGTTGACAGACACTGCAGGCCGATATGTCCAGTATCGGTGCATTTACGATGGATGCCTCGACTAGGCCATGGATTTTATATTGCATTTTCGAAGGAAATAATGTGCAATTCCGCTCGAAATGGAAACGAGCTTAAGATATGGCACGAACTAAATTGGGAAGGAGCGATGGACTTTGCGGGCAGGCCATTTCAACTGGATATTTTCTGGAACTCATTAGAGTGCTAATTTATGCTGCGTTTTATTCGCAGGCGATACCTTTCGAGTCTTGTTCGTTCCTACTGCATGTTCAGACCACAGAAACGCCACTTCAACAGCAGTATTGACATACTCCCTCGTAGTCGCGGTTGAGAAACATTCATGCGACTCCACCTTCTTTCTATACGTTTTTCGTTGCACACTTGGTCCTGAGTTATTGAACTTCCCACTCCACAACCAGACATCAATCCAACTTCCTCCCGTCTCAGCATCACCACTGATCATTCCGCACTGACCTTCGCGGCCTCATAGAGATGTTCTGGCCTAGTTGGCATGAGACAGTGTTGTCATTTCTCTTCAAAGATAGCAACTCGAGATTACCCTACATCGATGATCATCCGCAGTGGCGTCTGCACAGACAGTAGAAACAGCTTGACGAATAGATATGGAAAGTCTCACGTTTGCACTATCTGTAAGTATTGGTTGCGATGCAAATGGTGATCCTCATTTGTCGTTCCTTTTCTTTGTCTACACTACTCTGCTTAGGAGATTACTCAGCCACTGTTTCAGCACTAAATTGAAGTATAGAGACGATGTGGTTCAGTGTACAGCTCAATTTTCTATTTTACCACCGGCCCGGCAATGCTCAGGTCGAATCCTTCTCACGTTGAGAACAAATATAGCAGCGCTTTGGAACTCGACTATTGAGTACCAAGGCCTTGACACTGTCTTCAATTTCACCAGACTACCAATTCACACTACCTCTCAGCACTAAACATGTGGCAGCTTCAGGAGGCCTACACCGTTCCAAACGTCTCACCTGGTGTCCCTGACGACCAGCTGGGCAATGTCGCGGCATCAATGTTGCACACTATCAAGGTTGAACAAGCCGATCTCGCAGACAAGCAAGGCGAGACTCGGCGGGTGCTGGCTGCATATGATGAAATCATGGACTTTCGCGAGCTTACACGCAAATACGTCGAAAAGTGGGATCGGAAAGGCCTGACCGAGGAAGGCTCAAAGCGATCATCTACGCAACGTGATCCTTCCGATCAGAATACTGGCGAATCCCCCAAGGCAAGCTCTTCGAGAAAAGTGAATAGAAACCCTGTTGTTGATGTTGACTCATCCGATCCACTATCTGACGCTATCAACAACTGGACACGTGCGGACGATAGATTCGAACCTCTTACTGGTATTCGAGTCAAGATCAGAACATGCTACTGGAAGGGCAGTTCCTCCAGTTCTAACAAGAATGGAGAGGCCACTATCAGTGAAGCTGACGAAATCCATCTTAAGCTCTTGAAAAGTTTGGATGTTCTCCTTCACCGAGGCAGAAGTCCAGATCAAAATGAGTTTGGACCTCCTGAAGACTGCACAGTGTCAGAATGCCAGCCAGTCGACCCAACCTTCATGGACAAGAACGAAAAGGGAAAGAATCCTCAGGAAGAACAACAAAGTCAGTCCAGCACTACAATCTCAGCCGGTGAGAATAGCTCTGAAGATTCCTCGGGCATCTCATCTTCCACCATGGCAGGCGGAGTAATCGAGGAAGAAGGACCTGTAGTCGCGATCCAAGAGCACCAGGCAGATGTACAGACAATGTTCTTACAGGAGAGGGACGGTACTCCAGACGAGTCTGTTGGCAAGCAGGACTGTGGAGACGAGCTTGAGGGTTCACAGAGTGCGTCTGGTGATAGCTCTGACGAGGACGAGTGCGGATCACCCGTTCGAGCTCAGAAGGAATAGAGTCTGTATGTGGAAGCTAAGCACAAAATGGCGAGTGTGTGGAGGTATCAGTTGAGCTTTGGCTCACAACAGGATCGGTCGCGGCAGCTTAACTTCGAAGTGGCTGGAATAAATACACAGAATGGTTGCGGGTGATTATCATAGAGATGTGTTGTTTCAGGGATACGGCTGTGTCGGCAATGTAATTTACAATTACATAGAACCTGGCTTTCGATTGATCTTTTCCACGAGGCATCGGTCTTCAAACCTCGTCAGGTTGTCGCTGGCGCTCTTCTACCCTCCACCACTCTGGTGCAAACGTCGAAGCGTCAAAACAATTACGATAGACATCCCGCAAATGTCTCGGAGTCAAGCATAGCTTGCCATCCTGACCGCTGCTGCCACTTGCTATGAGCTTCCCTATGCGTCGGAAGATCAAGGCGCAGAAGGCTGACACCACTCCGTCATTCGATATCTATGTACTTGAAATCGTCAGCGACAATGCCAATCTGTTTCAGAGCATTGACGGAAGAGTACGCAAGCACGTATCTTCGCACCAGGCTGCCGTGAATATCTAAAAGTTCTCTCTGCTTTCCGTCAGTAACTGTTGGACGAATATATTTCAATCCTTCTTCTTCTTTCCCATTGAATATTCACCACATCTCGGACTTCACCACAGCTGTCGTCAATATGTCAACACTAGCACAAGCTTACGCCACCTTGGCTGTAGATCCTGAGGTTTCTGACGAAGAGCTCCGCCTCACCTACTATGCTCTCTTGCGAGTCTTCCACCCTGATTGAGCCGGTGCAGAAGGGATAGAACATACCCAAGAGATTATCGAGGCGTACGATCTCATCGTCAATGCTCGTAGCAACGTCGACGAGTCAGAAGTTGAGCCAGGAAGCGATCAACACAAAGGTGTCAGCAAAGTAGTCCAGCCAAAACAGAAGCAGAAGATCATAGCGTATGAGCCATATGAAGCACAGTTCAAAACCACAGACGAGGATGGCAAGGATCTGTACGTTACATTCAACTCGAGTGCGAAGCATATAGATGCCATGAGCAAGCGCGAGCCACGTACAAAGAAGGCCGGACGCTTCTATGGACATGTTGGAGATCTTCACCGGACACTGCTGTAAATACCGAAGCGGCCAAGGAAGAAATGTTGTACCAAGATGAGATAGACGAATATGTGTGTGGCGTTGATGCTAGAGAGGCAGTCTGCAGAGTGCAGTGGTCACCAATCCACGTCTTCACTGATCCGAAGAGACCGCTCCTTACCAGTGGGCAGGCAGGTGCAGACGAACCTGGAGCTCACCACTCAAGTTCAGCATCGGCAGCAACAGCCACAAGTGTTCGTTGTCTCACATAAAGAGATGTGAAAGTGAGCAGGAACACCTGGGTCAAAGTGGATACATGGCTATTGTCAGATGGTAAGATCGAGGTAGAGGCCGAACGAGATAATTGGAAGCCTACCAGTGGTTCTGCGAAGATTCTGAGATGGGCCAAGGTGCAAATATCACTCGAAAATTAGCAAGAGCTGACGCCAATTAAGTTCGATCGCTAAAAAATGACTCGCAAGAGTTACTCGACACAATCGGTCATATTGACAACGTGCCAGAAAATTGATTCGACTTCGAAACAGACGACGATAGTGCTACCGTGTCTGCTGTAACTGAAGGAGGCAAGATGGAGGACACCACACTTTCCGAGTCATTCGAGGGTCAAGATAGGCAACTGCCAATTGTGTAGCTGAGAAGACTGGTACTATCACCACAAAACTTTCGAGGAGAAGGCAGGTGCGAATACCACAAGAAGCTTGACTGCGATTGGGTGTGCTATATCCTGTTGGGGACACGAAAATTCCTGCTTGATTCTAGACCATTCTTTAAGAGCCAAGGTAGTCATGAGCTTACCCATCTATCTTCTGATAAAAACGAAATTGCAGTGCATGCTAGAAGGAAGGAGCGAACAAGACTGGGTAGAGGGAAGGTCGTGTCGTTACGCGTCGAGCGTGTCGAAGGAAGGTTCAGGCACGAAGGCATCAAGTTTGCAAGCCTTGTTTTCGATTACCACGACGTCGTATTTGCCCTCGCTCCTACATTGCTGCTAGCACATCGTCGACACTTACGCTTTATGGTCAGACGTGTTCTGTTGATCGATTCGGTGCGGTTTGAAGTACAAGAACACAAGGTTGAATATTGGTGTTTCCTGCCTCGTGAAGCACATCAGTCTCTACAGGCTTAATAAAAATGGCGAACCAGTTCCCACCAGTTCCAAAACCTGGTGAGGGTGAGCCGATCGTTTTCCTCGATGTCACACTTGGAGGTAAGTCTTGCCCTACTCGAATCCTACTATTTCAGACTGGCGAACTTGTCTAGCATCGATGTGAGAATGGCTTGCTTGACGGACGATTCAGATTATGCTAGGGTTAGGGTAACGTGATCGATCGCTTGTTGAGATACAATGAGGCCGAAAGAACCCCTTGTTGAGGTCACCTATCGTGGAGTGTCCTCTTGTCACATTCTGAGCAAGAGCAACGCCTCGTCCTTGAACAAATTATCTGCCTCGCCGAACCAGAAAGATCCGTTCTCCCTGGTATGACTGGCATATATTGAACCATTGCCTACCTTCGCTCCGCAATGTCAGTCTTTCAATGCACATCAGCTATAGCTTACTGACTACTTGAGTCCACAGGTGAACCACTAGGTCGACTAAAACTCCATCTCTTCAGCCGCAGCCATCCACGCACCAGCGAAAACTTCCGCCAATTCTGCACAGGCGAATACAAGAATCCACAAACCGGCAAACCCATGGGCTACAAAGGCACCAAATTCCATCGAATCATCAAAGGTTTCATCCTTCAAGGCGGCGATATTGTGCATCCAGATGTCTCCTCTCTGATAGGTACTGGCAGTACATCGATCTACAACTCACGTCCGTTCTCCGACGAACCGCCTTTTCTACCACATACCATACCAGGATTGCTGAGTATGGCGAACAGTGGACCGAACACGAATGGCAGTCAGTTCTTTATCACGTGTGCAGCCGCGCCGCATTTGGATGGCAAGCATGTCGTGTTTGGACAGGTGTGTGACGAGGCAGGGATGCAGGTGGTGAGAAAGATCGAAAATGTGAGGGTGCAGGCTGGAGGAGAGGGGAGACCACAGATTGAGATCAAAGTTAGTGAGTGTGGTGAGATGTGAGCAACAACTTTAGGGGACAAATACCGGCCCCTTTCCAGCTCAGCGTTTCTCTAAGCTCGTGTCTACCAACACATTTGACAACTGTTACAATGTCCGCGCTTAATCAATACTACGTTTCGGGTGTCGATCATGCCACGCACACTCAGAGCACACCGAACGTGGACAAGTAGTGCCAAGGTAGGTTGAGAAAGGTATTGGCCTAGTCTACGCTAAAATCATAGCACTTATAGTGTCGAGCATGTGTCCCGATTATTTCGCCAACGCGTCCGATCCTTATCCGTCAGCCGTAGAAGAGCAGATATGGCGAGCGCATAGTTCATATCATCCAAGACGAACACCTCCAGGGGCGTACTCTCACTCATTTGTTTTCCTTTCCAGTGGGTGGTTTCGCAATACCGTTGCTTTGATCTTCGCTCTCTGACTTCGGCTTTGTCGAGTCTACACTCTGTTCTTCGTCATCCTGCTTCGGTTTCAGCAATGCCAATTGAGCCTGGACTTCTACTTTCTCCTGTTTAGCAACTTGGCTATCGCGTAGGGCCTTCTTGTTTTGGTCTTCCATTTGCTGCACCTTTTGGTAATCCTTGACAATGTAGGGCTGATGTAGTGTTACAGGTCCCACAAATCTATCTTCGGAGGGCAGATAGACGGCCATGAAATTGACCTTGTACATACCCACCTTGCCCTTACAGGCAAGGACTCCTTTGATCTGAACGGCACCCCTGGCCATATGAGTCTGCTTGTGAGCAATCTCAACGAGTTGTCTGTGTCTAAAGACGTGTGCAGCGACTTCGATGGCAGCAGAAAGAGGGACATTCTTAAGCAGTCCGTCATGTCGCTCTCTTGTGTCGTGATTATTGTGTATGGATCGCACAAGTTCTTGCACAGATTGTTGATCCATGGACCATTGCACGTTCGGTGGGTTGACATTGCCACTGGATGGGTCTTTTGTTAAGTTGTCCGCTAGTGTTCGTTTCCAGAAGCCCGTCCCGTGCATTCCAGGAGGGTCACGCCCAGAAAGCTTCGCCTTGGCAATCGTGTAAGAAGAGACGAAAAAGGCCTTCAGAGAAGCTTTAGCTGCTACCCAAGTGGCACTTGGTCTGAAGACGGCCTCCATCTTGGTTCCCAAATCTGGTCGCAGGGTCTTCCAGCCAAGGCTGACACCATCTTTAAAGAAGATAATGGCTGGCACTTGATACAATGGTGGAGGAAGTAGTTGGGGAACCAGTTCAACAAAGACATGTACTTCGCCATGGTCCCAGCCTATGTGCTTGAGTGCATTTTGATGGGAAGGTTGAGATAGCCTTTGAGCAGCCGTGCGTGCTACGGAAACCTTCAAGTCTCTAGTTTTCTTCTCGTCAGCCTGTAATTTAGCGAAGTCCTTGAATTCTTGATCGTCCGGTTTGTACAAAGGACTCCTCTTCTCCCGAAACCATATAGGTAGGGTCAAAGTCGATATGACATCAGACGGTTGGCCAACAATCTGTGGCTCTAGAGGTTTTGGTGTCGTGTTCGAGTTCTGGATGGCTTTGTGTGCCTTCTTCCACTGCTCACTAAATTGCGAGTCATTTTCACCGACTGATTCCTGATGATTTTTCTTCCACTCTTCCCAACTCTGAGGCGGTTTGTTGGTATCAGTACCAGTAGCATAAGAGTCGAGCACTCGGAAAATGAAATAGCCAACGAAGAAAGTGGTTATAAAACTGGAGGGCTTCGAGCTAAACTATGGTCAGTATGAAAGGTAGACTAAACGTCGAGGCAGGCAGTCTTACAGGGCCCTATTGAAGACTCGAACCTGGCGAACCTGGTGACTGTTGGACCCGTCGACAGGCACGCGGATAGTGCGATTTCTCCGGAAGAGAGATCGAAACATCTGAGCGTGGAGGAGTCAATCATTGTAGCGGTCGGAGTGCGACGATAATCCACGAATATCGCATCTGTTTGCTCTGCGAACTTCGGTTGCAGAAACAATTAACACAATGCAGAGGAGAAAAGTGATAGTGATAAGGTCATGATCAGACTTGAGTCGACTATGCAGTGGCGACGGGCGCCCGCCCTCGTGGTGTTCGGAAAATACTTGCCTAATTTTCGGTGCAGATTGGCAGATAGTGCGGCAGGTATCGGTGAAGTTGATGAGCGTCATAAGTAAAGCTGCGGCAGGAACAGTCCTGAGCGGACCACAGTATAGATTGCCAACTCGTTCGACCAGTCTTCACGCGCCTCTTGAGTCAGGTCAACAGTAACGTTGTTCACTCCTACAACCAACATGAAGCCTTGCGATCTTCTGTGGTCATGCGCCACGCTGATTGGCGCTGCCACGGCCTCTCACGATGCATATCTATGGACAGTTGACGCAGGCAACATCAAACAAGTCTACAATCAAGCTTCAGCGATATCATCATGGACTGCCGAAAGGATAATAGCACGCCGGAAGGGTGCTTCGGATTCGCAATATATCGATACAGCCAGCCAAGATGTGATATCAGACCTCAATAGATTTGGTGGTTGGCAGCCACCTCTCTTTGGTGCTGGCCAATCTGAGCGACCAGCAAAGGTATTCGTGAGAATATCAGGCTTTGATGGAGGTACGTCCGAGCGCGAATCCGGCTTTCGTTCATGATACTGATGGGAAGTTCAGCTGTATCAGATTTCAACACATTACCAGACGTCTGGATTGAAAAGCCAGAATCGAATCTGCTTAACACCTTTGATACCAAGGTCGACACCAAAAATGTGTGCGAGTACACCATCAAACCTCGCAGCAAGAACAGCGTTAGCATCCAGTACACGTACTTCGACCAGGTAGATCATGTCCGTCGCTTGCAAGCAGAAACACGCTGATATATTGTTAGACAAAGACATGTCTGCCACAAAGCGAGATAGAATCATTACCTGCCATGCTTGCGCTTATCGTAACAGTGCCTACGGCCGATACAGCTGCTGGCAAAGGCGTATCTTCCTTTCATCGAACACTTCTTCATCTCGCTGCCACGGAGAACATCGAATCTACCCTCCTCATCCTTCCTACCATCTCCAAGCTCAAGAAGTCTACTAAATCCGAGCTCAAGAAGCGGATCGAAACTCCTTTCGAACTCCCACCTGTTACAGCAGATACCCCGTTCTTGACAAGCAACAAATCATCGAATGCCACTCTACCGAAAGTGATCCCACAATATTTCACGTCGAAAGAGTCATGCGACAACACGACAAACTCTTGTATGGGTCATGGTAAGTGTGTCAAGACGCACGGTAATCAGTACCGATGCAAGTGTTCGAGCACTGTTGTGCGGACCAATGATGACGGCACTACAAAGAGCGTACAGTGGGGTGGAAATGCCTGTCAAAAGAAGGACATAAGCAGTCAGTTCATTCTTTTTGCTACTTTTGGTGTATTCTTCCTCACTGTCGTCGGTGGCGCCATCGGTATGCTTTTCTCGATGGGTAGTGAGAAGCTGCCAAGTGTCATCGGTGCTGGTGTTGTTGGTCCTCGTGCTCAGAGATAACACAAGCAAGCACAACAGCAGTTAGGCTTTCATGTTCGGTGGGGTGTTGGAATGTAGCCACGAAATAATTGACTATACAATGGCAAGGCGCTGGAAGACTGGAAGCAACTTTTTTCTTCATCATTAACCGTCGTGCTGAAGTGGGCTCAGCTTGTTCATCTACTATCTGTTCCTCTTGCGATATCACCTGGACCATCTTTCTATGTATATCGCCTGTCTGTCCTGCTGACGCACTTAGCTACCCATGCCCTCTCATTCCAACAAGTTATGACCTAATCCCATTCACATCTTATGACATGGCATCTGAGGTCGCTAATTCGCACCCTAACACTAACCCATATGATCTCCTGTCTCCAAAAGGGACTCCGGAGTTATATGCACTAACGCCCACCAGAGTGGATGCTTTCTTGGCTGCCGGGGCGTGTCTACCTCTGCCTACGGTTGCGGTGCTATCTTCTTTTAAGGACCTTAACGCTCTGGAGCAGGATATATACAAGGTCTCTACTGCCATTGAACCAGGCCCACTTCCTGACCGTGAACGGCCACCATTTTTGAAGGCGGTCTTGTAGGGATATCCAACTTAAGGAAATGAACTGAGTCGTCAACAAGCTGAACATATTTCTTCAGCCTCGATTGGAGCGTGCATGTAATAGATGTCTCTGCTAGCTTGGGAAGGTTGTTGCAAATTCTCAGCAGCGACATCTACGCTTAATTGTGTTTGCCTTTCTTGATCAGCCAGTAAGTGATTCAGGCACAAGGTATATGCCCGAAGTAGTGGTATTGCAGGAATGAACGCAGGCCCCGATTGTGATGTCCAGATGATAGCATCTGCGCTCAGGACGGTCGAGTTCGCAAAAATGCCGAGTACGACATTGAGGACCGTCTTCATGTGCGAATTTGTCACAAGAGCACCATGAGTATTGATAGGGACGTTCCCCTCAGGGAAAGAAAAGTACTGCGACCTCTTCCAATTTCAGACCAATACCTTGGTGGACGTGACACAAAAAAACCTATGGCCTCCCTGAGCAACGAGTTGTCCAGCAGAGTCAACAGGACTGGACTTAACATCAAAAAAACATATAGCCTCGTCTACTAAATAAAGTCACTGGAAGGATCGGATGACCAGGCACACTCACTCTCATTGCAAGCTAGTAAATATTGCGCCACCGGCTTTCAAGATCGACCGTACTCGATATAGCCAAACACTTTGCTTGGCAAGGTCTACGTTTACGGTGTTTAGGCCTCACCCTTTGAGATCGGCTATCTTTCTTGTGCGAATCCACAATTTGCGCTCCAAAAATTTTTGTGGAAAGTTGCGGTGGATCGAAAGCCGACAGCGACATTTTCTTCGAGGCACGCAGTCTGTCCTGATCTCTTTCCATATCTTTTTGTAATTCACATACCCTCAAGATGTCTGAAGAAGTTTATGATGGTGCCATTGGCATCGATCTCGGTAAGGGAGAACCATTTCTTCACCAGGTATAGCTAATACAAGCTAGGCACGACCTACTCGTGCGTTGCCAACTACGAGGGTACCAATGTCGAGATTAGTGAGTTTCACGAAGAAACAGAAAACGCGCAGAATCTGACACTCGATCAGTCGCCAATGAGCAGGGTAGCTTTACCACTCCCTCTTTCGTCTCTTTCACGGAGGAGGAGCGATTGATCGGTGAGGCCGCGAAAAATCAAGCCGCCATGAACCCAGCCAACACCGTTTTCGACGTCAAGTGAGTTCGAGCGACGACAACTACGGGCAAGATCTAATAAAAATCAGGCGATTGATTGGTCGAAGATTCGATGATCCAACTGTGAAGAAGGATATCGAGTCGTGGCCATTCAAGGTCGTTGACCAGGGTGGAAACCCATTCGTCCAGGTCGAATACCTGAAAGAGACCAAGACTTTCTCTCCTCAGGAGATCTCTTCTATGGTCCTTACAAAGGTCGGCATATTCGTTCTCAAGAATTCCAGGCTGACGTTTCCCAGATGAAGGAAGTTGCTGAGACAAAACTCGGTAAGAAGGTCGAGAAAGCTGTTGTTACCGTTCCCGCCTATTTCAACGACAACCAGAGACAAGCTACCAAAGATGCTGGTGCTATTGCCGGTCTCAATGTCCTTCGTATCATTAACGAACCCACCGCTGCCGCTATCGCCTATGGTCTTGGATCTGGTAAACAAGAAAAGGAACGAAATGTTATGATTGTAGGTCCCCTTTCAACCACCTTCACTCATCCAAATTAACGCATCAAAAGTACGATCTAGGAGGCGGCACGTTTGATGTGTCATTGCTGAATATTCAAGGCGGCGTCTTCACTGTCAAGGCTACTGCTGGCGATACTCACTTAGGTGGACAAGATTTCGATACGAATTTGCTAGACCACTTCAAGAAGGAGTTCTCGCGCAAGACGAAGAAAGACATGTCCGGAGACGCCAGAGCCCTGCGAAGACTGCGAACAGCTTGTGAACGTGCTAAGCGAACGCTGTCGTCGGCCACACAAACCACAGTCGAGATTGATTCGCTTTTCGATGGCGAAGATTTCAATGCCCAGATTACCCGAGCTCGATTCGAGGATCTCAACGCAAAGGCCTTCAACGGCACTATTGACCCTGTTGCGCAGGTTCTGAAGGACGCCGGTATCGAGAAGAAGGCTGTTGATGAGATTGTATTGGTTGGCGGTTCTACCCGTATTCCACGCATCCAGAAACTCTTGTCCGATTTCTTCGATGGTAAGAAGCTTGAGAAGAGCATCAACCCTGACGAGGCCGTCGCCTATGGTGCAGCAGTCCAGGCTGGTATCCTGTCGGGTAAGGCCACGAGCGCCGACACTGCCGATCTTCTCTTGCTTGATGTCGTCCCTTGTAAGTACTGACGATTGTATAATGTGCCCAGGGTACTGACATTTCAATGCAGTGAGTTTAGGTGTTGCTATGGAAGGGAACATCTTTGCAAGTGTTGTACCCCGTGGTACTACTGTGCCAACCCTGAAAAGAAGGTACGTGACCCTTTCATTTTCATCGGGAGGACACCCTCTCCAGAGAGAAAAAAGATCTTCCACTTCAACATCAACGTATACACCCACCACACTTGACCATTTGCTAATTTAATGAACAGAACCTTCACAACCGTCGTCGATGGCCAGCAAGTTCGTTTGAGCTCAAATTCCTGCTAGAATCATGCTAACATCATCACAGACTGTACAATTCCCCGTCTACCAAGGCGAACGAACGAACTGCGAGGATAACACATCGCTTGGCGAGTTCACTCTTTCACCGATTCCTCCCATGAAGGCTGGTGATGCTGCCCTGGAGGTCGTCTTCGAAGTCGATGTCAACGGAATTCTCAAAGTCACTGCCACTGAGAAGTCTTCCGGTCGAAGCGCGAACATTACCATCTCCAACTCGGTCGGCAAGCTCTCTACGTCCGAGATCGAGAAAATGGTCGACGATGCTGCCAAATTTAAGACCACTGATGAGGCCTTTACCAAGAAGTTTGAGGCCAAGCAGGCTCTCGAAAGCTATATCGGCAGAGTTGAGGAGCTGATTAACGATCCAGGTCTAAGCGTCAAGATGAAGAGGGGCAACAAGGCCAAGATCGAGGAAGCCCTATCTGAGGCCATGCAACAGCTCGAGGTTGAGGATTCAAGTCCCGAGGATTTGAAGAAGAAGGAGTTGGCCCTCAAGAGAGCCATGACCAAGGCTATGGCCACGAGATAAACGGCTTTGTGCCGTGGAACCGAAAGCCTCGCTTGCAAAGGCTTACAAGCATGATGGTTATGCAAGGTAACTAAAGAGACTGATACTATCTACAATTCCACGATATCCCATGACATTACGATACGAGGGGAACTCTGTCTGCATGTAAATTGTTCAGCGGCGTCTTTGGATGAGGATGTAACAATCTCCAAGGACCAAAAAGCATGGGCAATTTATGATAGACTATGGAGATGGCCAGATTCGTGCTGGCTCGAGAATGACATTTCTGCATGTACAACACTGCTTGCTTTGAGTTTTGGCACGATCCTGCTTGAATTTGTGTGCATGGTAACTCGAATTTTGAGAATCGAAATTGGACGATCAAGCCCAGCGACTTCAGAGGCGTCCACCTTGGGACCGGTCTGGTTGTTTCAGTACAGCCAGGGCGATGCTTAATGATCTTGGTCTTGACTGTCAGTCGTGACCAGCCAGAAGAGAAAGGACTGATATAGTAGTATCAACCAATGTAGTAACCACCGAGCCCATGGCGGTAGAGCTTCCCCTTTGAGTAGCAATGTGCCTACCGTACTACGGTGGAGTCTAGGTTTCAATGAGTAAGATAGACTTCGTTGCGCTCTTGGGCGAGGCTTCAGCGTTATGTCAGTAACATGATCAGTATCTCGCCGCGAAATTCGTCGCGCGGTCTGATCGCACGCAGTAGCCAACATGGTACAGCTAGCCCGGTTTGTCACAAGTGAAGCAGGCACGCTGGGCCCTGGCTAGTCCCTTTTCCTTATGATTTAGCCAATCTCGCGAAATGTTAAGCTCACGGAATATCAACAATGCCTTCAACTCCGGTAGACCACGATCAGGCACTACTGGCTCGAAGGAAACCGCGTCTCCCGAGCCACAAACTGCGCCTCCTGTCCTGAATGCAACACGATCACGTCCATCACATCTTCGTTCCCGCTCCTACCTTTCAAGCCTCTCTCCGGTAGATCCGAAGCCCCGCAATGCGATGACTATGCCACACGATGTCGGTCGTGACAAAGACCGTATCGCAGCTGAAACTTCACTCGCTGGCCACACGCGTTCTACGGGGAGGTCTGAGAAGGACGCTTTGAAAGGCAAGGACAAGGATGGTAATGAATCGGGCACTAGCAGTGCCGCAAGCCTGCTACCCAGGTTACATCTTAGTGGGCATCACAACAAGCGCAAGAGCCAGGATTTGAGAATTGGCACAACTTTTGGTAGTGCAGACGTATCCTCGCGACCTTGGCCGCAGCAGACATCTAAACCACAATCCCAGCTGCATCTTCAGCATTTAGGTCTGAACTTACCAGTCCCTCTAAAGCGGGCACACTCTCATCGACATACAAAGTCTGAGATACCCCGGAGCGATACCTTTGACAGCACGAGCTCAGGTGATGGCCTTCTCCATCCCTATGACGGTCTTGGTGTGAAAGGTGGAATGCTTTCTCGCATGGCTTCCAATCTATCTAGCAGAAATCTTGGGGCAGAAGGAAGACATCATCAGCATCATCACAAACCTCATCATCAATACAGTGCTTCTGACTTTCAAAAGAATTGGAACAATGCTGCCATGGCTGTACATCCCTCTCTACACGGCGCAAGACCTGGCGTACGGCGTCGAGCCACAAGCGATCCGAGATCTCCATCGTTAGTACAAGGCCATGTGCAAAACCAAGGACAATACGGTAACGGCTTGCTTAAGCCAGAACAGGAGACGCGACTGCCTATGACTGAGGTCGAGATCCTGCTCTACAAAGCTGAGAAAGCTCGACAAGAAGCCGAAGAGAATGTTACTGAGGCTGATGTGCAGAAGCTGACCACTCAACTGGCAGAATCGAACGTTGAGCTGCAGACGCAATTAGGCGATGCCAATCGCTCAGCACAGAGCCTCATGCGACGTCTCGACGACGCACACGACAATCTCGTCAATACAGCTAGTTCTCTAATTGATACAATATCCAGTTTCCAGAATCTGTGTGCCCAGTCCGACCAGCTAATAAAGAATTTCGAGAACAAAACGAAAGAGCTTGATTCCGAAATGAGGAAAGCGCTTGAGAAGCACAGGAACGCCTTATTCGAAAAGCGTGGAAAGAAGATCTCTCAACTGGAAGATAGAGGGCAAAAAGCAAATGATCGAGCAGAGGAAATGAGTCGACGACTTGAGAATTGCCGAACCATAATCAGGAATTTTGCTGACAGGGAACAAACGAAACGAAGAGCCTGGAAAGGCGTGCTTGTTGGAAGTGCCTGGGGTGCTGCGATTATCGCTTTTGGGATCTTGGTCGGTGTTGCCATGTGGTGGTGTAGGAGTTATGCATATCTGGAAAGTCACGAGCTTGTTCACCAAAGACTTCAGCACAACGGTGTGCCGGAAGATATATTGCAACATGTGCCCGTCGATGTGAGGGCTGTACTGAATGATATCGCTCATAGACATAACGCGAGTTATGCAATGCCGGGTAGCAAGCAACCACAGGCAGAAAAAGAAACGTACACAAGGGCAAGCAATGACCATGACGTGGTCAAGGACAAGAGTCTCGAGAAGCTCTTTGACAAGCTAGACCTCTAATCTTATGGAAACACAAGCCAGAGCATTGGCAAGCTCAATCTTGTGCATGCGTATCACTGCTGTATTGCTCCCTTTTGACTCCTCTCTAACAAATCCCAAAAGAGTCTCGAACCAATATTACACAAAGCCAGAACAGATTGTGAATAAGAACTGGGATAACTTACGACTATCTAATCTATTAGTAGGTAGTAGCTCTAAACCTATTTTTACACTACGATTACACCTCTGTTGAACTATTACTGTACGAATGCTATAGTATTATTACACTACAACTATGCTACTAGTGTACTAGTATTACACCAATATTACACCAACATTCTACAGAGATCACACTAGGATCACACCGCTATCTAAATACCTAACGTGCCGGTCTATAGAGACTGGATACGACTCAGCTTGATGATGCATGAGCATCTACAGCATTGATCGTGGCGAACATGGCACGAAGATTACCTCTCAGGCCGCGAGAAGTGTCGTCGCTGATAGGCAGGCGTAACGAGGTTCACGTTGGTACTTAGACGCTGGCACTGGCAGCGCCGTAAAAAATCAGTAGTGAGTGTCCTCAAGTCCCAGAGGAAATTTCAGAATATGAGTTTTATGCCCATGGCGAACTCTCATATGGATATGGTTTAATGATGATTATGGTTTTTTTGGTTGATCGCTACACCCACCCACCTATCTTTGCTGTATACCTATGGATCTTGACCATTGAGGAACTCCCTCTTCAATAGCACAGCAGAACCACACTGGTTGTTTTATTGAGCTAGACATGCGCCATACGGAGTACTATTACCGTACTCATTCATCTGGCTCTCTTGCTGCTAGAGCTTGAGCTCACCAGAAGTTATTAGGCTTGTCGTAATTGCTCATTCTTCTGTTCGGAGCACGCTGAGGTGCTCGTGCAATCTGGCTAGCACTGTCGTCTGGCAAGATATCACGTCCCGTGCTATCAGGATCGTCCCGTAATACTGGAATCTTTGCACCGCCCAGGCCGATGTAGAATAGGTTACCTTCAGGATCTTGCCATATTTCCGCCTCCGTTCCTGCTCGAATACCGTGTATGGGTTGCACCGCAGTCGTTCGATTGGTGCCGATCGTCGAGCCATGGCCCATAGCTGTTCGTGGCGCTGCAATACTGCGGCCAATGGTTGCAGGTCTGAGCATGGTAGGGTTGTGCACAGTTGGAGGAATAGTTCCTGCCATCTCCTGCCGCTGCTTCGCATCAACGTCTTGCTTGTACCTCAAAGTGCCGTAGTTCTTTCCACCAATCCAGTCCACTTTGTCAACTAGTTTCAGGGCAGCTTGTAGCATTGTATTAATGCGCTCGTGCGTCAGCATATTGTTTGCCGTCGCCAAGGTCATTTCTCCAACCTCAAGCTGTTTGTTCTCCTGAAATGCCTCTTCAATGTCCTTGTTCACAACCGCCACCTCATAGAACACTTGTGATGTGTTTGCCAGAATGTCATGTCTTTCTTCAACGGACACATGCAGACGCTTGTCGCTGATATGAGCTTTTGTACTAAGAGTTTTCACCTCGGTTATCTTCAACTGTAGTGCTTCCTCTCCTGGTACTTGGCAGTCGTGGAGACTGGTGCGTTTGAGCACTACGTCCAGCACGGTCAAGGAATTGCTCAACGGTGGTCTGAAATGGACGATCGCTTTTTTCCCAGCTTTCATGTAGACAGTCGACACGAAGTCCTGTATCTCGGCCTCGAACTCTGGGGTAATATCGTTGAGTTCTGCTGTACCAGATAAGACAGCGCAGGTGTCCCATACTTTGCCAGGGCAGTGTATGGCAATTTTGCTGACTGTAGAATCTCCCTTGTTGACCGTATACTTTCCACGAGCATCGAGCACGATTTGGAATGGCTGACTTAGGTTGTCGAGACATCTAAACTCGATTATGGACTGGGATGGTCCTGGGTTGTCCTTGTTCCAAATCTTGCACTTCTTGATTTTGACCTCGAGCATACCATCAATATCTGCACCATCGCTTGTTAGCATGTTTGTGAAGTGTACATCAGCAGTACTATTGCTTCCTTCGAAGATTGATTTCCACTTGTCAATCTCATATATCTTCCTCGTATCGATTCTTGAGGTCGGCGACACGAATAGCTGACCAAGCTGAAATTCGAGGTTGATATGTCCTGTGAAGCATCGTGCAGCTTCTATGATCGGTCGTAACAAATGTAGAAGCTGATTCGTGGTCTGCTGACGGGCATTTGCTTGTACAGCATCAATATGTAACGCAGCCATCTGTGAATTTATCTTGGCCGCTTGGAGACCCTTTTTGGTCATTGGGTCAGGTGGTGTTACTGCAGAATCTGGTCGTTGTTGAGATTGCTGTTTGGACCTGCTTGCTGTTGATGCTTCCTGTCTCAATTCATCTCTAGCTCTTGCTATACGAGCTTGTCTCTGGACATTTGTCTCCGCATGGGTAGCTCTGTTCTTTCTGTCCTTCGGTGCCTGCAAATTCATTGTATTGTAAAACTTGCGCGTAGAAATTTCGTCTTCTTCCGCGATCCTCTCTCTCGACAAAGGCTTGGTTGGTGTCGTATACCCACGACCTTTAGCAGCCAGCAACGAGTGGAGCATATTGTTTCGCATGGATGGAACGTCTGGCCTGGTGATCGTTGTTTGAGGCACATATTGGATACCATGAGGTCGAAGGCTACCAGATGAGGAAGAAGCTGAAAACGAGCTCTCTTCGTTCTGATACATTGTGTCATAATACACTGGCTTTAGTGATGGTCTTTGAATTTCTTCAAGTGGACTGTCAAGCAGATTCGACTGTTCGTTCATATATGCTAGCGGTTCAGCACGTATAGTTAAACCAGGAGGAGGGTTGTTAGAAGTGGCTGCTGTCTCCATGGTAGATATCTCAATCAGGGCATTCTCCCTCTGTTTGTGAGCCTGACTGTGAATAATTCCTGGATGGCTTGGCACTGGTTGTGAGCCACTTCTACCACCATGGTGCGATGGGTGTGGTCGAGACTGGCTTCTGCCTCTTTTCGATCTGGCTGTTTGCCGTTTATCTTGGTGAGTTGCGATATTTCGGAAGTCTCTGTTTTGAGTTGTTTTTGGACCCCTACTAGGAGAGCCGTAAGCTGACGGATCGAAGTTATGTGATGGCATATACTGGTTGGGCCGAGCCTTCGTGCCCATTCCTTGGTCAGGCTCCTTGAAGATAGGTGTTACAGAACTGGCAGGACCGAGGTGTGGACTGTCTTTGCTGTCCTGCAACGGAGCAGGTTCTTCATCATTGGCCCCGTCTAAGCCGAAGCCTCCTCGAAATTGCACTGGAGGTGACTTTACAGGTGTTCCTTTCTGTAGCTGCTGTGGCGTATTCATGACCTCTGTAGCCTCTTCTCCGTCACGTGGAACGCCCTCAAAGAATGCATCAGCACCAACGTAGGGGTTAGTGTTGGGCCTCAAGCGAACCACGGGCGTAGGATCTTGTGTTTCTCTTACTCGATTTGTGCGGTCGACACGAATAGCCCGGATTCTTTGTTCCTGTAGTGACTGCAATGGAGTATCTTTCGTCCTCTTTCCTACCTTCGTGCTTACAGGTCCTGACTCATCGTCCGAGTCTGCAACAACCAGCCTTCGGCTAGTAGTCAACCCTGTTGCGGTGTTGTTTATTTCGTCGTCTTCGCTTTCAGAGTCTTCTACCCTTCGCTTGGTTATACCTTGATCCTCCACTTCTTCCAGCTCTATAGGCTCCTCAGGTATTGTAGCGGGATCTGCTTCCAAATCAATGTTCTTCGACCATTCGCGAAGCCTAGCTTGTTCTTGAAGTGCCATAAATCTGCTTGGTTGAGCTGCTGGTATCGACGATCGACTTCTAGCTGTCTCAGATGGAAGCGAGGAGTTGCCGCTCGAGGGTGTCCTTGGAACCGCATTGTCCGGGTTACCAATCGTAGGCAATTCGAAGCCCTCCCATATCTTGCTTGGCTTGGTGTGTTTATCTGCAGATGATGCGAGATCTTTCAACCTTTCCACCAGTTCCTGTTTACCTGTTTTTGAATTGTAGATTCTTTCCTCACCAAGCAATGCCTGCTCTAGTGTATCAGTTAGAGTGGGATGCACCATGACACGGTCACGGTGAGGTGGAGTTAGCATCTGGTACCGAACGCCGGTACCACTGAGAGGGCACGAGAAAGACAACAGATTGTAATCGACTCGGGAGGCGGCACCAGATCTATGGCGGGCGAGATGTCCGAGTAGTGGTTCCATTCGAACCAATTTTTCGAGTGCGGCTTGTGTATTCCCATTCATGATTTTCACGCGTCGGCTGTCGTGCTCACGATACAGTATGCATTCGGTGATGTTGGAAATAGCGGCAGCAGCCTCACTTGAGAGTATGGAGATGTCACCACATCTTGGTGTCCAGTGAGCACAAGGTATACCGGTAGAGGATGAACCATCGGAGGAGTCTTCAGAATCTTGATCAATGTCGATTAGAGGCTCGGGAACAGCCAGATGTGGACTGATGTCGAAATATTGAGCATGGACAGGCAGTGTAGTATTCTCGACAGGGCTCATCAATTCCTCGTCTGTGTGATCGCCTAGCTTGAGTTGATATTGTATGACGGTATTCAAGATGTCACAGAACAGTTTGACGGCCATTGCCTGACGTGGTGGGTCTGACAGTTTCAGAAAGAAAGCCTAGGGTCGTTAGTAAACGTTCATGTATTGCCTGTCTGACTTGCATGGATAGATGGATCGTAGCCAGTGGGAGGTATGTCATTAGGGTCGAAGTAATCTGTCCTAGTATACTTGTTACTAAATGTCAAACGATATAGCCAGCAAGACTGACTGAAATCGGGTAAGTATCTCATCACGCTAGATGTTCATGTCAGTCAGATCTGAATTTTTTGAGTGTAACATACGCCCTTGGGAGTCCATTCGAATGGCGCCCCAATGTACACCATCTTCTTTGCAAGTCCGTTCATGTTGCTGGTAGCAGGCGAAATGTAGAACTGGTGGCCGAGTAGATTAACGACAGCCAGCAGGAGCTTCTGAACATAAAAACACGCACAACCTGTTTTCAATTAGGTGTTAGCGAGTAGAAATCCCCAACACTGGACAGTTGGTAACGATGTCAATTGTAAATTAGCACTTTCTCGACGACCACAACAACACGAGTAGAGTATCCCGTCATGCTGCATCAGCATAGCTAGCGTGAAAATATTGCTTCAACAACGATATAGGGCTATCAACTGTAAATCTTCTGTGTAGGGCGAGTGAATCAGCAAAATTACCGAGTGGTTGTCGTGATGAAAAGTGAAGCCACAGCAGATTGGAAGTGAAACTTGCGAGACGAAATTGGCCGCCAAACTTGCCTAGTGAGCACGGTAACCAGGTTACCCAAACTCCGACGTCAACGAGCTTGCATTAAAAAGAGGTCAAGTTTCTGCTTGACAGGAAGGAGCTCTGCAAAGAATTCACTGTTATCGTTCAAGGTGCACCAACAAGGTGTGCCCTGTGGTATCACTTGGGCCATCAGTAGGTCACGATACACAAATACCCTTGAACCAAAGATACAATTGTGTACCATACTCAATTCGGAATTTTTGACAGCGACAAGGTACACTGCATTCAATATACTACCTCATACATAATCGTAACATCATTCAGTCATCAAAAATACACAGAGCTCTATCCTTGCTGTTGGTACACTATTTCCCAGCTTTGGAAGAACCTTTTCGCCTATGTCTTCTGAAATCCAAGCTCATCTTTTTCGCCGGACTAGGCGGAGGTGGTGGCTCTTCCTGTGTGGTTTCTCTCGAATGTGCAGTTTTGAAAGACTGTTCTTCTGACGGTTGAGAGGAATTCGGTCGAGGAAGTGGGTTGTTGCCGTTGATCACGGTCTCAACATTCATGAGCCACTTCATTTGGCCTGTTACCCTTCTCATCTCGTCTACTTTATCATGCACAGCCCTGTCGTTCTCACTGGCAGTCTCTCGCAGTTGATCCACAGCCGTATCGATCTTGGTTCTGTAAGCATTGAAGTTGTTCTGCAGCCGTCTTGTAAGGTCTTCCAGTTGCTCGATCTCCTTTTTCCGTTGCTCTGCGATAATCTCCATCCTTTTCCTTTTCTCGACATCTTCGCTCTGCTGCCGTAACAGCTGGTCCAGAGTTGCTCGTATGCGACCGAGACCATTTTGGTGTCTCTCATTATCCATGTTTCTGCATGCTGCAATCACCTCATATTCTGCCTCCTTTTGCTGGGCAATCGACTTTGCTTGATTAGCCTGCTCTCTCCACTCGTCCTCACTGATGCCCGCTGCACGCATAGCTTCTTCGGCCCTCGCAGTCTTTGACTTTTCTTTTTCGACTTCTTCTTTCAGGTCCGTGACCTGTCTTTCCTTCCTCTGTAATTGCCGTTGAATCGCTTCATGCGAGGATTCATAATTGCTGTTACGGTCCTGAAGGTGTCGGAATTGTGTGTGAAGTGTTTCTGTGGCTCTTTCAGCCTCTTCGTGTCGTAATTTTAGTAATTGTTTGTCCCTATTCAAGCGATCTATCTCCTGTTGCAGTCTCTCTATAACCCGTCCTGACTTGCCCGTGCTGGCAGGCCCTATAGCTGACGACCATGCGTTCTGCGTAGTATCGGGGGGAGGCGTCTGTTCGAGCGTCGCTGTTGACCATTAGCTATAAACTCGTGGCTTCTGCAGTTCTGGCGAACCTTGTCTCATCATAGAAGTGCTAATTACACGACCAGGAGGCACAATGCTGGTGGTGGTGGGCGTCAGCTCTCGATGAACGCCGTTGGTCTGTGCCATTCTGGAAGGCGCCTCCACATGTTCTTGCTCTACGTTGATCGACTCAGGGTCTGCGGCTATTGCACCGTTAGCCCGTTTCTTTCTTCTTTTTCCAGTCTTTCGCTGAACCCAAGTCGAAATCCCAGTCATGCCGAGACTAGTTGCAGAGAAAGTGGTGGCTTGCTCGGTGCGGTAGAGGGAGGATTTACCTTGGGAAACAACCAAAGCAATACCATGCACCTTTGGTTGCACAAGGTCGACAGGTACAGCAAATACGGATCGCGGCTTCGCTCTCATGTCACACGTTCTGTTCTGGAGGCTTGGTTGACTCGATGGTTGACGCGCTGGCTTTTGAATATATCGACCTGAACTCACTTGTGTCAGCAGTGGTCAAGGCTAACGTACAGACGGAGCCAGACCTGGTGCATTGAACGTCGTGTCAAACAGGCTGTGTTACATGCGGAGAGCAGTTTGTCCGTGCAGGTTGAAAATTGATTGCTTCGATATCGTGTAGATCTCGTCAAGTATTCAGCATCAGACAGTAGGCACCTTCACCCTGGGTGGAATCAAAAACGTATTTGGAAACAGCATGATGGAGTCGTCGCCAGCTGACAACTTTATCCATGACCATTGACTTCGGCAGAGTTCAAGCGTGTATGGCACCTGCATTTGTACTCCGTATGCAGGGTCAATCGAGCATCGATTGGTCAAGATACTCCTTAAACGGTCGCGTCTCCGGGTCAGCCAGGTCCACTTGCCTGGTACTGCAAATGGCACACACTGCTTCAGAATCCTTGTCTCGTGGACCTGTCGATCTGTTTACCATCCTACGTACTACAAATATACTGACTCAATTTTCCGCACAAGAGACATAGTTTATATTAGGTATATATTCAGATCCTATGAGTAAAGTATACGTATATTGTATACAGTGCATAGAGGCTAAGGGAGCCAATACATGCACCCCTATTCGCTTTTAACATAACAATGCTTCTCAAGTGCTGTGCTTCAGTGCTCCTGCTCTGCATAATTGCTGTTCGTAGGCATTGTCGACCTATTGTCCTGACCCTACCAATAAACACGTAGTTCGAGGCACTGCTGGGCGGTTTCGATGACAAGCAGTTAGAGGCTACACAATATCCTCGTAACGTTCAGACTAGGACGGTCGAGGACGTATGTTCCGGAGGGCCATACGTATATAGTCAGCAATAGGTTTTAGAAAATCCCCACATTCAACGCCTGGGGATCTTTTCGTGATTCTAAGGGACATGGTCTTCCAGCTGGTTGGTGTGTATATGAGTTGAATGAGGTATCACCATATCTATCCAGCATAGCTGCTCATTCAATATCAGTCACTGTGGTCAGAATCTATGCCGTACTCTCGTAACACCTCTATTTTCGACATCATTTAGACATTGTTCGAACTCAGCTCAAGCTCGGTTTGATTGAGATTCCCTCAACGGAGTTTTACATAGACTTTTAGATCTGCTCAAACTTCATTCTAACTCCTCTAGAACAATACTTTCACTCCGCTTAAGTGATAGCCTGATCGTTCTCGGATAGGGTTCTAATCTTTTTCGGGTGGAAGTTTAATATTCCTCGAACAAAGGTTTGATATCTCTCGAATAGGGCTCTAATCCTTCTCGAACTATACTTGAACACTCCTCTAACCTACCACTAACTGCCAACAGCTACCTCACGCTGGAGGAACTACTAGAGAATAATAGATTCCGCGATATCATTCAGGCACCTAAGACCACCTTCTTATCACCATTCGCGGGCCCTTGTCCACTCTCGGAGTCGTCGCTCCTCTCATCTAAGCCTCCAGGCTTTCCTTCGATGACATTCGCTCCATGACCCATCATCATATGGTTGATGTTTACCTTCGGTCCTTTGAACCACTTGTGTGCATCAACCACAAACCATATGATCGCGAACAACATTGGTGCCCCCCACACCAGGCAAGTCCAGTTCATCAGATCAGGTGCCAAGTCAACCCCAATCACAGTTGGAAAGCAAAGGATTGGCACCATAAGAGTAGTGAAGCATGTTGCCGCTGTGCCAATGATCGGGCTGAACTTACCCAAGTTCCAGGGACCAGGACGAAAGTTATTCCGTACCACAAAGGTACGGATCGCGATCGGGATTGTAAAAGCGACGAAAGAGCCAATTGCGCCAATACTGAAAATTGCGCCGATCGCAATGTCGCCTGCGAAGATGAGTAGAACACAGCAGCAGCCTAAAGTAACGTTAAGCCAGACTGCGTTCACTGGCGTTTTGGTGCGCTTGTTGACACGTGACCAGAAGCGTGAGAAGGGAAAGCAGCCATCGCGAGCGTAGGCAAATGTGACTCGAGAGGCTGCGACCATGCATCCTTGACCCATGGAAAAGCCCGCAATGATAGTAAGACTAAGGCATGCAAGAGCTGCCTTCTGACTAAGACATTGCAGAAGCAGTGCTGCCCAAGGTTGTCCGAGGTCCGAACCTAGCACAAGGTCGATGTCCACCACGACGTAAGCAGTCACCAACTGGAGGAACCAGCCCATGACACCACCAACACTGCTGGTCAAAACTATAGCCCTAGGGCTGGCAATATTCGCATTCGAACACTCCTCGGCGAGATGAAATGGTGCATCGTAGCCTGGGGTATGTCAGCACAAGTAAGTCTTGCAGGAGAGGGAAGCATTACCTGACATGGTCCAAATCACTGCAATGAAAGACATCAGCATCGCAATTCCGTTAGGAAACTCGGTCCCCTCATAAAAGTGACCAAAAACCTCCGAAGATGAGTTCCACTTTGATAGGCCTCTCTCTTCCCTGTCGTTGCAAGCAGGAATCACAACGATGACAACCAACAAAGCCAAGATGTTAAAGGTGCTACCATAGCTATTGAATCTGGCAATCCATAACGTGGGCATACTCGAGATGGTTCCGTGAATGATCATGATGAGCATGGTCAACAGGAAAACATGCCAGTTCTGGGGAACGTAGCTCGGGGTCGTCATTGAGGCTGCGGCAAGTATCATTGATGCAAGTGCATAGTTGACGGAAGGTGCGCCTGTGATCTGTGCCAGCCAGCTTGACCACCCAGTAACCCATGCCGCGAAAGGGCCATATTTGGGGCCTGCAAGTACTGCTGAGGCATAGTATAGACCACCCGAGGTTGGCATCGAAGAGCACAGCTCGGCTAGCATTACGGTTAGCGCAGAACACATCATTGGGACGTCCTCCAGCTTGATATGCGGGCAGTCAGAAAGGTAAGGGGAATAGAGGCATCGAAAAAGGGCTTCAGCGTCAGGCAACCACAAGGGCTGCCCGACTTGTGATTGATACGAGTGCTAAGACTACGCTTCCACTCACCCATTCCCATTGCAACGCATTGAATGAAAGACATGGCGATTAGCCATCCCCAGACCATGCCCGGAGTACCCGAGTAGCCCATGCCATAGTAAAGAGTGCTGGCGAAACTAGGTAAGAGACCTAGTACCGCGAATGACACGCAGAATGTCGTCCATAGAGTAAATTCGCGTTTGAATTCGGGTATGTAGCCAAGGGCTGCAAGGACTTCTTCATCGTTGTTAAGCTCGCGATCGAACACAGGCGTCTCCCCAGGGGCAAGAACCGAAGTCACTGGTTCTTCGGCTACGGATCGGCGATAGTGACCTGAAGTCGCTGTGACGACGCTGGCGTTGTGTTTATCAGACATGACGCTGCTACCGAAGCTGTGAATCCAAGCTGAAGAATTGCTGGTCGTGGTCGTCCTTCAAGTGGAATATTGGACTGTCCAATAAATTGTCAATCGCCTAGCTGGGCTCGACAATCAGAAGCGCAAGGTCGTACTCATGAAATGAGCAGATATCGGAATTGATCTTGCCAGCAACAGAGCTTGTATTTCAACTATTTCTGCAGAAAGGTTGACGTTGTTCAGGGGGTCGAGAGATCAACGACAACGAGACGACCACGTGTCAGAGCTCTGATAGTCAGACGAGCAATAGCCCTAGGCGGTGTCTGTGAGCCATATGACAAAAACTAAGAATACGAGAAAGACAGCAGGAGAGCTTAGGGTAGCACAGCACCGCAGCCATCCAGCCAGTAGGGTATCGACACTTTGTAGCACTCGCTAAATCGCACCATATTGGTTATTAAATCTCGTCGCCATAGAGGAAACCAGAGCTATGCAGGGTAACTGCACGCAACACGCAACTGTAGGAGTTGCACGATCGGGCATCTGGCGTTGGGTCTGGCGGGATCGAATTTGAGCATTTGAATGGTCGATCAGAAAGTGGTCGCAGAAATAAGGAATCTGCGAGAGGCAGGGGTCTTGATATGCTGATAGAAGTAGTCAATGTAAGTGGGAATGCGTAAAGATATGACAGGCAGAGGCTGGAAGCCATCATGCCGAATTTCGATTAGTAACACCGAGCACTCGCTCATGAACAGTACTTGCAGCCGAGCATCATGCTCCAAATCCTCCTTTGTCCAAATGAAGTCTTTGCCCGATAACGGTACGAGCAACGAGAAAGGCGCATCTCATGATGAAGGATGCCCTCCCGGGAGGAAGTATTTATCAAAGACGAATCTGCCGAAAGCTCTGCCAAAGGGTTGCACTCTGAAACGATACTGCGATGAGTCCCGATGGTAGTCGTCTCACAACTCCAGGTCAGAGCATAGCGCAATACCTCTAATCATTAACGTTAAATGCCTCGACTCCTACCTTTCCATTTGACTCCCTTATGTTGGAGCCAATTGTTAAGAATCATGTGGTATGAGCATAAGCTACTCGCCATGGTTGTTGATGCCTACGGGTGCTGCGATGTTTCTACTGTTGGCAGTCTCCGAGCAACTTTCTCCTTCACTCGAGCGAAAAACGTAACAATCTTCTGCTATGCAGCAGAAACTCTGACGAAGGTAGAGTCAAATGACCTGTGCTGATTTTTTTGCCTATGCTCTAATCTGAAGTCCATTTTTCCATCCACTGCTTGATATCTCCAGATGCAGGAACTTCAGCTACCACTGGTTGTGGTCCTCTCCTTGGATCAAATTCCGACTCGTCCTCCCAGTCCAAAGTCTTGTCAGTCTCCGACTTCTCTGGTGCGAACGAGACGCCCTTCTTCTTCTGTTTCCTGTTCTTCATCTCATTCTGCTGTGTTTCGTTCGCATGTTTCGCTGATGAGTCTGCTCCCGAAGAAGCCACAGCACCGCTGGAACCTTCGTCCAAGAGTTGTCCTAATGTTTTGCCCTCCTTCTCTTTCTTGCCCGATCGTATCTCATTTGCTGCAACAGCTGCAGCAGCTCTTCTCTCCTGGTATGCGGCTTGCTCTTCTTCACCTTTTCGTACAGCATCATCCGACCAACGTTTCGCTAGGCGCATAATGTAAGGACGTAAGAACCAGTATGTAAGGACGAGTGCTGCAAGTCTCAGATAGTCTGACCAATCGAGACTGCCCTTCTGCATGTATCGCTGAACCACATTGAGGCGCGATAGGTCTTTCGGAGGTGGGACATAATCAACCATGATGAACGATGTGAACCTTTTCTCTTCACGGATCTCGCGCCTGGTTGACTGCTAGTAAACTTAGGTAGACGAAAACAACGACCCTAGAGTATCTGTGCCGTTTATGATGGTTCTCGGTTTAGTACTAATCAGGAAGACACAGTTCGAGATTGATAGCAGTGTGGTTAATAAGAGCATCTGTTTCTGTTTGCAACGGGACGAGTCGACGAGAAACGTCTATATATACGCCGATCTCCGCGAGAGGAGTCCCAGGTCCTCTCAAGCAACCAAGCAGCCGCTTATGGGCCATCTGAAGCGACTATATTATGGCAACTCTATTCGCCACGAAAAGTGCTCAGCTGCAGCTGATTGTCGAAAACAACTGAAGTCTACGAACCCATACATATTTATCACACCCCATTGCGACAACTTTCTGCAAAGTATCTTCGGCGCTGACGCCAAGTGCGTAAAGAGAATGTCAAGAAGATGCGTTTCTTCCGTCGGGCTCTACTGCAGGCTTTGTGACTACAAAGCAACACGGTCACGACAGCGTCGACGATGCTCAACGCGGAGGCACCGCCCACGATCTTGCAAGAGCATTAATCTGCCTTTGCACACTTGAAGTGGAGGCAACTACAGATTGCTGGTGTAGCCAGCTTGCGTCAATAGGCCACACAAGGACTACAGGGACGTGCGAAACCAAACCTGGAAATTATGCGCGCGAAAACATGGCAACCAAGGTATACTGAACTACGAGCACACAAGCAGCGTGGTTGATCGATTACCATTAACGTGCAGCACCCTTCTGTAAAAGAAACAGCGATCTTGCAACTATGTCTCCTGCTCCTGCCAGATAATCACCTACTTCTGCAAACGTCCTTTCTTTGCCATTACTTGTACCACTGCCTTAGAGCAACATCCTCCCCCGACGTCTTCTACGCTATTACCTGTATCACACAGCGACTGAAAGATGGCTCATCACGAACTACAACGAGCATCCCTGCTCGTCCCGATCTTCCTCTGCTTCCTCTTATTAGTCCTTCCCAGTCTTTCCACTACAATAGCAGGCGCTACCACGGGACTCGGCCCTGGTGCAAGACAACGACCAATTCGGCAGGAGATTTCTGTATTCTCAGAATCAGGACCAGTCTGGGATTTGTACATACAGGCTCTGAAACGTTTTCAAGATGCCCCAACTGACGACAAATTCTCATACTATCAAATCGCTGGCATTCACGGCTATCCACAGGTGGCATGGGACGATGTCTACGGAAATCCTAATGGTGGCACGGGATATTGCATGCACAACAGTGTACTCTTTGAACTTTGGCACAGGCCATATCTGGCGTTATTCGAGGTAAGCATGCTCGACAGGCCGCGTTTTTGTGTCGGTTTTCTGTATGTTGCTTCACATGCTGTTTAACATACTGTTCCCCTTATACAGTATCGCCTTTCTTACAACTTTGCTGCCTCATTATATTCGTCTTCTTTATCTCCTGATGCTCTATCACTCGTCTATCAGCTTGCCGCTTCTCATGTCGCATTCTCTACCTCTTATACCTACCATGTTGCCCCACCATTCCCTATTCATCCCTCTTTTACTCCTCTTCAATTCGGCTTTGTTCCTCTTCTGTTTTCCTTCTGTTTTCCTTATTCTGCTCGACCTTCTCTCTCGTTGCTTCATAATTCTCCTCTAGTTCCCCTCTAATGTTTAATTAACTCAACTTTGTGTAGCAAACGTTATCGGAGCATGCACGAGCAATCGCCTCCGCGTATCCTGCAGACGTTCGTCCTAAATATATTTCTGCTGCTGAAAGCCTACGTATACCCTACTGGGATTGGGGACAAACTTTTCGATTGCCGGATGCTGTAACCAAGCTGTCTTTGGTCGTCAACAGCCCTGAGGGTTTACAATGTATCAGCAATCCACTCCGGCGGTATGATTTTCAAATTGACGTGGAAGAAATAGTCACTTATGATTACGGCTTTCTTAACAAACTGAATCATACTGCTCGCCACTACGATCCCATTGTCGGAAGCCAAGAGGAAGCAGCATCGGCACGACTCTTAGTCAGTTCAGCGGGAAGGTTGAGCAACCTATATCAACTCATTACTTCAACCAGCAACTGGACAGAATTCGCCCCACACCTGATTGGCAACGAACAAAACCCAAAGACCAATCTCGAGAGACTACACGGCGGAGTACACAACGATGTCGGCGGAATAGGTGGGTCGACCGTAGCTTTGGGCCATATGACGGTCATACCCTTGTCCGCCTTTGACCCGATCTTCTGGTTGCATCATGCCAACGTTGACCGCATAACAGCCATCTGGCAAGTCCTCCATCCAGACGATTACGTACAACCGGTCCTCGACCATGACGGTACTTACTACCAAGAGCCTGCTCAATTGGACCACCTGCAGACCTCCCTAGCCCCTTTTCATTCTGATGGTAGTACAGAGATGTGGACAGCAGCTACGGTCAGAGACACTGCAATCTTCGGATACACTTATCCGGAGTTGATCGATTGGAATGTGTCTGCATCGGATTTGGTCACGAGCGTGCGTCAGAAGGTCAACGAGCTCTACAATCCTGATATTCAGCCGACAAAAAACAGAACCACACTAAGAAACTATCCTCGCAATGCCAACCTAGCTAAGGCTATGAGCAATGTCCATGGAGATATTGCTCTACAGCTTGGGGTCAACAATCTGAACGTGCAGTGGTACCTAAGACTCGTCGTGGTAGGACTGGCAGTAGAGCAAGGTGTCTCTGTCTATCTTTTCGTTGCTAAAGCGCCAACAGATTGCTCTTTGTGGTCGAGTGCCAATACCTTGGTGGGCGCCTTCAGCCCGTTTGGTTCAAGAAGGCCGACGACTATGCACCAGGTAGACATTCCATGCACTCATATCATTGCTGCTGCTGTTGATCGCGGCGTGCTTCCAGGAATACGTTCTGACGCAGTGGTTCCCTTCCTCAGTAGGAATCTGGTGGTCAAAGCTATGCGCGCCGATGGCACTGAGTTCAGCGCCGTGCCAAGCTCGGGCGTCAAGCTTTGGATCGTCAGCCGCCCGGTCCAGCCACGAAAGAGTCTATCCGAATTTCCTTTATATGGTGATTTCAAGCTGGAGATGCAGCTTATCTGACAGCTAGGCATGAAGCTAGAAATCTATGGACCATGCAGGCAGCTATAATCATGGCCAAAGTATTGAGCAAAGCAGCTCATACGAAGCGTATGGCTTGAAAGCGCGTGCTTGCCAGGTCATTCGAGCGTTCAATTTTTAATCTGGGGAAAGGAGATTGAAGTGGGGCGGTAGAAAGCGAGACTAGACTAGGTTAATTTTAGCTCTCAGCCCACCATATGGGCCAATCATGTGGGCGAGCTGTTCCTAGACATAGGGGGCTTCTATGCTGACCTTTAATTGCCCGTTTCGTCTGGGCTCTACCTGTTTCCTACTCTCTTTGCGACGTTTCAATTCTGTACACTGTCCTAGATTTCCCTGCCCATCAGGAGTACACTCTTTCTAGGCACTGCAGCTACTATTGAACGACACGAGCGGATATTCTAGTCAGTCCCAAACTCGAAAACCGAAATAGTCGATATGGTATCCTTCAGCACGCTCTTCGCAGCAGCGCCTTTGCTAGCTATTGCTCTTGCGCAAAAGGTCGCTTTTACTTCCGTGCCAGCTTCGCTCGCTGCGGGAGATAGCTACAAGTGAGCAAAATAACAACGAGAGCTGCTTCGAAAATACTGACACCAGTAATAGCATCACGTGGGGCAGTGGAGATGGTACTCCAGTCAGTCTGACTTTGCGACGAGGAGATCCAAACTACTTGAGCACCGTCGCGACTATTGCCGATAACGTAGCAGAAAGTTACTACGTCTGGAACGTGCCTACCACTTTGCAAGCTGCGGAGTAAGTGCTGAGCTGATTGCGAACGTGCCTGGCTAACAGTATTCAGCGATTATGCTCTGCAGATCACCCAAGGCCAGAGCGACATCAACTACTCCGGCCTCTTCAGTATCACTGGTGGCACTGGAGCAAACTCGACCAGCACAGCACTGGCCAGCACAACAAGCGCTTTTAGCAATTCGAGCATGAGCATAACCACACCCGCAGCGAGTGCGTCAGGAACTGGCTCGACGATGATGCGCAATACTACCTTCAGCACGGCTTCCTTGAGCACTACCAGTGCTTCAACAACCTCCGGAGAAACAAGCAGTACTCGCTCGTCCTCCACACGAACGAGCGCTGCTTCGACGCAAGCCACGTCAGCTCCTTCCAACGACGCTCCACTCAAGGCTGGCTCTTCTGCTGCTCTCATCCTCGGCATCGTCGCAGCTGTCATGCTACACTAGAAGTCTGCCTCACGCTCGTCTTGGGGGCAGTGAGAATACTTGTGAATCCTATTTTGGCCTCTATAGCGTAGGAGTCCTTGGTTGTGTAAAAATTTCTGGATACTATGTATACCACATGGCTGTAATTACTGGAGATGCACAGTGTTGAGAAGAATGCTACACATGTATCATTATATAGAAAAGTCCATTGGTGTAACATGGTTTTTGCTCTGTATCTACTCAGTTATCGCTCGGTTCCATTTGAGTGCTCCACGCGTACCAACGAATAAGTAAACTAAAAAGATACTGATGATGCAATACGCGGGAACTGTCACAACATAGTGCCGAAACTGATCAACAACTGTAGTACTACATAATCTGAACAGCACCTACGTATAGTTTAAGAACGAACTGAATCTATAACTATACAAACAACATCTTCACAAGTCGCGAACCATTCTACAACAGCGCTACGTCCCACGAGCCCTCCTCATCGATATCAATCGCGTGAAAGACCACCACAATAAACCACCCACCCACCCACCATGTCCCTCGCACCCAAATTCTCCGGCCAACTCCTCCCCCTCCACGACAGCACACCCCCGAAACCTGGCCAAACATCCCAAATCCCCCACACCCTCGAAATCTACCTCGACTACGTCTGCCCCTTCAGCGCCAAACAATTCCTCACCTTCTACAACGACGTCGTGCCGCTCATAAGATCCAAATACCACGCCCCCGGCGTCCGCGTGATCTTCCGCCAACAGATCCAGCCATGGCATCCGTCAAGTACGCTGGTACACGAGGCGGGCGCGGCAGTCCTGCAGATTGCGCCGGGCAAGTTTTGGGAGTTTAGTAAGGTGTTGTTTGAGAGGCAGGAGGAGTATTTCGATGTAAAGGTGGTGAATGAGACGCGGAATCAGACGTATAAGAGGTTGGCGGAGTTGGCGGAGGAGACGACGGGGGTGGAGAAGGCGAAGGTGTATGAGTTGTTGAGGGTTGGGGAGGAGCCGGACAAGGATGGGGGATTGAATATTGGGAATAAGGTGACGGATGATGTGAAGTATATGACGAAGACGAATCGGTTGGTGGGGGTGCATGTTACGCCGACGGTGTTGTTTGATGGTTGGCCTGAGGGGAGTATTAGTTCGAGTTGGACGAAGGATCAGTGGGCGGAGTGGCTGGAGAAAAACTTGAAGTGATTGTGTGGCTTTAGTGGTCGAAAGGTTCGAGACGACAGAGGCCGGAAGACGAAGCAACGCTGTGTTGTCGCCGTTTTGAAAAGCAGTATCATATTCACACCAGCTATCCTGTCAACATCTATTGCTCGAGCTCTACAGAGCAAGCTCGCAGGGCTCAACAAGCGCCAGCCAATGTATCAGAACTGCTTTCCAAGCATCATAACTCTTAATATCATGCCATCATACATGTCGTTCATGTCGTGTACAGAAAAGACCGCCTTACATGCAGGGGATCGTGGTAAAAGCATTCCTACGCCGCCCAGTGCTTTTTGAATTAAATAGTCGCGTGCAGTATACTACTGAGGAGCCTGGTAGTTCATGGGTCTCCTACAAAGCGGTCAGTATGAAGTTATAGCTGGGCAAGTGCTACTGACTTGAAGAGGAGAATGTGTGGCTCTGGTTCATGAACCTCATAGTGCTCCCAGCCTAAACTCTGTGTTATACCCAGACCCCTCCACTCTTCTTCCCACAATAGCTTCAATGTACCTTTGGCAGGATCGAAGTAGTCTCGAGGTATGGCTTTCAGCATGGCCTTTGGTAGCTGCACATGTCGATACTCGTACTCGCTGTCGTTGTATCTATGATCTGTGTTAGCACACATGACCACGAGCAGGCACAGTGTATTCCCTACCTTGCAGAATAGCCAATTGAGTCGATGTATTCGTCCAGCCTGGCCCTTTCACCTTCCTGCAGTAAGCGAGGCTTTTTGTTGCGCCTGGTCGCATCCAGATCGTTGTTCGCTGTTGTGGCTGCCATGGTGAAAACGAAGCAAAGACGAAGTCAGAGATAAACCTCGGTCAGCAAGCGAAAGATTTCACTGCTGTGCAGCGACCGTGTCCACAATTGAGTTATCTGTGCCTGATGCAGGCGGATGGATAGGCTCGATGCCGATGGTGGGGAACAGAAAAGTTGTAGATCCGAGCAGGAGCGGTGTATTGTGCAGAAATTGCAAGCTGTGAAAACGGAAGATGTCACCTTGGGTTTGTATATACTGGTACACAAGACGCGTCGGTGTGGTGAGAGGAATACGCGCAATATGTTCAAAAACGAGGATTACACTTTCGCAATAAACAGCACGAGACCGACTGGCAAGGACCACCAGCCGAGAAGATTGCTCTGTTTGCACATGGTTCCCAGAACGACGGTAGTTTGGGGAAGGTCTACCGAGACTAGTTTTGGCTGCGGCTGCCACGAGTCGCAGCGTTGGGCCCCAGAGCGTGACACGCCTGGAGTGCAGAGAAGCGCATGCATGTCGCGCCTTTGATGGGTATCGCAACACAACGAGAAAGCAGCGCATGCCGTACACGATCCTCTTACAAAAGTGAAAGAGAGCCTGCGGATCTCATAAGCGTAATAGAGCAAATATTGCACCATATCGCAGCCTGAACCCAACTTCAACAGTCGCATGCCGACCGTCCACCAGTTCGTGTGGTAGTGTTGTATGGATAGAAAGACCAAAGTCCACGATGAATGGCAAGCGTCGAGCAGGCCATGTTGACTCGCCCGAATTATCGACACCAGATCCTCCCCAGAAACGCATCCGCAAACGCAACGACGTAAGTAGCTAGTCCTCTCACCCACTTTCCTGCACTCAACTCGCACCATTCTATCGCGTCGACCATCCTCTGCGCAGCTGGGAGAAATGCGTCCCGCAGTGCACCCACTCGCACTTTCGACTGCTGCGCCCACGAGAATGCACGCATGTTGAGAACGTAGAATCTGACTGCTCTGCATATCCTGCATACCACTTCTCTTCAAGCAACCTCGCTAATTGGCACATATAGGACACTTATTTCCCTGACGTCGAAACTGTAGACAGCACTCAGGAACTAGGCACGAAGATCATCAGTTTACTGAAACGATCCCAAGACAAAAATGGACGTCTCATTGCGACAGAGTTCCTGGATCTGCCAGAGAGGAGTTTATACCCTGATTACTACGAGCAGATTCCCCTGCCGATGTCCATCACTGTTATTGAGAAGAAGTTGAGTCGTGGCGAGTATGCCAGCATGACAGCTCTCGAATCAGACCTGAAGAGGATGGTCCAGAATGCTAAAGACTATAATTCCAGCAAGTCTGAGATCTTCGAGGATGCTGAAAGGATTCGAAAGGCCCTATCAAATTTCATGCCAAAGCATAATCCAGCATACCAAGATCCCGAATATCGAGCAGTGCCAACTCCAATACCCGATCACGTCGTTCGATCTGCTCCCAGGGAAGCTTCAGCCACCGCCAGTGAACACAGCACCATTAAATTAAGACTAAACACTGGTGGCAGGCCGAGGAGTGCTGCTCCAAGCGACCCTCCTGCAATCCCTACACCCGACGAGGATATGACACAGGCTCAATTGGATATCCTTGATCAGCTGTCCGTGCAGGACGATGCCATTAATTTCGAGCACAAACCCTCTAGGCGAGATTATGGCGATTACTACAGGATCATCAAACAGCCGACCTCAATCAACGATGTCCGCAAGTCAGTGCAGCAAGGCAAGGTCAAGTCGTGGGAAGACTTTGCCAGGGAAGTCAGATTGATATGGACAAATGCAAAGGAGTATAACGAACCCACTTCTACCATATATTCCATGACTGAACGCCTGGAGACATGGACAGAAGATAAACTAAAGGCCCACGGTGTGGCTCCGAAAGTAGTTACCAAACTGTCTTTGAAGACCCAACCTCCTCCGTCATTGAAGTTGAAGGTTGGAACACCGGCACCTGCGACAACTGGCAGTGGTTATACTGTCGATCAATCTGCTCTTGACCGCCAGAAATCAGAATTGGCCTCGGCGCTGAACCGAGCAAGAGATGGATCAGAGGTAACTTCCACTCCAGTACCGCCTGTACCATCCTCTCTTCGACGGAGTATCTCGGTTGTCGATCCGGGTGTACCTATGACGGGCACGAACGGAACTGCAGCTACACCTCTTATACCATCCAGACCATCGGTACCACCACCAGGACCGGCTCACCTTCCCGCACCAACCCTCGAGGGAGAGCTACCAAGACAAGAGCTAAAGTCCTCCTTGCAACCACCACTAGCTCCTCTAACGAACGGCTACCACGCTCCACCTCGATCGCAACCACAAGTTCCTACCTCGAACATTTTCGCCGAATCCTCGAACCCAATAGACCGCAAGTTTCGTGACCCGAACAAATCCTCTGCCGATGCCCTTCTCCCCTCCATAACATACATGACCAGCCCACTTCTCGTATCCGACCCTCACTGGAAAATCACCCGCTTCGCCCACCCTCAGAAAACACAAACAAGTTACTACACATATCTTCCCTCCACACACTCTGCCCTGCGCGTCGTCCCAGAATTACATCTCGACCTCAAGCAGGGCCGGCGCAAGTACAAGCTCTTCGTACTGAATAACAACACAGTCGTACCCGCAAGTCCAGACGTGGCAGGGCAGGGCGTGTATGATTTACAGCTTATGCTTGGGGAAAACGTGATAACTGTTGAGGCCATTAGTGCCTTGCAAGACGGAGAGAGGAAAGAGTATGCACGGGATTGGGAGCAGTTTGATTTCGAGCGTGTCACTTTCTATGTGTATCTGCGACCTCAAGGGTTGTGACGTTGAAGGTGTGACCAGCAAGTTACATTTGGAAGGGTCGCCTTTCTGCACTGATACTGTTATACATAATACCTCGATACTGCAATGCAGTCCGGGGGCTTTGTGGACGTGAGTAGTCCGCCAGTGATTACAACTCACGCATGGTTAGGAGGGTTTTGGTGGCTGGAGTCTTTCGGAGGCATGAGTATGGTGCCTAACATTTTCGAGATCTAGTATACGTACTTCGTCAAAAAGTACGAGTTATATCTTAGACAATATAAAACTGTCTATTTACATTATTACTACATAACTTCCACTCATCTTCAGCCATAATTGCGCGTTTTGAGAATGGCAAGCGTGAGCGAGCAATTGTCATGGGCTGTTGAGGTACGAGTGCGTTTACAATACTTTGATCGCTGCATCAAATAGCGAAGATTGTGTCAAATGTCTACAAGAGAGGCAACAAGATAGAGCTGAATCAATCGTTTTACATAGGTTCCGAGATATAAGCTATGTCAATTTACATCGTTAAATCATGCCTTGATATACCTAGGTATGAAGGAGAAAAGAGTTCCTTTCAAAAATGCCATCGGTACTACCTATTTTGTCCAGCTTCTAGTTGTGCTGGGGTCGTCGGCTGCTGCCTCTGTTCAGTGGCGGCACCATTGCGTATACGAGAGATCGCAGGCAATCGTGGTAGGTTTAACCTCGTGCGCCATGTGCGTTGTTGTTGAGCTTGTTCCGTGACGCCGCCTTGGATTGTTGCCTCGCTCTGCTCACGGCCTCGAGTATTTGTTGACACTCGAGAGTTCTGTCGTTGATCATTGAAATCATTCATGAAATGGCGACCAAACACCGTCATTGGCGGACCGCGACCTCTTCTGGCTCCGAACATGGCCATCTGAGCCATTTCTTCACGAGTAGGTCGACGCCGTATATCTTCAGTTTCTCCTTCTGGGCGAGGCTTTGGAGTGTAATAATCTGCTTTGCACAACGGGCAACAGGCTCGCCGAGATGTGAGCCATGGGTCAACACACGATGCATGGAAAGCGTGGCCACAAATCAAACCGCGGATATCATCATCGTCCTCAAGTACATCAATACAAATAGCGCAGGTATCACCAGGGTCTGGTAGCTGTTCGGCAGGTATAGCAGTTTGTATTTGATCTGCAGCTTCGTCCTCGTCATCAGCATTTGTCTTAATTGCTGGTGTAGTTGTAGTCTCATTTACTAGATTGTCAGCATCGGTCTTGCTCGGCGGGTTGTCGTGTCGTAACGTGACAGGTGAACTAGGCTCGCTTGGACTTGTCTTCTCCTTCATTGCTTCTGAGGTGCTAGTCGGTGGCGCATTTCTGTTCTCATCCTCGGAGACCCTGGGCAGATTCTTGACACTTGCCGGGCGACTTGGTGCAGTAGTGATTCCTCCAGCAGTGGGTAATCCTTCTTCAGCACGGGTAGATCGCCATGTTTTGTACTTGGTAAGAGGAAACTTTTCGTTCACTTCTTCCATCGTCATCAACTTCTTTTCACGTCGTCGTCTTTGACGAGGCATCGCCGCGAGGTCGACTGCATCTGGGTCATCTCCAGCAAGTCTTGCCCGATTCCGTTGGTTGTATCGGAAACAATACTTCACGCCTACAATGATCCTGTCGTAGAGTTAGACTAGCTGCGAGACAGAACAAGAGAGTCGGCATACCATAAGTTTGTGAACACAACACCAAAACCGAGTGCGACAAAGAAGAGTAATGGGGAGCTGGGTCCGCCATTATTCTGACCAGTTGGTGAAGGAGTGGGCGAGCTTGTTGGCGTGCTCGGTACTGTAGATGTAGACGACATGGTAGAATGAGTTCACAGGCAACTGCTCGGGTGTGTGCAGACTGTTTAGGATTGAACCGGTAACAGCTTGCTCGGTTCAGTCGGGTAGTTGCAGTCGAACTTGGATGGTGGTCAACGGATGAGCTCGAGAAAGCCGTGAGCTGGTTCTCGCAAGCCCTTTGGCGGCGAGTTCCAATAATTCCTTTGCCTTAAAGTAAAGTGCTGAGAGGATGGAATGTGGTCGTGCGAAGGATGTGAGGCTGGACCGTCGCTCTCAGATTCCGGCTTATCTCCGCGTGCCGGTCGGCTCCCAACTACACTGTCCGTGGCGATTCTTGACGTATGGACTTGCGAACGTGTAGTTGAAAGTGGTCGATGAGATAGAGCAGTCTCACTATCTTGCGACCATCTCGAAGTCGTGGTAAGAGTGGATGTGTACGTAGGATAGTGGCAACAACGCAGGCCACGAACTGCGACGGAGTCTGCGTCAAGATTAAGAGCGAAAGCAGGCTATGTCGGGTGGGCCAAGTTTTCTTGTGCCGTGATAGTCGAGGAGGCAGGTGCTTACTGGCTCTTTCCCGAGTCGAGTGGCTACAAAGTTTATGGTACAACCAGTCAAAGGTCGCCCAGGAAGCAGCTAAGACCAGTGCCACGACCCTGACCTGCCTCCACCTGAATTCCAAGATGTGGGCTGGCCTCGGATTTGAAAAAGCACTGCCTATGCAGGTGATAAGATACTGTACTATCTCTTCTGCAGCAATACTTGAGTCGCTTGGTCATCGCCGACCTGTTTCTCGCGATAAAGATGTACCAGAATTGTGTGCGTGTTGTGCTCTCCTTTACAGCACACAAAAGCTGGATGAGGGCTGAAACGTTTCACCCTTGTGACAAACGAACCTTATTAAGCTTGCTTGTTTATGCTTAGTCAAGAATTGGTGACTAGAACTTGTGGTTTGTTCAAAGACTATTCTCGGGTTTCTGCAGAAGGACATTTACTTCACGATCTTTTGGATTCGATCCTGTGCACTTCGCATTCCTGCAACACACAAGAGCCTCTGCACAGGAGTTTTGACTACATTCTGATAGCGCAAAGCCGTGAGACATTTCCCCAATGTACTTTCTACAAACACGCGTCAAGGCTTGACTTACTCAGCGGAGCGAACCAACGTCACGCCGCAGCACATGTGAAGCACTCGTACTGTGATGTAGGGCCCAGGTCCTTGCCTTGTGTCAATCTCATTGATCGATGTATACACGTAATCTTCGGGACGGACTACGTTCGTGTCTGACAAAAATCTACCATCAGTATTCGTACTTGTTGCGAACCGCCCAGCAACTCAGTCGTTTCGTTTGCATGTGCTTTCGATTCGAATTCCAGAAGCCCTGCATGAAAATGCACAGCCTACTGACCCGAAGGATCACACAACGACAAGTCCTCGCTAGCGCAAGCCGGGAGTAGAGGAGAAAGACGGAGGAAATGCGGAGTGAACATGGAGTAAGTTGGGGTATGGGAACAACGGCTGGCAGCAGACCACGATGAATGTCCTAGATCGGCAGTAACACTGCAACCAACCAGGGGCAGCTTCCACGACTTTACTTGACGTCGCAGAATGGAAGTCCTACACTCCTCACTGATCAATAGATCATATTTCTCGCATCTAGGCACAGCGGACTCACCGACCAACGACAATGGCTTCCAATGTCCTGCAACACGCGACCGAGCCTAGGAAGAAGGAGATAATGCGAGAAAAAGTGCCAGTACCAAACCCAGACAAGCCACCATCTCCATCGAGCTCATCAGCTGGCTTTTTCCAAACACCTCCCGAAGTGCCCAATCAGTTTTACGACGACGATGCGCTTCGACGCGGAATGCAACTGTTTCTACCACAACAGGTACGAAATGTCATCGCCCCTGACATGTCGAATTTTGGTGCCAAGGTTCTATCTCCTCAAGTTTTGAGCTGGGTCTCTGACGCCGAACGCAACCTACCATACGTAAAACAATTTGACTCTTGGGGTCGACGGCGTGATGAGCTCTTTACCAGTGAAGGTTGGCGAAATTTGCAAGCCTTGGGTATCGCGGAAGGCATGGTCGCGATACCGTACGAAAATCAATTTCGGGAGTACTCTCGAGTTTACCATTTCGCGAAATATGCTCTTTGGTGTGGAAGCGCAGCATGGGTCAATTGTCCAAGTTTGATGGTAGATGGTGTGGCAAGCCTGTTCCGGAAGCATCTGAGTGATCCGAAACTGCCTAAGGATCAGAGATCGGTCGTACAAAGTGCTTATGATAGGCTGACTAGTAGGGTTCCTGATTATGCATGGACTACAGGTCAGTGGATGACTGAAAGACAAGGAGGAAGCGACGTCAGCAAGACTGAAACACTCGGCAAATACGCTCCGGACTCTGTGCCTGAAGTTCTGGCCACAGATGGGCAAAGACTAGGACCTTGGTTGATAGATGGCTTCAAATGGTTCAGCAGCGCAACCGATGCAAACATGATGGTCATGCTAGCAAGGACTCCGAAAGGTATCAGCACGTTCTATTGTCCTATGAGAAAGATGCTCAAGCAGAGGGATGTTTTGGGCAATGACACGGAGCTGAACGGTGTTTCTATCCAGCGACTCAAGAACAAACTTGGCACTCGAGCCTTGCCTACAGCAGAACTTGAATTGAAGAACGTTCGTGCCTGGCTCATAGGTGAGGAGGGACGAGGCACGAAAGAGATTGCTACTGTGCTGAATATTGCTCGTATCCATAATGGTGTCACTGCAATCGGACTATGGGGTCGAGGCCTGGCGGTTGTTCGTGCTTTTACCAAAGTTCGAGTCGTTGGCGGCAAGCCACTATGGGAAAGAACAGCATTTATGCACAATCTTGCACTCATGCACACAGAATATCGAGCCAACGTGCTTCTCAACTTCTTTGTTGCCGGCCTTTTGGGCGTCGTCGAACAGCAGCAGATCGCCACATTTACGGGGCAAAAGCTCCACGACAATGAGCGTTTAGGCTGTATCCCGGGACTTCAAGATGTTCAAGTGGCAAATGACCTTCTCAGGCTTTTGACTCCAGCATTGAAAGGCCATTGTTCAAAGACGGCTATCTCGGGTCTGCAGGAGTGCATGGAGAGCCTGGGAGGGGTGGGATATCTGGAGAACGACGATATGCAGTACAATATAGCGCGGTTGTATCGCGACGCCAACGTCATGCCCATATGGGAGGGCACAACCGACATGATGGCAGATGACACAGTGTTGAGAGTGCTTTTTGGCAAGGCCAGGAATTCAGTGCTGGCTTCCTTGGGTTCTTGGTTCCAGGCAGTGATCACACAAGTTAATGAAAGTAACGATTTTAACGAACAGTGCAACACGCTGCAAGTATGGTGGAAGGGGCTGAAGCTGATAACAAGTCAAGCATCCAGAGAGGAGGCGGAGATGAAGTGCCGTGCTATCATGACAAGACTGGTTGATATTGTGCAGGGGAGCTTGCTGTTGATCGATGCGCTTCGTGACAGAGACGAGGTTGCAATCTTGGTTGCTGAGTCGTGGTTCCGTTGTAAGAATGCGAACGCTATTCTTGAGCACGGCACATGGACGGATCAGCAATTAGCAGACGTGAAGATTGTGTTTGGGACAAATAGGCCTGAGGTCGTAAAGTCGAAACTGTAAATTGAAGTTCATGTAACATCTTCGATTTGTGGTGTGCCAGTGGCAGGCCGGTTAATTGCTATATCTAATTGCAACAGGTACCGTGTCTGTGGGACGAGGCAGCTCGCATGTACGGCAAGTCAGCACCTCCTGTATTGACGAAGTGGCAGGAGGGACCACGAGGCAAAGCAATGCATGACTCAGGCATCACCTTGTTGCACTCGAGAGTACCAGATTACCCAGGTGTCAACAATCAGAGCTCTGACAAACCTCAGCAGCATGCAGGTCGGAAGCGAGCACCCAAGGACAGCCTTCAGATTGCAGTGGTAATGGCTAATGAGACGACATGTTTCAGGAAGTAGGAACCTTGCCAAACTCTTCCCGATAATTATGCCTTCCTCATTGGCGATGCTTGGCAATGCTTGGCTGCAGGAAACCGTCCCAAACTTCACATTTCTCGCTTAAAGACTTTACATTAAGCCTTTCCTGGCACGAAAGTACAGTTGTACCTCCAATCAGGAGGTCTTCCGGTTAGCTGTCGTTCTAGATTCACAGCACGCATACTGCTCGTCTGATTCGGAGGCTGCTGGGATAGCAAATACTACCATGCCACGAAGCAGGGCTATGTCTGAGACGGACTCCTATACATAATGCTTGATTGACTGCTGTTCTGCAGCAATCACTCGCCAACTCAATAACTCCTACGAGGTCAGACGAGAACCGATAAGCTGGCTTGGACTTTGTCGCTCGAGACAACGTGATGGTGGCAAACACAAACTGAGATACCATCAGCAACTGACCCTCTGGCCCTTGAGCATTAGGTCAAACAAAAGCAAGTCCACCCTCTTGCGAAAATGAAACCAATCCACGCGATGTTCATCACGTTCCAGCTCCTCTGCTCTTTGGTACTCGCTACAAAAATTTACGACGATTTTGATTTTCCACCCGCGCTCCCTCTCGAGTCAGTAAACAATGCTAGCCAACACATTATGCCATTACTTGACACTCGGAACTTGTTGGACCCGAGACAAGGCACTGAGCCTACAACGGCACAGGCATGCTGGGACGTTGGATATGGTTGGTGTAGCAGTAAGTCACACTTTTCATGCCAGCTTTGCGAGTCTACCAGCGAGGACTGACGAAGTTGTCCAGACATACCAAAATGTTGTCCACCATCTCCCTGGGGTTGCTGCTATGGCTCATGTCGAGATCCTACATGGGGCGACTGCTGCGGTCAGGGACAATGTTCACCTTCTAATCCACAATGCTGCGACAACAAAGGCTGTATCGGCAACCAGGACGAATGCTGTCTAGGCGATACCTGGTGTCCTGCCCCATTCAAATGCTATGAATACGTCCGAACGGGACAGGATATCTGCTGCACTGACTCAAGCTGCCTGGTCTACCTCAGCGGTTCAGTCACAATGACAAGGGGCGCTACCTCGGCAGCCGTCACCGCACCAGCCGCGACAACAACAACAAGAGCAATCGCAACTACAACCTCAAGAGCAGTGACCACATCTCGAGCAATCACGAGCAATTACGTGGCAGACGATACAACTCTCCGCTATTACGACACGACAATCTACTGGTCATACTGGTATTATTTCTACACGGTTTACTCCATTGTATCGACGACTACATCGCGTGTTCTCACAACGGTCACTTCTACTACCACATTCAGTTGCTCAGCCACGGACATTTACGAAGCTCGATCTACTTTCTCTTTGAGTAGTAGTGAGCTTCCAACTCCCAGCAATGCTGGTGTTACTATTCCCGTTACGCCGACGGCTGGTGCCGTCTTGATAGGATCGTGTACTTCGAGTATTTCGGGCAGCACGGTGACAAGCTCGTGTAAGACGGAGAGGGCGAGTGCAACGGCGAGCACGAGAAGTAGTACTAGTGCTGGCAGCACTGGGAGCAGTAGTAGCTCAAGTGGTGGATTGACTGCCGCAGCAAGCAACTCGATGAAGATGCCGGTGCTATCATGCTTACTGGCGTTGCTATGTGCAGCATTAATGGTTTTTTTATGAACGTAGCGTTGATACAGAGTCACGAGGCGTTGTTGTGAAGACTTCAATAAGAGTATCTATTCCTTAACATATCGAGGGATCATGTGTCAGCGACGACTTGGTGTTCTTGAGTGTCCTGATACCAGCTCTTCCTTACCAATCTTTCCTTCCACCAGCATCTGAACCAGTGCCCTGGACCAGTGGTTCTCTTCTTGGACACTGGTAGTTGTGAAAGCTATATTGACACTTTGCTACGCTGCCACAGCACCAATAGGATACCGCTCCTTCTTCCAGAACTTGAATCCCCTACCGCCACGCTTCCTCGGCGGTTCGAGCATATCAGGCACCACATATGGCATGGGCAGCTCCGCTCTCTGTGCTTCAGTCAAGTGACGATCTGGTAACTTGTGTTCCGGTATCTCGCCGATTTTGGTCGACGCTGTCATGAAGGTCATCATGGATGTTGGACGAAGCCTGCTCTCGCGTTTATCCACACCGCCTTCTTCTTGCATCCCGCATTGCTGTTGCCGTGGTCGAGAGTGAAGTGGAACCTTGGGAGGTCTGATAGGCAGGATTTGATCTCCTTCCTCATGTTGTGCTTCATAGTGTGGCAACAGCGATTGTGGAAATACGTTGAAGAAGTCTGATGGGACAATGTACATGCTTGGATACCGAATCAACTCTCCGCTCTTAAAACGTTCTTCCACAGGACGTTCGTGTTTGTCAGAGTTTGCTTTTGCTTGAAGGTGCTGTGGCTTTGGCTTGGGTACTGGTCTCGCTGATGTAGCTAGCTGGGCGTACCTTGGTGGAGGGGAGCCAGAATCAGACAGAGTCTTCCTCGTAGGAGCAGTCGTAGCTTTCATTATTGGATCACGATCCATCCGCGGAGCACTGGCTCGCTTTTGCTCAGTCTTCCTCGGAACAGTGGAGGGAACTACTGATACAATCGAGGGACTGCTCTTACTTCGAACCCAGCCACCATTTTTCAGGTTTGGTCTCACCGGAGGTTTTGTGATTGGCTGGCTGCACGAGTCAGCTCGTGGTTGAGCCTGTTGCTTTCCATCAATCCTCCTCTTTTCCTTCAATGCAGGTAATAGGAGATTGTTCCCAGACGAGATCAGTCTGATATTTAGCTCTGATAGAGCATTGAGGGTATCCATTGCGGTGGTTTCAGATAGATGATACAAATTGCTTCTGGTCTGAGTTGGAATCTTGTGATCATTGGATAGTGCACAGTTAAGCAATTTGATTAGGCCAGTATTGAGGACAAGTAATATTTGGGCTAAGTTTGATTGCGATGTAGCATCGCCTACCTCAAACTGACGACCATGCCTTGCGACTGAACGGTCGTATGCTTGCTTTATCTCTTGTGGTCTGGTCGACAATGAGCTATGGAGGTGTTTTTCTTCATGTCTGATCACGGGCTCGGTGTGACGACGCCTGTGCTTGCGACCACTGGTTCTTACTAGAGCCAATCCGTTCTTGAAAGCCCCTAAGATGTCTTTGATCACGGAGGAGACTTCTGCTCCAGCCATGTTGGGCACAAGGCTGAATCAATCAGGTCCAAATATGAAGTATATAGAGCAACGAGCCTAGTCATTCGTGCGGTACGAGTAGGAAAGAAAGGAAAAGAACAGCGAGAGGTTCAATTTCGAAAGATGTACAGTAGAAGAGGAATGTGTGGTCTAGCATAGCTTCCGCGACGGCTTGAAGTCTGGCAGAGCACTGGTGTATCTGTCTAGACTCACAAGTGGGTCCATTTGAAAATCCCCGAATGAAGTGTGCAGAAGAGGTTCGGCCAGATAATTAGCATCATGCACAACCTGCAGAAGAGTTGAAGGAGAGTTGCCAAAAGCGAATAGGAAGTAACGGCATTGGTAGACGTACCAAGGCAAGAGCGACCTTCGAAACACAAGCAACTCTTCCGGGCGCTTACACTAAAGCAGCTGCCCTGCATAGCACGTCTGCTCGATTGAGTTTCTGCGTCGAACAATTTACTTGCCTCACTACGAACCCAACCTTGTGACAGCAACTGAAGGCCTCGTTTGCCTGCTGATTATGCGTCTCTGATACATCGAAAGAGGTGGTGATTATTGTGTGTAGGCAGCGATGCGGTCTCCTCAGTCATTGTGACCGGCATGTGGACCCTGAAAGGCAGCCCTAACTTAAAACTTCCAGTGTACAAGGATGCTGAGGAGGAGTCACGGACTTTGCTGCACCCAAGTAATCCAGACTGACCATTTTCACACGTGTCGCACCTACGATTGGTGTTGAATTAGCAGTGAATTGCCCAAAGATAAGAATTTCGGGAACTGCTGGTTTGAACATCGCTTTCAACAGCCTGGCCACAAGTGAACATGCCTATTGGACCACAGACTGTTTCTTCACCTGCAGGCAAGCGGAAGAGATCGCACGGGGACGATGGGAGTGGGAGTGACGAAAGTATTGGACCGCAGCCGCCTGCCACGACTAACAAGGTAGAGGAGTTGGGGACAAAGAAAGCGCGCGTAATTGGTCCTTCTTTACCACCGTCACTGCAGCACAACAAGATTGCGACTACAGCTTCAGGCAAGGACGAAGACAGCGGCAGCAGTGACGACGACGATTTTGGGCCCAGCTTGCCGACGAAGGAAGACCTAAAAGATGTAACGAAGAACAGCACCACTGCGAGCATTTCTGCGCCCGCTCAACCCCCAGCGAAGCCTCGTGTCCAAAGAGACGAATGGATGACCATGGAGCCTGCCACTGGTGACCGGTCGCAGCGTGTTGATCCTACCAAGATCAAGAGTCGCAAGTTCAATACAAGTCGTTCTGTTACCACTGCAAAAGCAGGAGGTGACTCATGGCACGAGACACCAGAGCAAAAGCAAGCCAGATTACAAAGAGAAATGCTGGGCATCAAGGATGACAAGACGTCAAGGTCGAAGCCTGCTTCAGCAGAACCGGAACAAGATCTCGAGACCGCCCAAAGGATGAAAGAATATAGCAAAGCTCGCGGGCCTTCACTGTATGATGCGCATCGTCAGAAACACAAAGCGGAAGAGGACGATGACCCGAGCGCCAGAGCCTTTGACAGGGAGAAAGATATTGCTAGAGGACTACAAATCAACGCAACACAGCGCAGGGATATGATGAAGAAGTCCAGCGACTTCAACTCGAGGTTCAGTGGGGCTAAGTATTTGTGAGAAGGCCACACTCAGAGAATGGCGTTCGAGGTAGGTCAACACCATATCCCACGTCCTCCAGCCCCATGTGCGAACAGATCCCTATCGCAACATCACGGCTGTGCTAGATACTTATGGCACTCCTCTACCTTGTCTTGTGGCTTTCGCGAGCTCACTCTGTGCACGATCTTCAGCGTACCTGTACAAAGTTAGTATTCTATTACCACACAGCACTCTCGCCATCGAAACTCAAGTTGAGTATTCAAACATACCTCTGATAAATTGGAAGATAATGTTCTCGGTCACTCAAGGTATTGCTGACGCTCTCTCTCTCCTCGATTGCTTTAGACCACTGCCTCCACCTCTTCCAAATCTTCTCGTCATCTCCTCCTTGCCCCTCGGCCGGAACCAAATCCTTGATACCTTTGAAGTGATCATATATCCACAATCGTACAGCCCAGGGTGCTAACGTCACATCTACCATACTCATTTCCTTGCCTGACCAGTATGGACCTTCCTGACTAGCCTCTGCGATCCAGGTCCTCAGATGCCCTCGAAGCTCAAGCTTAGCATCCTCCAGAGAATACTGCTTCTCTGGCGTATGCTGCAGCAACCTATGAAAAGCAGGAATTATTCTCGTTCCGACAAAATCGATCCAGACCTTCTGTTGCGCACGCGTGTACAGGTCCGAAGCATACAAAGCTGGTCGTTCAGATGGTAGTGAATCCAGATACTCACTAATGATGTTGCTCTCGATCAAGGGCTTACGCTCAACGCCATCCTCGCCCTTCTGTCCACCTGACACGGGACATCCAAGAGTTGGCACGAGACCTCGGGGATTGAGCTTCAAGAATTCTGGGTCTTTGTGGTATGGGTTGATCTCGTTGTATTGGTATGGAATTTGTTTCTCCTCGAGTGTGATCCAGGATCGTTGCACGAAGGGACAGAACCAGCCGGAGTAGAGGATGTGCGGTGCTGCTTCTTTGTGCGCTTCGACGAGTTTGATAGCTGGGCCGGTTGCTACAGGATGTAGGTCGGCGTCAGGATGGCCGTTCGTGGAAGGCATTGTGGGCAACGAGTAGCACGAGTTTTTGCTTTGTCTGATGAACGTCAATCTACCGTGGCAGATGTTGTTGCTATATCAGGCCGTGAACGCCTGTCGTTATGAGTTGCCAAGTATATCAGATCATGTATCCTGTTGACTGTCGTGCTGTATCTTCGAAGATCATTCGTAGGCAAATGACGCAATTCATGGAATTATTGGGGTCAATGAGGGGATCTCGTCTCCATGACCATTCCTATCAAATAGAGCAATATCAGCGATGACTGAAACACTTTTGTGTTACTTCGATACAACATCCATGAGCCCGTCAGCTCCTACCAAATCCTCGCTCAGCACGCAGGTATCTCGGATGTACGAGCATTTCTTTAGAGCTGTACACGAAATGTTTCTGTCGACCGACATGCAGTTAGCGACTCATACATAACGGCAATTTAAGGCTTCAGTACTCAAGCAGCATCACTGAGCTCGAAACAGCTGTTAGTACCAGTCATATAGGTTCTTTGTACTATCTATCATCACTGGGATAATCTGTTCGAATATCGTGCAATTCTAGCACATTAACCGGGTAGTGGATGGGATTTGTGACGAGAGGAACAAATCAGCTCATGTAGGCACAAATGGCATGTCCATAACCCCTTCTATCATGTCTGGGTACTTGAGCCTCAAGGCGTTCAGCTTCTGTTCATCGTGTCTGCGTAGGTATATCTCCGCCAACAGGCTGGCCGTGGTTCGAACATTTGCCGCGCTGGACGAGTCTTTGCTGTTGTTTGCTAACATAAATCTTATCACAGTTGTGAACAGAGAGGTCGAAAGGTATTGGAGTGACGACGTAGGAGAATCATGTCGCGCAACTAGCCTGGACAATAGGGCCGTACACCTATCCTCCGCTTCATCCAGCCTCTCCAGCCGGATGTACAGGCGAATCAAACCAATCGTAGAGTACGTCCAGTCTGGATGACGCTGATCCATGTCAGGTATGATGTCCTCAAGCACATGAGCAGCATCTGAGCACCGATCAAGCTGAGCATATGCACGTGCGAGATTGCCCTTGGTCATCAACATACCGACATGTTTGTGGCCTAATGTTCGATCGACTGCTGGTATTGCCTCTTCTAGAAGGCTGGCCGCCTCTGCAGGTCGTTCGCGTGCTGACAGTATCTTCGCTAGGTCGTTGACAGACCACAAGGTGTAGGCATGCTCTTCGCCAAGCAAATGCGATCGTGATGCATGAACTTCCCTGACCCATCTCTCTGATAACGCGAGGAAGACTCTGCGTGAACAAAGGTTCATGGCTACTTCATTCTTTACCATCAAAGTATCTGGGTGGTCTAGACCCAGAGTCTGCTTCCTCTGCTGTAATACAAACATCAATAAGAGGTGTGCTTCTGTTAACATTCCTAGATGCCGATATGTCCTGCCAAGGTTGAAAGTCGCATCAAGTGTGAGTAGATGGTTTCGACCGAGGTCACGAGATAGTCCCGTCATCGCACGTTCGCCGGCAATCTGAGAGAGCCGATGCTGTCCTGCGAGCCATAATGTCTGCGTCAAGTCGCTTAATGAGATGAGGTAATCTATGTGCATTGGTCGCAAGGGATGTAACCAGTCCAGCAGCTTGGGACGTGCCGTCCACCTTGCTAGTCGAATCTCATTCTGAAGTTGCGCCGCGTGTCCAATCTCGAAGAGATTCCAGTAACAGAGAGAAGCGTTTCTCTTGACCTTAAGAGTGTGAGGATGCCTGGAACCATACACTTTTGTGTGGGTATCTATAATTGGCAGTAGAAGGTCAAGCGACTGCCGCCATTTCCCTGCTCTTTCATAAATTTTCGAGATGTCCTCGATGTGAAAGACACTATCTCCAGTGTATAGCAATGAAGGATCGAAGTGTTTAGCGAGGTCCACAAACCTATCGACGTGTGGAAGGAGAGCAATTGCGGACGTCCGACCTCCAGATTCAATTAATTGACCAGAGCAGGCCAGCAAAAAGGCTGCAGAACACAGCCATTGTGTGATCGTCCTGCTATTGTCTATTCTCGATCGTGCCCATTCATGTATGACTGGGTGCAAAGAACAAATACCTGTGTTATCATCAAATTCAATTATCGAATAGTCATAAAGGATATTCAGAGCATGACGAAGTCGTGCATAAGCGACCTCATGATCTTCGTTCATACATTGTAGGATTTCAGGTACGTTATTAGGAACCAGGACGTTAGAGGCCTTGCAGAACCATGGCGCTTGCAGCAACGTTTGAGGTATGGCTTGATGATGCAGAAAAGCGAAAAGGTGTAGAAGTGCTACCGCATCCTGGTGAGACGTACTGCTGCTAGCTCGATTCTCTAGTCTCTGGAACGGGATCTCCCATGTGGTTATGATATCAGCCTCTTTATCATTCAACGACATTCTAGGGTTTATCAAATATCCACGACGTGCTAGATATAAACTTAGATATTTTTCGATTGTGTAGATCTTTCTTCGGATCGTGGAGCCGGCGTGACGAAGGGCTATGGCCAGATATCCAAGCTGTTCAGCAATTCCCATGGCGCAATTTCTGTACGTATTTCTTGCCCTTGCTGACGCGTCATCCGGATATGCTGTGCGTAGGAGTAAGTCAATGGCTTCCTCCGGTTCCATCTTCGTCAGGTGGATAGTGCCAGCGGTCGCATGGTCTTTCACGTTTGGGTTGCGCGAGGTGATCAATATATGGCCACGAGTTCCAATTGGCAGCACGGATGGCATATCAAGGTCAGGATCGTCAGCGTTATCAACGATCATCAGCCATGGCTGATGTTGTTGAGACAGCCAGAAACGGCCACCAGCAGGCGTCGCACCTTTGCGAAAGATGTCTCCTATCTGCTCGTAAGAACGGTCTGCTGCTTTGAGGGTACTTGCATCGATCCAGAACACACCCCAATATCTCTTTGAGGTCAGATATGGACTATTCTTCGAAAGACTCAGCTTACCTGCTTCTGTTCTGTTCGGCATATCTCAAGCAGAACTGCGTTTTGCCTGAGCCCCCTAAACCATGCACCACGACAACTTTCCGGGATAAAACGTTGGATATCGGTTCAAGTAACCATGTTTTTAGCTGCTCTAGTTGCAAGCGTCTACCGGTGAAGAAACTGATCGATGCCTTTGGCAGTAAAGAAGGTCCGGTTGCCTGCCGTTTAACAGCGCTCGTCCTGGAGAAGAGATCTGCTTCTGGATCGGACGCGGCACCGAAGTAGACATTACCAAGGATATTGTGCCCACCAGATATAGTATGAGTCTGATACGAATGACCGTAAACTGCTGGCTCAGAAAATGATTGCGGCGATGCGGTAATTACTGTATTCTCGGTTTCGGGCGATGCTGTATCTAGACGAGGCGGGGCTTGTGTGGCAGTATCGTTATTGTCGTTGTTCAGTGCTTCGCTCATGTTGAGAGGCACATTGCGCTGGCAGGAATGCCAACAAGCTAAATATGAGGACAGTCAATCGAAATGCAGGTAAGACAACGGTCCAATAGCGACTGAGGCCATGGCCAGTATACAGGTTGTGCACAGATTAGCACGTCACGACATAAAGAACTTGCACGGCAGACCATGTTCCGTGATGAATCGGTCGACTTTTGCGCGACCTTTGGCCAACGTTCCACTTGCTGTAGGAGGTCGTCACGACCCGGTCAGGGCAAGCCCGCAACTTGTTGTGAATCTGTGACGCTGTTGCTGGCCGGGACCTGGTCGTACTTTGTGATTCGGAGACGCCAATAGGAGCTTCTGTAGTTCTCAGGGACAACTACTCATTGGCCGAAAGGTGCATCATTGTGTCCATTTACAAGAACTCAGGCGCTTACTAGCGCCAAGTGCTTTGATCTCTCAAATTCTTCAGCATCTTCGTCGGCGGCTCTTTCCCTGAGTATTTCACAATTGTGCCCGATGGCTGGAATGGTGTCTGTATTAATACCTCAAGGCAAGAACTGACGATGCTCCTGGACGTTTAATTCGTGATGTTCCTGCCTCAAGATGCTCTGCGCTGATTGAGTTATCTTTGTGTGGCTTGCTGTGGACTCAAAATATGGCCGTGCTTCTCTCGCTTTCACTCGTTGCTGTGCTTTTTGTCATTTACACAACAGTCACTTCTCTAAACAAAAATCATCACCAGAAGCTCAAAACGGCTGAGTACGGATGCGCATCACCTCCACGACTCATCAATCAACGACCATGGGGAATAGACAGGCTCGAGCAGATCTTCCGGGCGGATGCAGAATCGCGCCTTATGGAGTTGTTTCTTTTCCATTTTCGTCTATGGGGGACAACTTTGGAACAAAAGTTCTTGGGAACACTTGCTTTCGGCACTATAGAGCCACGAAATCTAGAAGCCATCCTAAGCACAAACTTTGAAGACTGGTCACTCGGCTTGCGGGATCAAGTCATGAAACCATTCTTCGGGTCTGGCATCTTCACGCAGGACGGCAAGGCATGGGAAACTTCAAGAGCACTTCTGAGGCCACAGTTCACACATCGACAATACGAGGATTGTGAGGTCTTTCGAGGGTCCGTCGACGCGTTACTGGATAATCTGGCGACTCAGGGACCGCAAGCGGATTTACAACCTCATATCTTTGCGCTGACTCTAGACGTCACAACAGCGTTTCTTTTCGGCGATTCCGTAGGATCATTGACTGGATCTGCTGGAAGAGATGCCGCCGATTTTGCTGCGGCCTTCAATGTCGCGCAAGACTATGTGGCGAAGCGGATGCGCTTGCAGGACCTATACTGGCTCGTCGGAGGTACCAAGTTTCGTCGGGCGTGCGCCACAGTTCACTCTTTCGCCGACCATATCATTGACAAGAATCTTTCGACAGACCGCAAGGAAGAAAGAACTGGAAAGTACGTATTTCTAGACTCACTGGCAGAGGCTTGCCCAGACCGAAAGATCTTGAGAAGCCAGATTATTAACGTCCTTGTGGCTGGAAGAGACACAACGGCCTGCACAATTTCGTGGACTTTCTTCTTGTTGATGCGACATCCACACGTGCTTCAGAAGCTCAAAGAAGAGATAAATGAAGTTTTCGCCGATAGACCTACAGTCAGCCGGAGGGAATTGAAGAACATGACCTATTTGCAAAACGTTTTAAAGGAGACTTTACGACTCTTCCCCTCTGTACCAGTCAACTCTAGAACCGCAGTCAAAGACACAATTCTGCCTGTGGGAGGTGGTGAAAATCTTCAGTCGCCAGTGTTTGTACCCAAGGGCGCTGCTGTAGCATACAGCGTCTACTCGATGCATCGTAGACCAGACTTCTATGGCCTGGACGCAGAACTGTTTCGACCTGAAAGATGGGAGGAAGACATGCCAATGAATCAGGACACTATCAATTCACGATGGGGATACCTGCCGTTCAATGGAGGACCTCGGATTTGTCTGGGAATGGACTTTGGGTTGACAGAAGCAGCATACGTGGTTGTCCGGCTGTTGCAACGATTTCCTGACATAAGATTACCAGCAGATGAGAAGGTTGAGCTGGTCGGTGTGGAGCAGCAGACAATGACACTTGTGATGTCTAGCACTAAAGGTTGCAGAGTTGACCTCGGGGAAGTTTCGAGATAGAACGTCAGACATATTCAATTCAATGCAATTGTCCGTTCTGTCAAAACGAAAGTACTTTTCGTCGGCGCAACGTCGGATCCGGGTAGGAATACTACTCCATATTCCAGCAGACAGTGGTTGGGTTTCAGTCCGAATCTGCATATATTTGCTTTCGTTTGTATGCGCACTGAAACGAAAGTGCACTTGCGTTCGGTTGAAGAATAGCTCCTACATCGTTTGCATGTGTACCGAGAAGCTGCAACTTGTGCAATCTAGAGGTTGACTGCAGCGCAACCAATTTGACTAAGCATGAGATAACTTCCCACTCCACTGCGCAGAATCGCGGTAGCGGTGTTGGCGTTCCGGTTTTGGCTGGTCCGCAAAGCCAAGCTTTGCCTTCGTAAGCTGGCTCGGAGACGATGGGTCTATCAAAAGTATGCTCCATCTGCAACTCATGCTAAGCGACCTTTTGGCAAATGGTCGCGTGAGTTTGTGATCTGAAGCTTGGTCCTGCAGGCAAGGATGTCTTGGAATCCCTTACTCAAGATGTCATTGATATCGCGAACCACATGTTCCACTCGTGTAACCGAATGCGTGTGTAGCAGACGAAACAAGATCTCCGATTGCTGTTGGTGTAGATAGCGTCTGAACTTGTGAGTGTAGGTTGTGATTGTCGCAATCGTCCGACGGACTGTAATCGGAAGGAGCGTCGTAAGCTAGTCTATAGAACAACACAACAGCAGTTCTCTTTGCCTATGATAGCAACCACACAACTCGCTTGGTTGCCTCGTTACATCTCCTGTCGTCCTCATCTCTTTGCTTACACTTGCTAGTCAATTCGAGAAAATGCTGTTGTCCCTGTTCTCGACATATGTGTCTTTACACTTTTTCAGCATAGGAATTGCGCAGGAAGATCCAACAACAGATGAGAATCTGCTCCAATTCAAGTCTCGCCCCGACCTATACCCTCCGCGACTGTTTGTCGATACAAGCCAAGATGGAATCAGCCCAGGTTACATCTTCATGTCACCCTATCAAAGCTTTCAGAACAGCGCAGCGATATATGAATCCGACGGCACGTTGATATGGTATGGATTTGGAGTCACCGGCTCAGGCAATGTACACGATTTTCGTGTTTGCCAGTACAACAACACAAATCATCTCTGCTTCTTCCAGGGTGAGCAATATCGAGGCTATGCACGAGGCCAAGCGGTTATTATGGACACCAATCTCAGAACTGTCAGAACAGTTACAGCCCTAAATTCGCGATCAGCACTGGATCAGCATGAATTCAATATTGTCGATGGTACTGATAGCGCACTTACCACAACCTACCATCCTGAACGATACGATCTGTCAGCCTTTAACATCACTGATGGTGAAGGGTGGATACAAAACAGCATTTTCCAAGACGTCAATTTGACAACCGACGAGCTCACATTTGAATGGAGTGCTATCGAGCATGTCGCCCTCACCGAAAGTTATGTCGATCCAAACCAGTCCGAAGTCGTGGGTACTGGCTTCAATGCAGCTTCTCCATGGGACTACTTCCACATCAATTCAGTCGATAAGAACGAAGACGGTGACTATTTGATATCTGCTCGGCACGTTAGCACGCTGTACAAAATTAGTGGTACTGATGGAAGCATTATCTGGCGGTGTGGCGGCAAGCTCTCCGACTACGAGCTTTTGAACGGGTTAAACTGGTCTTATCAGCACGATGCTCGTTGGCTGTCGTCTAACGATAGCATGGACGTCATCTCATTCTTCGACAATGCCTCCAATGGATTTAATGGATCTGCCGACCACTCTTCAGGCTATATCATACAGCTGGATCACGAAGCAGGCACTGTCGACCTCCTCCATGCGTACCCAGCACCTCTCGACCTACCCATTTCTGCCAGTCAAGGCAATTTGCAAATACTGAATGAGACCGATTGGACGAATTCGAATGCCTTTGTGGGCTGGGGAAATTCACCTACCGTGACCGAGCATACTTCCGATGGAACTATCATCTACCGTGCTAACGTTGCATCAGATGGCAAGATGAATTATCGAGCCTACAAGTACGACATAGCTCTGACTCCCTATGACAGTCCCGCGCTTTACACTTATGCACCTGATACCGAATCGAACACTGTCTATTACATGAGCTGGAATGGTGCAACCGAACTCCGCAAGTGGCGTGTCTATGGTCGTGCTGATTGTGAGACCGAATGGACCCTACTCGACGAAATCGAAAAGAGTGGTTTCGAAACCGATTATACCTCACAAGGATATCAGGAGTTTGGCATGGTCGAGGCTGTAGCAGCGGATGGTACTGGCTTGCGCAATTCAACCAATCGAGGTGTCCGAGCTTTCGTGCCCAGTTCGGCCATCAGTGATAGCTGTACTGGTGAGGGGTGTACTGAAGCCAAAGCATACAGCGCGAGCCCAGGACAGGTAGTGGTAGCAGAGACGAGGGATGGTTGTCCAGCACTATCACTGGAGCTGGCGAGCACGAACGCACCCTCAGCTACTAGTAGTGCTGTTAAGTCAGGGTCAGTGCTGCTGACGGGAGTTTCCTTGGGATTCGCCAGTACGTGCTTCATCGGGCTCCTGTTATAGTATAGAGGTTACCAAGAGAAGTTGCGGTTGCTGAGTCGGCATGACATAGGTCTCCTTCGCATTGTTTCGGATGACCAGAGAGGTGAATATGCCAGACCTTAGAGCACGAGCAATCATAGTCCATAACAGCATGTAGCTGCTCGTTCATCGTGCTGGGAGGAGAGTATAGTAATCACAATGCTGTATATGATCAAAATGCTGCTTACGATGTCCTCCAGCTCAGAGCTTGGAGAGCTCATGTGCTTTGAATCATCGCTCAGGCATCACTTGTAGCAGTCATTGTGCCGGGCAATATTCGGCGCGAGGCATCAATATTTTGCTGGAGTTCACAATTGAGCCTTTGGTGCATTGCAAGGTATAGTCATCAGGATCGCTCGAAGAGGTGATAGCCCTATTCTCAACTAGTACTCAATCTCGTAGCTGCTCTCAAGTCAAGCTGCCACGATGATCTGCTCCTCTTGCCGGCGTACTCTGCTCGCCCGCATATCCAATCTACCCACATCCTCCTCAAGCACCTTGCGACACACCAGCATCCGAACAATTTCAACACACCCAGCAAACAGAGCCGCCGCGCCCGGCACACCAACATCCTCCACCCCCTCCGTCGCAGCAGAAACCCAACCCTTCTCAGAAACCTTCTTCCCCTCAACCTCCAGCGCCCAAACACCTCCTCTATCCTCCTCCACCACAAAACCCAACGCCGCAAATCCCATCCACCTCACCAGCTCCATCGCAGGCGGAACTCCCCTAACAACCCTCAGCTACGTTAAACAACCAACCAAACCCCTCGTCGCCCTCGAAGACCACGAATATCCCCCTTGGCTATGGACGCTCATCCCAAACCCCAACGCGCCCTCGACGGGCAATAGCATAGACGGCGGGATCGACGTGTCGAGCATGACGAAGAAGCAGCGCTCGAAGTACGAGCGGAAGATGGCGAAGATGTTGGCGGGGATGGAGAAGCCTGTGCCGTTGCATGAGCAGAGTAAGGATTTAGTTGAGGCTGAGGAAGGAGGGGTGGTTTTTGCGGACAGGAGGAGGGAGTTGACGAGGAGTATGAGGGAGGCGAGGAGGAAGGAGATTAGGGAGGCGAATTTTTTGAGGAGTATGTAAAAGGTTTTTGGATGGATGGTCTACATGTGATGGGAAGAGTAGGATGTATTGCGGGATGTAAGAGCACAGCAGCTTAGTGTACATCAAAGAGAGACACACTCATTCTGTGTCGCGTTACTAGAACGACAAGACACTGCGATTTGGCTGTCTGATTGCGCACCATATACCACAATGGCACTCGATTTGGAAGGATGAATAGCGGCATCATGTACGTTTGTAGAACAACAAGGGCAAGCGAGACCTCAGGCATTTTGCAACCATATTATGTGTGTTGTTCGCCTTTACAGTTTTGAGGCAAGGTAAAAGACGTGCTCCTGATCATTGTGCTCCAGAACACAAGAGATCCGATCAATTGCTCATATCTATTATGATCAGTATTCTTAATCTACTGTCTCTCGCCAGAAGATTTCCTGGTAGACGCCATTGGAGATAGGGTCTGATTGTGCGGTTTTGAGATGATATGGGTTTCTACCTATCCAGTCCCTTGTAATGTTCCCCTTAGAGTAGAATACGTAATGTGCTAACAGAGAGCTGTATAAGTTTTCATGGTGTAAAATTGCTGGTACTGTCGATGTTCTTTCGCTAGCATAAGACGACTTCAACAGTCATAACCTATCTGGGATGAAGGTGCTTTAGATTGTGATTTTGTCCACCAATCTCGACTCTCGGCGATAACTTCTTCGCTCTCTGATTGTCCGTTGCCAAATCATGCTCTATTGCCGTACAGAAATCGAACGAAGGAGATGTAGATGCATGCAACCGTGGTATCTGGTCTATCGCGCTCGACCACCCGGCTTACTCCAGTCAAAAATACGTTCTGCCAACATGCTTGTCTCCTCCATGGTATGTCTCCAGTAAATCTCAAAAACCTTGACTCCTGATCGCTACGTCAACTCTGTGGTTCGGTACCTCGTTACTCATCCGTCGTTGTTTCATCCTTCATGGAGCCAACTAAGCCCCTGCCGTGGTCAGTCGTAACTTGCTCAACCCGGTTCGGAAACCACGGATAGCCTCCCTGCCACAACTCATTCCCTCGAGGCCAACCTGAGCCTCGCGATGACCTACTTCCTTGCCCCAAGCATAACCTGCACTGAAAGAAATGGCTGAAAATACAAGAACGACACCGGCAGAAATGAACCATGTCATCATCGTTGGACTGACCAACATCTCTTCAGGCGTTGGTGTCTGTTTTGTGACAGCTCGAACCTTCTTCGCCTGCCGCTCTTTACTCGACTCACGGGATTTTCGCTTAGGAGAGACCCTTGGAGAGGCTGGAGGTACCACTCGATTCTCGTTGTCCATCTCAGATTCCGGGACTAGCCTGAGGGTGGTCGGTTGATTCGAACGACGAGTAGTCTGTTGGTGGTCATGGTCACGATCCTTTCGAACAGCATTAGCGCACGAGAGTAGTGTGGTGAGCGAGGCTCGTAAAGCGGCATCGTGATCAGGCGAAATGTTGGAGCTCACCCTTTGTTGTGATGGTCTTTGTATGGTCGGGACACGATTGGAAGGGAGACGATGTGAGGACGAGGGCGGCGGTTGTTGCGGAGGAAAGTAGGAATCGACGGGCTGAGAGCTTGAGATGGGTCCTGTTCTTCCATGTGGAGGATGTGAGAAAGCGTGCGGCTGAGGTGTGAAGATGTTCCTCTCGACATGGGTCACGCCGAGTGCTGTTCGTGTATCGTCTTCTTCTTCTTCTTCTTCTCCAGCATTCGAGGTGTTTGAAACATCTTCGTTAGAGCTGCTCAACACCTTGTCACTGTCCGATTCACTCTCGGTATATTCGTCTTGACTACTGCCTGCGACACTGGTAGAACGTGCAGCTGGCTGGTTGGCAGCGCTCGGGCCTGTAATTCGAAGTTGTCGAGATCTTCTGGCATTATCCCTGCGAATCTGCAATCCGGTCGTGATGATCTCATCGCGATCATGGTTAGTGGCTAGCGAGGAGGAGGACGGTTGTGACGAGAGATCTATCCATGAATCTGCCTCGTGTGAATGCATGCCTGTCAGAATCAGAGATGAATGCTCACCTTCAAACCTGGATCTTCTTGTGCTTTGATGTGATTGTACATTAGAACGATCCTGTGACCATGTTTGTCGCCTGTCACGTCTCTCCGAACTAATTGGTTCCAAATGAGATGGTCGCATGGCGTACCTGCCTGCAAGCACACCTGCACAGCTGATACTTGTTGAGCGACAATGTGCCTTGCCAGAGTCGGACCAGCTCAGAGTTTTTACTGCACGCTGTGCTCTTTCAAGTACTCGTAACGAATTAACGGATTTAGGAGATCGACTCCGATGCTTCACCGCTGATAAGTGAACTCGATAGGCAGCGGGGTATGAATAGAACTCGACCCAATTGTCCGGATGATCGACGCCGGTTAGTGGTGGATATCACCTGGTGTAATACAAACAATAAGAAGCTGTTTGCCGCGATTGCTGATTGAGAGATGTCAGACGATGCAGCTCTACGAAGAAAGTACGACGATGGACGATGCGATCGAGGCAGGCCTGAGATGATCAGGTGCATGCCTTTTCTGGTGGCTGCCAGGGCTGTCGGGGTCTAGCAAGGTCCATTATGCAAGGCGGTCAAATGTGTCAAGCGCCGGGCAGACGTGGTCAGTAACTGATTGCAGCATTGCAAGATGATCCAATCACGTTACATCATCGGATGGGGGAAACTACCTGGAAGAATGCAGAAATATCCCTGCGTGAGGCTAGTGGAAGAAAACACTGCGAGAACGAACACGTAATTATTCAAAACAGGTGATATTATTGCATTTTTTGTTCATTCGACTTTTCAAGATGAGCACACTCATCGAAACGCCCCCAGTACCCACAGCCTATCCCACGAGCCCTCTATACATACAAGCAAGTGTTTGACACAAGTGATTCGGATAAGTGCAAGCAGACGTGCGACTTTTGCTGTCGTGATGCAGCAATCGGCATCGATGTCTTCAGTCATAGAGACTATCATAGCAGGATGCAGCTGTCAAGCTGAGGTTTGTGCTTAAGGTGGATGGCCTTAGTCGAAGGTCTGTCTCTGGCCTTTGAAGTCGCCAAATCCTCCTCGGTTGGTGCTGCCTCCACGACCACCTCGAGGAGCTCCACGACCTCTACCTCCGAAGCCACCTCGACCACCACGACCTCCTCGATCACCGCCTCTGCCACGACCACCACCAAATCCGCCACGGCCTCGTCCACCACCGAAGCCTCCACCTTCTTCTCTTGGTGGTCGTGGCTGGCTGTAATCGAGACGAATTGGTCTCTTGGAGATGTAGGCACCTTGCATAGCCTCGAGGGCGCCAGCAGCTTCCTCGACATTCTGGAATGTAACATAGCCAAATCCCTTAAGACTGCCCGTAGCCTGATCGGTCGGAAGACGAACACTCAAGATTGTGCCATATGGTGTAAACGCCTCTGAGACCTGCTCCTGACCAACGTCGAACGATAGGTTGCCAACAAAGAGAGTATCCGTTGGCTCACTTAGCTGATCACCGTAGCTCTTTCGTCGGTTATCTTGCTGCTCTCGGTTATCAGGCTTGACACTTGCCCAATCGAGGTTGATCGCTCTGCCATCAAGCTCAAATCCCTTCTTGGCTTCGTAAGCTTTGGCAGCGTCGTCTGCGTTGACAAACTCCACATAGCCGAAACCTTTGGCACGTTGTGTGGCCTTATCATACATAACGCGAACACCTGACAACTCACCATGCTCCTCGAAGGTCTCTCGAAGCCATGCTTCATCTATGTTCCATGATAGATTGCCGACGAACAAGTTCTTCTTGCCCGGTTCGCCGCTAGCGGCAGTGTCTGTCTTTGCCTTCTTGGTAACTGGTTCGGCTTCTTCTTCGGCCTTGCGCTTGTTGGCTTTCATGGCTGGTTTCTTTTCTGCTTCATCCTCGCTAGAGTCGGAACTTTCGCTATCGCTGTCGTCCTCAGACTCATCGTTCTTGGCTGCGACCTTCACGCCACTAGGCTTTGCTGACTTCTCGTCTTCGCTGCTATCGTCGTCATCTGAAGAATCCACTTGATCAACTGGGGGAGCTTGACCTAACACAGCACCGGTAGGAGCGTCCTCCTCGTCGGAGGATTCAGAGGAATCGGAAGCGGAGTCGTCGCTCTCGTCCTTCTTGGCAGGAACCTTTGCGCCATTGGTCTTGGCTGCGACGCCAACTTTCTTTGGTGCAGATTTGTCGTCCTCGGAAGAGGCAGACTCGTCAGAGGTGTCAGCATCGCTCTCATCGCTAGAATCGTCCTTGGCGGCAGCTTTCTTAGTACCGTTGACTTTGCCGTTGGCGGCTGGCTTCTTCGTCTCGACCTCGCTTTCGGAAGAATCACTCTCTGAAGAGGATTCAGGCTCAGGTGTAGGCTCTTTAACCTTCTTCTTGTCCTTCTTCTCTTTCTTGGACTTCTTTTCGTCCTTCTCGCTCACCTTAGCGACATCCTTCGGCTTAACATCTTTTGTAGACTTTTTCACGCCTACGTCTTTTGTCTTGGACAATGCATCAGTCTTCGACGACTTTGCAGTCTTATCGGCAGACTTGGTTTTCGACATCTCTGTAGGAGATTAGCAACTTCAAGATATGAGCTTTGTGTACGACTTACTGTATGAAATCCCTCAGACACACAAATACCCTCTGAAGATCGATGTTGGATCAATCAGTAAAGCCGTCACCCACTGTGATGTTGTATCGAGCCCACAAGTTCCCTCGGCTTCTCGTTGACTAACGGAAAGCTTGATAGAATAATGCGACAAGACCACAAGACCCTCGGATGAATTTAATAGACACAACAGGTAGAGACAAGCAGAAACCTTTTTGCAATTGATACACTTTACCCTCAGTTGCCAAGACTCAATAACCCTCAAGCTATGCCCTCAGGAATACTTTCGCCCACAAAAGATAGATAAAACCGCAATCGATACAAGTGAAAGATGCTTGTAGAATGCGACAAAAAGTTGTGAAGATATAGCTCGAAGAAAAAACGTCCGACAAGGCAAACTGGAAAATTTGGAGACCACGCTAAGATACGATAAGCTGCCTTGTGTATATCCACATGTAAAATACTTGCCGTGTTGAGCGATGTTCGATACGGAGTTTGGCGGCAGACATGCTGTAAACACCAACCTCTTCAATCTTTGCTGTCTCGGAGAAGGGATACTCCGACACCGAGCTTTTTCTCAAAGCAACTCGAAGCTCCTGATTGGGTTGTCTATCAAACGTGAGGTCTTAGCAAGCGGCCTGGAACTGCTATAGTGCACCGAACATGATTCATTGACGAGTGCTTTCACTAGCTTCATCCCTTTCCTTCATTAGAAGTTATGTCTGCAGCTTCAACACCACACAAGCCTCGCAAGAAGAAGAGACAGCTTGTCCGAAGCAATACCTTAACAGATATAGCAAAAGTCCAACCCGGATCAGACCGCATCGATCCAGAATTCAATCTTGTATCTTTCTTGCTTCCTGCCCGAGGCAAATCACAATGGATATCGGTACCGCTAATCCTCATCTTCACGGGCCTATTCAGGTGGTGTGTTGGGATATGGGGCTATTCAGGCCAAGGTATTCCTCCCATGCACGGTGATTTTGAGGCTCAAAGACATTGGATGGAAATTACTCAACACACACCACCTTCAATGTGGTACTTCTACGATCTGCCGTATTGGGGTCTAGATTATCCGCCTTTGACAGCGTACCACAGCTGGATCTGTGGGAAGATTGGCACTTTGATCAATCCAGAATGGTTCGCACTCTACAGTTCTAGAGGTTACGAAAGTCAGAGCCTGAAAGTCTATATGCGGGCGACAGTCATTGTGTCTGAGTATCTGGTATACGTAGCGGCACTGATCATATTCATCAGACATTACAGCAGAAGTCAAGGTTTAGGGACGACGGCATCGAATATTGCTCTCGTTGCTATTCTTATGCAACCAGCAACGATGCTCATTGACCACGGCCATTTTCAATATAACACCGTCATGCTCGGATTTGTCATTGCGAGCTTGTCCAGTATATACGCGGGTCGTCCGTTATGGTCTTGCATCTACTTCGTTGCAGCGCTTGGTTTTAAGCAGATGGCACTTTACTACGCACCAGCAGTTTTCGCCTACCTCCTGGGCTCATGCCTTTCACCACGTTTGCGCATAGGTCGGTTGCTTGCTATTGCGATTATCACGATTGTCGCTTTTGCTGCACTACTTGCACCACTTCTCGCAGGCACGCTCTACGATCTCTATCGTGGCTTTGACTTGCCCTACCGACCACCCCCACCGTTCCTTGCGCAACGACGGATTACCTTGGATGGCAAGACACCAGTTGGTGCCATACTGTTGCAACTCTCACAGATGGTTCACCGCATTTTTCCTTTCGCTCGAGGAGTGTTCGAAGACAAGGTAGCGAACTTCTGGTGCGCACTTAACACTGTCTTCAAGCTTCAGAAAATCGAGACTTTAATCGCACTTCCACGTTTATCCGCATATATGACATTCATGTCTATCCTACCTGGTATGGTCATTCTCCTTGGCTGTCCTAAACCACAACTCCTCCCTTACGCATTTGCAAGCAGCGCCTTTGGCTTTTTCCTCTTCAGCTTCCAGGTTCACGAGAAATCGATCCTCCTCCCAGTACTACCTATGACCTTGCTGCTCGGCAGTAGCAAAGGACTTTCCAAGGAATACAGAGCCTGGATCGGCTTCGCCAACGCCCTTGCAGTTTGGACGATGTTCCCACTGCTTCGTCGAGATGGCCTGGCGATCCCATACACTGTCCTTACAGCTCTGTGGACATGGCTACTTGGCCTACCGATCTTCAGTGTTAGTTGCTACTACGATCCCGATCTGCCCAATGTACCGGGTCGACCACTCGCGCCTGATGAGCTGCGGACACCGACCAAGATCTTCCACTGGTGGTCGTACATACTCATGCTGTTCTGGCATTTGTTGTCAGCGTTTGCAAAGCCACCTGATAACAAGCCAGATCTATGGATCGTGGTCAATGCTTGCTTCGGATGCCTCGGGTTCGGCATATGCTATTTATGGTGCACGTGGAAACTAATACTTGAGTCCGGACTACTAGACGATTACTTCGAGTACATTGAGAGGAGAGTCGATGCGGCATTGAACGAGGCAGATAAGAGAGTGACGAAGTACCTCGGCGAGGAAGAGACTATCACAGAAGAGAAGGAAGATGGATCTGCCGACAGTGCTAGCGTCGTTGCGACGCCGAGTAGTGGTGAGAAGCACAGTAAGAAGAAAGGCAAAGGTAGGAAACGGTAATGGATGTTTATGCCCATCAGCGTTCTCCTCCGGGATCAGAGGCAAGGTCGTTAATGATCGATTTTGTACATCATAAAAGTATGTAGGTCCGTCTATGGATCTGAAGTTGCATCAGCATCAGAAGAGTAGCACGGCGCGGATCTGGACATATCATGCTAGTCTATTAGGAATTAATATTGATGTCAGATCCACAGTGAACGTTTAAGAATACCACGCTCAGTAAAATCCGCATAAAACCCCCAGCTCTTCACAGGAAGAACAACTCGTCATTCCTGTAGTAAATATTCATGATTCATACCATTCATCACCCATCCATACCCTGCGGCCAGCCCAATCTTGTACACCTCTACTCATAATTCAACGTCTGCCTCAACGACCAAATCTCACCATTCCCAACCCGTCCCACAACCCTCTCAACCACAACCTCGCAAGGCATAATCACCCTCCTCTCCTCCCCACCATCCTCCCCACCACCACGTCTCTCCCACCAAATCTCACCACGGTCTTCTCCATTCTCCTCACTCCACAAAGTCCGCACCTTCTGCTTCTCCTCCCAAGGACTCACACCAACAGCATGCTCGAGCACAAATCTCCGCAGATTCCTCACGGCTTTGTCCTCGTCTCTTTGCGCCGAGATGTCGGATGTGTCGTCTGGCCTGTCTTCCCAGGGTTTGCGCGGTAGAGACTGCATAGCGCTGTTTAGAGGTGCGAGGAGCGTGGTATTACTTGCTGCGTTGCTGGATTCTAGCCGACCACTCAGCGAGGAGATGTCTCGCGTCAAGGAAGCGAAGATGTTGATTTGCCGCTGGGTTGGGAGGATGTCGGAGATTGTTAGTTGATTGCTATCGCTGCTGCTGCTGCCGCTGCCAGTTGACTGGTCTGGGATGGCGGGTCCGAGGTTCTCAGGTCGTGAAGCCATGGGTGATTGCTCGCTTCGAGCATGGAGTTGTTGCGGCGGTGGGGGTATTTGGTCGAGTTTTGACTGGTGGTCGGGGAGGGATATGATGTTGCGTGCGCCGGTTAGAGATGCACCAAGGAGGGCGATATAGAGATATGGACGCATTTTTTGTGTGTTCGTATAATACTAAGCGAAGATTGGTTTTGAATTTGAAGCGCTATCTCGTCGCAGGCTTCTTCGTCTCGTCGGGCGCAGCGGCGGATGACGTTGCTCAGGTTTCCAGGCAGGAACAATTCTACTGCTCCGTATGAGCGAAGACGTGAGGGCACAGGAACGTCCTCACAGTGTATACTCATAGTGGCTAACAGGAGCTTCAAAATACTGCTAATAGTAGTCCAGAACACACTCTAGCTTCTGGTTGTGGGTCAGGCTCATAGGAATTGGTTATGAGAGTTCTCACGTTGGTTCTTCGTATCTAGTCCTGAAATGCTGGCGTGTAGGCTATCTACCGACTGGATGCATGGACATTGCTAACAAAAATGTTCCCAAAATTGTATCTTGGTCAATCGTGCAAGCTTTCTTCCATTCGTCGTCATCGTGTATTCGTTCTTCAGCCAAATAGCTGTAAACGGGGTAACCTCCTCCTACCTCTTCTATCCTCGTCCTACGACATGCTTCCGCGTCGTCTTCTCGAGCTGGAGTAATCCTTTCCATATGCCAAATCGTCTTGATCTCTTTCGTTCCGTACAGAAATAGAAACGGACCCTCCTATCGATGATCCCTGGTTCGTTCCGCCGGACCAATCTCTCGTGTCATGTCTCTGCCACCATGAGGATCACCACGAGCCATAGGGTGATCAGGAGGATATAGGTTATGCGAAACTCTGCCAGTCTTTGTGTCTATGTAGGTGAACCCTCCTGCTGGAACAGGGGGTTGAGCCATCTGGTGAACAGGGAAGGTATGGGCCTGCGCGAAATTCGCAGGACTCGGTACTGGTCCTTGTGGCTGCGGTTGCGGAGAAGTATGAAACGTATTAGGTCTTTGCATCTGTCCTGGACCTATAGGTGGTCTCTGATTTGCGTGTTGGTTCGATGTAATTTGCCAGGGTGCTGGCTGGTTCGGAAAGGTGTGATCGTTATGCAGAGCCTGGATATAAGGATTGTTCGAAGGTGGCTGGATGAAACTCTGCTGATGAGCTGGAAGTACTAAGTGTGAGTGCTGAGGTGGCTGTTGGTATGCTTGATGCTGAGGGATCTGCAATGGAGGGTGGGCATATTGCTGACTCAGTGGTGGTGGTGGTTGATGTTGCTGCCATGCTTCGGGTCTTGGGTCATTAGGTGGCGCACTTGATGGACGAGGCGGCTTCTGTGGTGGTTGCAGGTAGTTCGATTGCTGGCTATCAACGCGAGGTGGTCTCGAGTAAGGTCGGTCGTCGTCCCTCCTCTTCTTCCTTCTTTCACGTGCTTCAATCTTGTCCTTGTTGAATTCATTGAGCAGATAGCCAGCTGCCACAACTTCCAGCCCACCCAAGAGAACCATCTCGACCACCTGTCGCACTGGCACGAAGAACGACAAGTACAGTCATGATGCTCCGAGACTATATCGGTCGCAAGCACAGCTGAGCCCACACTGAACCAAATGCATATTGCGGAACACGTAAGTGAACTGCTCGGAAATGACGACACTCCTCAGGACGACATGCGGGATAAGCGGAGCCTCGAGAAGCTTAGCTACCGCCCTGAAAGTGAAGGTGTGGAGTTGAGCTCTTCTTTTGAATAATGCTCAATATTGACATCTTGTTTGCACTTTAAGATATTTCTCCAGAACTGTTGCTTCTGACCGTACTTTGGGTGTGGCTAAAGTCGTTGCGATAATGAGAAAAATCAATGGTATGTCGAGGCGAGGCACTCAGCATGCCTGCGATAACAATTCCGGATGCCCATCTACTGGAAATACCTCAACCGCTATGCTATCACTTCGGCGCTGATGCACCCTGAATACCACAACTCGCAAGCCCATACCAGTCCTTGCAGACTTCTCTGCCTTGCACTCTGAGACCTCTCACTTCCCACAAGCGGTTATTACTAAAGATCCATACGATGCTACCCTGACCATTGCCTAAGTCAGGCCCAAACGCGAAGTTGTTGCTTGTCTCACCAAGAAATACCTTGCCTATCAGGACGCCTTGTTGATTCCAAACATGAACACCATCGCCACAGCCTGCCCAAACATTTCCACTGATATCGGCGTGAATTCCGTCGGGCAAACCACTGTCAACATAGGCGAAGGTTCGCCTGTTGCTGACTGTACGATGATTAGGAGAGATGTTGTAGGCGTAGATTGTGGCAGGCCGTGTCAGGTTCAGGTCGGGTCCTGTAGCACCTGTATCGGTTACGTATAACGTTTTGAGGTCGGAGGAAAACTCCTGTTCCAATCGAATACGTTAGCGACACGAAACAAGCATACCATCTATACCATCGTGTGCTAATTGGAAGTGGTAAGGTCTGACTTACCAGTCCATTCGGCTGTACGAAACCGTCTGCCACTACTTGCAACACACCGGTAGCCGGTTCAAATCTGTATACTTGTTGCGGGATGGTAGGTGCTGGTCTGAAGTTCTGGTAGTATCCGTAAGCAGCATCTGTGAACCATATGTCGCCTGTCTATGAGTTAGTCATAAGCACGTTAGCAAGAGAGGAGATTCGTGTACCTGTAATTGGATGTTGCCTTGCGTCGTTGACTGAGGAGAAGTTTCTTGGACCGAGAAAGTTGTTGAGTACAACGTTACTGCTGTTGCTTTCTGGGTTGACGGACACAAGACCGCTATAGTGAATGAAGTCACCCTGATCGCACCAGATCTGGTTCGGTGGAGGAGCTGAGATATTAGCTCCCACAGGGTAAAATGTAGTACCACCATTAGCTTCTTGAAGGTTGGGAAATTGAGACGCCGTAATGTTATTGACACTCCAGTCTCGGTTGAGATATATAATCGTCATGTTGATAGGATCTTGTAGCGACTGGTAATTTGATGACACGTACAAAGCGTGAGTGGCTGCATCGTAGACTCCTCCCTCATGGAAAGCCTGGTAGGGAAGATCTACTAGCAGTCTCGCCGTGGCATTCGTATACAAAACAGATTGACTCCAAGAGTTGTCGTACGAAAGCAGTGAAATAGCCGGAGTGCTGATATTCGTGACAGAGAGTGTTGAGAAATACAGAGGGTTCGTCGCCAAGGCGAGCAAGTCGACGTTGACTATCGACATGGTCGGATGTGACTACCATTCTGTTACATGATATAGAGAGGAGAGGAGGAGCACCTCATGCTCGTATACAAATCACCAAGGCGACTTTTCCCCCTTCGCTATCATACCGACTGTTAGACTGCAAGCTCGGTGTGCTGCTATGCCCCAAACCATGACGTCGTGCCGAAGAACAAGCACGTCCCGATCGAGAGGAACGACCGCGTCGTAATGGAAACTTACAGCCAGAATTTGTCGCTCTCGGTTGAATTGAGGACATGCCAAGGTCGAAAATGAGGAGCTCATATGGGGTGAGTTTGAAAAGACAAACCATTAGCGTCTCTGTAGGTGGTTGAACGGAATGTCGGTGTTCGTTACAACGTCATTCAGTACGTGAAATCTCGACTAAATAAGCATATTTTATGAAGCAGATCGATTCATGATCGGTCTGACATCCGGTACGAGTGCCATTCGTGAGAGGTCCCAGCTCCATCTGGTCTGGGTTGTATGGTCTAAGGATGTTCGTCTCCTACCACTAGCTAATTATCAGGAGCTCCATTCAGTGACCGAATACGAGTAGCTTCTGTACTAGAGCTTAGTACGTAGATGTCCACTTGAGCTCTCTGATCAGTACGGAGTGGGGTCGATAACTGGGAGTCTCATGTGAGCAGGTCGCTTCTTGGATTTACAGTGCTATAGGTTCTACAGTGCTGTGATGCCAAGGAATGGCACCCGCTTCGCCAGTGACCAGCACTGGTCTGAATGCCTCAGATCTGTGGCAGAAACAAGACTTTGTGTATACCAGTAGGAGCATTTCTAAAAGCCTTGGAATCTTTGATCTGTGGCAATCAAGGAAGGGAAGAAAGACGTAAGCTTCTTTCGTTTCGAATGCTCGTACCATGCCCAGGGCTCTGGCCGTCACCTAGACGCGCCACCATCACGATAAGGTCGACAACGAGAACGGGGAGCCAATGCTTCAGTTATGGGGAAGATGTGGAAGATATTCCTTTTTTTTCTCTTCAATTTGCCCACATGCTGTGGTCTATAGGGTGAACTACAGGAGAACAGAAAGGCCGAGAGGTAAGAAGAGATGGTAACGAAACACTTCAGAGGTCAGAACATGGACTTGTCTCCTGGTCGTGATGCGTAATTCCAACCATTATCAAACTGATCTCCTGATCCCAACCTCACCAAGATTACATGGCCACTTTGAGCAGATATCTCAGCTTCAAGTGGCTCACATTGTAGGAGATATACTCATTGTATTGCAAATAGCCTCCAGATTTATGGTTCGGATTTGGACCGAGACTTCCATCAGCCTGACGACAATGTTAGTTCTGGTTTGATAAAGTCCCATCATATGCCGACTCACCATCAATACCCCTTTCAGGTTCTCATTGATACAGCTAGCGTCCTTGAACTTTGACGGAACCTCTTGGCCAACACCTTTCGTAGCGATGCAGTTGTGCTTCTTAGCAGCTTCTTCGGCATTGGAGTCTCCTGTGTCGATCTCATACATAGGTCGTGACATCTCTGCTTCAACCAGCATCAGGAGGCCAACACCTCCTGACATACTTGACATGCAGTAATTTGCGGATTTACTGGAACAATCTGCCAGGTATACGCCTTTCCCAAAGGCGTATCCATTGAGCGGTGCCTCTACGATTAATTAGACTCCTCGGACTCAAAATGTAATCTGCTAGCCAAGCATACCTGGAGGAGCAATACGGAGTCCCTGAGAAAGGATACCACCGTAGTTGGTAGTTCTGGACCCGTGCCAGAGCAGAAATGTTTGTCGATCTTTCAGCTTTTTGATCGCCTTCTCGTAGCGCTCTGCCTCTCCATAACGCTCGACCCTGAAGATATCTTGTAGCCTATATCGTAGACCGTGACCACTGCTGCTGGTGTTAAGTAGCAGTTTCTGTATTTCCTGGTATTCTGATGATTTGTGGTCGAGAGCAGTCAACTCTTTGAGGTTCAGGTCGTCGTAATGACGATCGAGGCGGCTCGCGCTTACGCCATCCTTCGACTTATCAGTCGTTTTCATGATAGTGTTCGCGACTTCCATATCTGTCAGCGTGTCGAGCATGACTACTTCCCGTGTGATTGCATCTTGGTTGTCAATCAGTGGAGGACGGTTACGACCAAACACGTGAGGAATAGTCGAATAGTACTTGTTCGTCCACTCTTCAAGAACCTGTCGGTGTTAGTCTTTTGCTCATCCTTGACTACACCACGAACCTCTTTTCTATCACGATTGTACTTGTTTTTTGCCAGGCTTGGGTGCTTGACCAAAGAGGCTAATTCTCGAAGTTGTTCGAATCCAGTCTTGAGCGTTGATTTGCTCAATTTTCCAAGCGGTAACTTATCCTGGTTGTAACCAATTGATTCGAGCACAGCGTTGAAATGATTCTCACTGTAGATATGGATTAGCTAAAGTGAGGGAAACTGGCAAGAGCCGTACTTGAAGACTAGCTCCATCAATCTCTGAGTAGGCAAGTCAAGCTCGCTCTTTACGGTGTCCTTCTTGTTATTTGCAGTGTCGCTGTCGTCGTTGTCTTCCTTGTCATCGTCCTCATAGGATTTCTCAATGTAGGTGTACTTCTTGTCCTTTGGCTTATTGGTTCTGTCCGACCACTCAAGACCACTCTTATCTTTGAATTTCTTCTCAAACTCTTTCTTGGCATCCTCTAAGGTCGAGTACTCTGTTGTTTTCACCTGGCCATCCTCACCAACTCTGCCCCACCTGGCGTGAGCGAAGTAAACTTTCTTCTTGCTGTTAGACTGAAGGACTTGCAGCATGTAGAACTAGGCAGAGGGTGAGTATTTCTTGGTTGAGACTGAGACAGGACTACCTTATTGTTGTTGCCTGAGACGTTGCTCAGGTTCAGTGAAGCGTCCCAAATCGTCTCATCATCGTCTATATGGATGTGAACCTCAGCTATCTCAATAAGCAGATGATTCACTGATCGACAAAGGATATGTTACCATTCTCATTAAAGCCTTCGTCAACTTTCACTTCAGGACGACTCTTCTGAGCACCAACAGCTGTCTTCTGCTTTTTCGTGCCGGCACTTGTACCAGCACCAGTTCGTTTCCTAGTTGCAGGCATACTTGGTTAGAGCTCACGTAAGTCTATTCACTGGGTCGCCTTGTACGGTTAAAAAAAGACAACATAGGTGTAACTGTGAGGGTTTCGAAGAAGAAATTGATCAGGGACTGGTATAGATTGGTGCTGCGTTTGAGGTTATTATGTAGGTATCATTCTCGCCACCGAAACTCTGGACTTGGGAATCAACACTCGATGCGCGAGCGTGTTAGAAAGTGAACAGGCACTTTTTCGAAAGCTCCCGCAGTGTGCGTAAGACATTTGCTATCACTGGAAGGTGAATTAAGGCAAGAGAGCTGGTGGCCTGAAGCAGAGCCGCACTAAGCCGTAATAAGCATCAGTTTTAAAGGTTAATGAGCCCATGGACTCCACTTTAGGCATGGTGCCTGAAAGTGGTGCCTATAATCTGCATCGTGCCACCCAGTCGTGCAAGTGAATTCGTGGTATTGCGACGCAGCTGCAAATGAACAAGTTGCGAGTCAACGAGGTATCGAAGTGTGGCCAGGCAGCATCAGGTGCAGTCTGGAGCAATCTCAGGTAGGTGTGTATTAGTCTCGTATTGCGAAGCTGAGCAGGGATCATCGATCAGTTGCTCGTTCGTTCGTCGACGAAATTGGTGGTCGATTTCTCCGTGTAATTGCTTTCCTGAGTCACATTGGTTTCATGACCCGTAACCATATAAGGCCTTCATTTGAGAGGCAGTACATGTATTGCTGGCCCAGTGAGACCTTTTTGCAGTAGAAAATCTAGAAGACATCTTCTGCAGTGACATGATATTCTCTGCCATTCTCACGGATATGTTGTTTGTGCTCGTCTCTAGCAAGGGGAATGCGCATGTCAAAAGCATCTTCACCTTTCATCGACCCACCGATGTCGTCGGAATAGTAGTCGACAACTCGGCGGAAAACACTGTACCCTAGTGATTCGTAGAGCTTGATGGCCAAACTATTCGACTCACGTACGAAAAGGTCCACAAACCAGGCGTGTTGTAGCTGACATGCATCTTCCAGCGCTCTCGTCAACAACCTCGCGTAGCCAAGTCTACGATATTGGGGAGCTATCGTCAGAGCAGTTACATGGCCGTGCCATGGCAGATAATGTGGTGAATCTCTTAGTCATGATCAGTAATTGTTGTGTTGATACAAACGAACATACTGCAGGTAGGCGGGTGAAGTCTCGACCTTGCCTATTATGTAACCAACAATCTGGCCATTCTCCTCAAGACAGAAGAAGAGAGAGGGCCATTTCATTAGATATTGTAGGTAGAAACTGATGTCGTAGTTCTCGGTATAAGGGTCGAGATTACATAGGTTGAGATGGAACAGGTCCGCTGGCTTGACACGTCTGATCACTGGCATTTTGACAGATTCGAGCTGGATAACAGCCTTCTATAGAGTCGGGAGAGTGATGGGTCATACAGACATGAGCGCAACGTTATCGTGTAGTTTTAGCTGGGTGTTGATGAGAGTGCTTAAGCATTGAGAGAAGAACTTGAACGCCTGTAAGTTCGGCCTTAGGAGCCTGAGGACCCACAAAATGGGTGCTGCAGTCAACCTGGTCCGGGCGGGCAACCTCGATGATCTGCATCGATACCGCGTTTACGGTATAGAATCGCAACGCCAGTGATGCAGGAACATTCGTGGCTGTATTGTACTACATGCAGTCGTAGAGTGTTTAGAAAGAGTAACAGCACTCAACAGTACGAGTACAGAATAAACGGTATAATGCGCAGGCACGACCCATCGAGAAGAGGCCTGCGATGATAGCGACGATGTCGTTTCTACCCACCACTCTGGTATCACCCACAAGTCCTACACGGAAGCGTAGGTCATTACGCGTCTCGGGCGTTGCTCCTTCGTACGAAGCCCCGAACTCTACTCTCAACGAAGTAGGCGACGAGAATCTACCACTTTATTCGAGCAACTCATCACCAACTTCCTCACAGCAATTCTCGGAAACAACACCTCGACCACTCTATACAGGCTCGAAACGGCCATCGTCGTCACGGTTGAGTATCGGTAGCAATATCAGCACTGGACTTGCTAGCAACGCTGGTTATGGAAACTTGGCAGACGAGTTAGAAGAGGCTTGGGACCCCGACATCGACGATCATGATATTTCCTTCCTCTCTGGCCTGCAAGAAGGCGACCCGGACGTGTTGCATAGTCCAGCGAGTAACGGGATGCGCGAGCTAGATCTTGAAACAGGACCTCCGAGTCCTGCGAAGACTAATCCTCCATATTCGCCTCGGAAGCCACCTAGTCCTTCGAAACAATGGGCTAGCATGGGAACACACCAGAAGACAGAGTCGCTATATGATGGATCAGATTATGGGCCTTCCTCAGACGACGAAGCTTTTGATTCAATCACGCCCACTTTGCAGCGCAGGATACATGACGTTGAGGAGATCACGAGGATATCGTCCAATGCAGACTCCCTATCCGAGTCGGGTGGTGTGATAGCAAGAACAACAGCCTCACTAAGAGACGGATTGGCAGCGCAGTCGAATATAGAGAGTGGGACGACACGATTGATCACGGCGTATAACTCTATGGCGACCCACCGATCACATCAGTCTCGTGAATTGATGAATGTCTCGCATGCTCTAATATCCAGTTTAGCCAACAGTATACTAAACCTACCGACAGAGACACTCGAGATCGTTATCGCCGAGCTTGATTCTCTAACTCAAGCACTACCTTTTCTTTCCATGTCTCCTCAGCCCTGCCCCACTCCTTTGAACGCGCTTCAGACGTTTGCAAATAATACACAGGAGTTACTGGCATTGATGCATGGTTTGTCCGACACGTTAACTGAGCACCGTCAATACCTCTTGACTGCCACTAGACGATTAAAATCCGTGCGCGAGCTGGTCAATGATCTTATCACAGAAGAAGAACTTTTATCGACGAGCATTATGCTTATCCAAGCCGGAGATTGGGATCGCAGGTGCAAAGAGCGGCACGCTGGAAAGGCTGTAACGGAAGTGCTGGAGGGTTTCAGGAAATCATGGGGTATCGATTATGTGGAAGGTGCATGGAGACCAACCACGGTCAAAAGGAGGAGTATTGCTGTACGTTGATACTCCCGTATCAGTCATAATGATCGAGAGTACAACAGTCACGCAGCGCGAGGATTGTGAATAACGACGAAGCATATACAAGGATACAATTCCAAGTGATTGAACTATCGACAATTATACAACATGACACATCCTATCTAGGGTACGTGCGAAACCACTCCATTCATTAGACGCCAAGTCATTCATGGATGGCACGAGCTCAGCAGGTGGTTTCATTCACGATCGTCTGGTGTGTGATCAAAGTCGAAACTCTCAACAAAAGTACTTCAAGCATTTCCACTATCTTACGGCGATGACCGCCGTAGCTCGGCATATTTCTCGATTCCGCCGCCAAGTTCCGAACACGAAGTCCTGCCAAGGTTCAGGCAGTCCAGCATTGACGTCGTGCTCTGAATTACTGAAACAAGTACTGCTATATTTATGGCTGTTTCATCACATGTACAGTCTTGTTAGGCACCTGTGCGAGTCGTCGCCAAGATGAAGAATGAATCTTTTCAACTTCTAAGCCTTATGCTTGGCACTGCAGCTACAGCACCTATCGTGACCGTGCTGAACGGTACATATGAGGGACGTTACTTGCCAGAATTCAGCCAGGATCTCTTTCTAGGTATACCTTATGCTCAGGACACCAGTCTCGCCAATAGGTATCGTGTCCCTCAGTCATTGAATGAGACATGGCCGGGCGTTCGTGCGGCCACACACTACAGCAATGCTTGTCCAGGCCTGTATCCGGAGCTGGACAGTATGTATGGAATGAGTGAGAATTGTCTGACCATTAACATTGTTCGACCCGCTGGAATAGAAGTCGACGCACAACTGCCGATCATGTTCTGGATTCATGGCGGCAGTTACCAGCTAGGGACCACAGGGCTGCCGAATTACAATCTTAGCTATATCGTGCAAAGGTCTGTTGACATAGGACGGCCTATCATCGCAGCCAGTATCAATTATCGTAAAGGTGGATGGGGCAATCTCTACTCCATTGAACTGCAAGGCTCTGGAAACACCAACTTAGCGCTTCGAGATATGCGCAAGGCGCTTGCCTGGGTATCCGAGAATATCAAGTGTTTTGGAGGTAATCCTAACAGTGTTACTGTCTGGGGTGAATCTTCCGGTTCTTTTGCTGTAGGTCAACTTCTACTTAGCTATGGTGGAAGGACAGATAATCTTTTTCATCGCTCCATTCAACAATCCGGAAGTGCAACGACTGCATGGACCAATGGCAGTGATTGGTATCAACCCATATACGACGACATTGTCAATCAAACTAATTGCTCCGAGGCAATCGATACACTTGCATGTTTACGTACAGTGCCATACGAAGTCCTCTTGCCCTTACTGGACAAATTTCCGACTCTTAATGGTGGACCCGGCTACTACCCGACCGTGGACGGAGACATCTTTCCCATGTATCCTACTGAAGCTTATCGCAATGGTCATTTCGCCACGTCGATACCTCATCTCTATGGCACGAACACCGACGAGGGTACAGATAATGCGCCTAGCGACGGCGTCATCAATACCGACGAGGACTTGTTCGCATTCCTTCTTAACAGCACAGGCTTTGACTTCCCGTCATCCACCGTAGATCAAATTATGCAACTATATCCTGATGATCCCGAGGTCGGCATTCCAGCTCACACAAGTATGAATCGCTTCGAAGACCACGGTCGTCAGTACAAGCGCATCGCTGCCATAATGGGCGACGTCTTTTATCATGCTCCACGCCTCGACGATGCCAGATCCTACACGAAATCTGCCGAGAGTGGATCGAAGACTTTCACATACAGATACAATACTCGAGGCTGGATGAACAATACCAATACGACTTATGTGGACGTCACAGGTTCATTCGCTCCTGATTACAAAGGCGTTGCTCATGCAAGCGAACTTGGCTTTGTGTTTGATAATCCTCATTTCCATGGCGTATGGGCGGGTTACTCGGAGTTGAGTGATTTGATCAGCGAGCTATGGATCAACTTCGCACATGACGGAACGCCAAATGTTGCACTGGTATCAGACTATGTGGTCGAGGAGGATGCAGAGGTCATTGAGCAGACCTTAGAGAATACAAATGTCACTGGGTTGCAGCGTCTTTATTGGCCTAGCTATGATGAGGACGAGAGAGGCCTGAACCTCGTGCTGCAGACACAAGGACAAGGCGGTTGCTACGTGGAGCCTGATACTTACCGCCTCGAGGGCAGAGAGTATCTTACGCAGTGGGCAAGGCGACGACATGTCTGAATCAGGGCAAAACGACATGCCGTACCCTTAGAGATGAGAACGCATGCAAATTTCAATTCTGGAATTTACCCAAAATTTGTTCGGTTATCAATCCAAGCTCACTTTGCAACCCTCAGCACTAGACACAACAATGGTGAGATTCTGCGGTTCCTGGCCTACAGGCACCACCTTCGTCCCTGCAGGCAGTCGCAAATTGGGGTACGCCTGCACGAATCTCGCAATAGCGTAGCTCGACTCCGTGAACGCAAAATCTTTGCCCAAACATATCCTCGGCCCGGAGTGAAACGGCACATACGCTGAGCCAATATTGACCAATTCATCCGTGAGCCACCTCTCAGGCCGGAAGTCCTCGGCGTCTTCCCCGTAGTATTCTTTCCTGCGGTGCATGTGGTACGTTGAGTAACCTATGCCCTGGCCTTTGCGTATCATTATTGGCTGCAACCCGTCAGCACCACCGCCTCTTGGCAGCCACGTTGTCCTGCTAGCGTTTCTGTTGTTGATTGGAATTTGCGGGTACAGTCGCAGTGTCTCCTTGATTACAGCGGCTAGATATGGCATACGTTGCAAATGGCCTCTGGTGAAGTTGGTCTTGCCGTCCGTTGCCTCGTAAATTTCGGCACGTAGTCGTGCGAGTTTTTCAGGGTGACGGACAAGCATAAAGATGGCCCAGGACATTGTACAGGCTGTGGTGTCACGGCCTGCCAGGAGGACGTTGATCAGTTGATCACGAACTTTTTGTGCGTTGCCGACTTGTTCGTAGAGGTCGATGATGAAGGGATATTTGGCGAAGGCCTCTTTCTCACCGAGCTCAGTCCTCGCTCTCATGGCTTTTCCGACGAAGTAATCTGCATAGGCACGAACAGCATCGCATGATTTTGTGAACGTTCGGGAGATGTGTAGAAAGTGTAGGTCACTGAGACGGAGTCGGAGCGCGGTCTTTTCAGAAGCATAGTCGAAGTGGTAGGCGAAGTCTTTGGTCTTTTCCACGCCGAGATCGTCCACTGGCTCGCCGAATAACAAGGCTGTTGTGGTTGACAAAGTGAAATTGAAACAGGCTGGCTGAATGTCGACTACACTCTTGGCACCTGCGAAGGAGGAAACGAATGATTCCACGAACGGTTCCAGGGTTGATAGATCGTTGTATTGGACACGCATGAATTGTCGCTTCAAAATGTCTCTGGAGTGTTTCCAAGCTGGTCCATCTTGACAGAATATGCCGTCTCCGAGGAATGGGAGGCAGCCGAGTCGGCGCGAGCCTAGCTCGAAATCTGCGAAGCGTGTCGTCAGTTCCGAAAGCAGGAGAGTGCATCTTCCATACCTTCAAATTTTGTGTTGTTGATGTACTCGAGGTTTTTTGGATCTGTAGTGAAGAAGCCTTGCAGACCGAATAGATAGTTGTCGCACGTCGCGTCTAGAGGTTCTAGGAATTGAGCCTGTACAGCGAACAACCTTTTCTGCCTCATTGCGTTGAGCTGTATGACAACCATATCAAGACTGAGTGGCCACTTGGTTGGCAATGTAGATCGTACGGCTTGACACCCGTGCTCAAGAGCAAATGCTTCATCGTCCTGGGGCTTGTTAGAGTGTTGCTGTCGAGCACAATCACAGCCCTACGAGTCTCTGTCGCCTTCTGGCGAGCACGGTTCTGGTCAGGTATGCTGCTGTATAGCAGCAGAGTGTAGCCAGCAGGATAGCTCTAGCGTTGTAGAAGTCGAAAGAGAACATGGTGGGTGAACAGAAAAGATAGGTTTCCATGCAGCGGCTGCGCACTTGAGCTACTTTTGCAGGCAGGCTTCAAAAGCTGGACAATTCGTTGTGACAGATGAATCTCAGCCTGACTTGGAGAAGCAACGTTTACTCCTGTTGAATAACTCGATGATTAGAGTTCGGAGCGATTGGGGTCGATTAAGAAGGACGGATGCAGCATTTAAGGAAGAGTCATTGTGCAAGACACGCGCGTGAAGTAATGTGCGATGTCTCTCAACGTGCTGGTCATATTGAGTCCAGAACCATCGAACAGGAAGATCGAGTAGCAATGTGCCCTGATGCGATTGGCACTTGCAACCGTAAGCTTGTAAAGGAAAGGTGGGGGCAGGCAGCAACACCAAGTCGTTATTCTTATTCTGTGCATGACAGTAGTGTCATTCGATGAGTAGACTAGCAAGGTAGTCCGTGAAGGCTGGGGACCTGGTTCGACTGCGACGCGTCTCTGTATTCATTGGAAGCGTCAAGATTGAGTTGTACTTGACTCTGTACTGTTTTCAAAAATTTGCAGAGGTTGGAAGCACAATCACCGACGCGATGTAATCATGTTGCCACCATGGTCGGGCAGCAAATACGAACAGTTGAGTCTATATATTTCTCTCTTGCCCCACCAAGGGATTTTGGAGTAATTTAATCCTTCACAGCCCTATCCCGGTCATGGGGCCGGATCGTGGCTTCCTGGATACAATGGTGGACTTGTTATAGGCCCAACGACTGCAAAGCCTGGTCTTATCCATTTCTGGTCTGCCATGCAGCCAATCGTTTGTGGTTGCAATCAATCAGCAGTTCGCAACGCGCAATAGCCTTCAGAACTGACGTTGTGATGTTAAATGTCCAGCCTGCAGAGCTACGTCTTCTGCGCGCCCAGTCCCACGTTTCTGTCCCAATTCTGTGCACGATACGACTTTGATAAGTCTCTATGAACATGTTGGCATCGAAGTCGTCGTCGCTGGACCATCTATTGAGTATACAGGAGCTGTCTCTGTGATTAGAAAATCCGGGGGTCAGCCTGATTGCAGACAAACTGATCGAAGCGCATTTCAGCAATTGCACCGTTCGCATAATGACAGGATATCGACGAGCATGATCGTTGCCCCAATAGCCGCCGCAGCGTATGGCCAAGTTGGACCCGGTCCAGTGTATCATGGAGACTTACACACAACCAAGGGACATAGTTTCGATCAAGTTACTATACGAGATTCTGCCACTGTCAACCTGCATCAAGGAGATATCTACTTTCCTCGGTCTGATTCAACAGAATTGCCACAGTTCTGGGTCTTGAAACAACCTTCTCTGCACTTCACTGGTCGAGCAGAACATTTGCAAATGATTCAGAGATGGTTCACAGAGGAAGAAAGCCGAAAGCCCAAGCATAGGGATAGACACAAGTCAATTGTCATCCAGGGTATGGGAGGTTCGGGCAAGACCCAGCTCGCTCTCAAGTATGCTCATGCTATGAGAAATTAGTGAGTCAAATCCTAATGCGCTGGCCGAATACTCACCACAATAGTTATTGGGGCATCTTTTGGATCGACGCAAGCAGTCGCCAGAACGCATATAACAACTTCGGTGAGATCGGTAAATATTTCGGAAAAGGTGACACTTTCAAGGCTGGTCTCTACTGGTTGTCTAGCAAAATAAATCAGAAATGGCTCCTTATCTTGGACAATGCCGATGACCCAGATGCTACAGCCTTGGACATCTCTGATCTCATTCCTCCAGGCAACAATGGTCATGTGCTGATCACTTCCAGAAACCCGCAGCTGCTTCATACTGAGGAGTACACTACATCAGGCTCCCTTCATCTAGAGGCTTTAGGCGAAGATGAGGCAATTGACCTTCTCCTCAAGTGCGCGTACGACGACGAATCCCTCTTGGCTGACGCTGATGCTAGGGACCTGGCTCAAGAGATCACGACAAAAGTGCTCTACCGCTTAGCGAAAACGATCGATGCGGCTGGTCGCTTCATTCGTCAGAAGAAATACACGCTCGAGAAGTATTTAAAGCACTATCTACCTATTCAACGAAAACGCGAACGTCTCAGCAGAGACAATGGGGAAAATACCGATAAGGTTTTGATTGCGATTCAAACCACGTGGGAGACTCCGTTACGTGACATCAAGCTAAAGGCGAAGAATTCCCAAGAACATGAAGATGCTGTTGCTTTGTTCCACGTCTTCACGTTTCTTCACTATGATGGCGTCACCCAACAGGTCTTTGAAAACCTCTGGAGGTCCCCTGCCTGTCAATCCACCATTACTGGGTCCATGCCTTATATTCTGACATCCGGCCACACCGAAACGTTGGAATTGGCGAGTCGATTGGAGACTGCGACACAGTTGTTGCATAGTTACGGTGTGTTGGAGTCCTGTAACTTCGATTCCACAACGGAAACCACAAACCGACCGTGCTATACTTTTCATCCCTTGGTTCAGAGTTCCGCTCGACACAAACTCAAAACCAACAATGGACGTGGTGACCAGCGGCCGCAATGGCTGAAGCGCGCTATTCATGTTCTAGCTTCCGGCATATCTGAACAGGCAGAAGACATCGACGCAAAGTACGCCAGAAGACTGATACCTCACATAAGGGAATGCATCAAACTTGTCGAGGACATTGACGAGTCTCAGCACTTATGTGAAGACAACTCCGAGCAGGTCGAATTAGCCGCGCAGCTCGGGTCGGATTCGAATTTCAAAGCTCGAGACCATTATGGCTTCGATGTCCAGAAGCTCAAGCACTCGTTGTTGTTTACACACCAGGGGGCATTGCAATATGAACGTTTCGCTCTTGTCTACCACACTGTCGCTTGGTGGCAAATTTCCGTCAACTTCTACAAGCGAGCACTGCTTTTCAGGCAGCTCAAACAAGGGAGCAGACATGAACAAGTGCTAAACAACAGGAGAAGGATGGCGCTCGATATGTTCTGGAATGACGAATTAGAAGATAGTGTAAGAAACTTAATCTTTATCTTAATCTCAAGATGGCGAAAGCGAGATTCATGGGCAGACTGGCTGTTTTCACCACTTTCCCCTGGTCACATCAGTTACTGTACGGCGCTCAGCGATCTCACGGAAGCGCTTTGGAGAGTACGCAAACACTTTGAAGCAGTACGTCTTGGAGAACGAGCTGTCTCAGGACTGACTGAAAGACTTGGAGTTGACGATGCGCGTACAGCTACGGCTAGACTGAATCTCGCCCGCGTCTACAACCACGTCGACAAGACGGAAGAAGCACATGGGATATTGGTCTCAGTTGTGCGAGCACGTAAAAGACGACCCTCGTTAGTGGACGGGGGTACTTCGCAGACATCTCGGCATAAACTGCCCCCTGGTTTCAACAATGTCGATACACTATTTGCAAGGAACGAACTGGCGTTCAGTCTGAGGAAAAAGCCAGGGCGGGGCCTTATAGTGGAGCGAATATCAAGAAATGTGAGTCAACAAGCTGTCGAAATTCTAGGTGAAGAGCATCCGTGGACACTGTTTTCCCTCTCCGATTTGGCAAAACATTTAAGCATCGTCCGCAAACCACAATCAGGACAAACGGAAACTGAACACCAAGAAGCTGTTGAAATCATGGAAGGCATAATGCCCATGGCTAGAAGAGCTTTGGAGGCCCAACGGCACCATTTCTTCCTGATACAGGGACAACTCGCCAGGGTATATGCTTACAATGGGAAGTGGAAAGAAGCTGAGGCGACTCTAGTCGACTTGGTCAAGTCCACTGAGCCGACTGAGCTGCACTGGTACGGAGCGGCAGCAGCATTAGCACGAGTCCATTACCGTGCAGGATCTTATCAAGAGGCAGAAACGCTGCTGAAGAGACTGATAAGGATTCGCGCACCGAAAAAGGACTCTCATACAGCTAAAAATCCGGAGTTGCTGAACGTGTTGGATCAAACAGCTACACTTTACAAGAAAACCAACCAGATTGAGAAGCTGGTTGCATTGAAGACCGAATATCCTATGGCCGACGAAACTCTGGAGGACGGCGCGATGTTCGAAAATTTCAACACACAGATGTCAGAAGTCTCGAATCCCTTCAAGACTGTCTATGATATTGCGATGTTTCTCTGGATAGATAGGGATAAATGGTGGTGGGAAGAGTCACTATATCAAGCATGCAAGCGAGCTGGTCAGAAGTACTGGACTGAGAATAACAACCCGGATCAAACCGACGAAGACGAAGCAATGTTCAACAAAGAAAATAGGCGACGTGATCCACCTTAAAGTGCCTCTTGAGAGAGACTGGTGTGCACCAGAAGGACTACGAATTTTCATCTCACACGGTGCAGGCAGCATGACGTGTCTGACAAACACCCCAGTCGAAGCAAAGAACTGCCACTTGAAGATGCTCCAAGGTGTAACTCGGATCGAGCCTGATGGTCGATCTTGGTATGCTGCGTCACTCGGCCCTCGTGCTATGCGTCAGCATCCACTGTGACTCCGCTCAGCACTCTTCAAGTCACTGCGCTTCGCTCCACGACCATGCGCACCACTTGCGAATTAAGTCTCAAACAAAGAACGAAGGACTGCGACGGAGGTTCACCAGGTACTTGGTAGCAAGATGACTTGGTCTACCGAGAGGAAAGCGACATGGCGACTCGGAACAGTCTTCGAATTAGATTATGTGCCTATCTAACATATTTAAGACGCTCGCTAACCTCCTGGGTACATTGCAGGTCATTGCAAGTCATTATGTGGGTATATACTTTTCTCTTCATCGTTCTCCCTCTATGCTGGACAGTAAGGTGGTGGGCACGGCAGCCCATAAGAGTATGAGGTATAAATTCCGATCGGGCACTCGTCGTAGTCTTGGAAGAACTCGAAATGTGTGTCGCTGGTGTAAGTCATGCCTGCGACGCCTGTATGTTGTCAGCAGTGGTTGTGAGAAAAGGAGATCAAAGACTTACAAGTACCGGCACCAACAAAGCAAGGACCAACGTCAATGGTGTAAGCAAACCCAGGCTCCATATGAATGGGAGGGAAATCTGGGAATGGACCAGGCTGCGGCTGGTTGTTCCATGTCGTTTGTGGGCCTGGACAGCTTCCAGGATTATAGCCCTTGAAAAAGAAAGAGCCAGGACCAGAGTATGTGTACGACGAGGTTTTGAGCTGCGACTGTTTAGGGAAGAGGAATTCGAGTGTGCAGTTTGCGTCTGCTCGGGATGCTGGGACGTCGAAGCTGAAGATGGAAGCGACGTCGTTGGGAGTGAATACGCCGTTGTATTGAGGGCCGTATGCCTTGTCTGGGTTGGCTTTTGAGACCTGAGTGATGTAGTGAGGGAACTCGAATTGGCCTGGGGTCAGGTATCCTGGACATCCGTCACGTTTGCTCCTCGTCCATTCATGGTCGCCTAATTCCCTTTTGTTGACTAGTTGCCATGGGGCTGCGGTGATGACGCCGGCGAGAGCAGCGAATGTGATTAAGCCTTTCATCTTGACGGAGTTAAGAACGAGTGTACTGTTTTAGTATGATTAGGTGTTGATGCGTTCGAGGTGAAGATTTGGCGAAGTTCTGGTGAAGCACAAGACCAACCGAATGGACTGCCATTTCTTTATAGCTCATCAGCTAAGCTCACCAAGAAACCATTTAGATCTTCAACGGCCTGGACAAGGCCAGGATAACACTCCGCAATCCTGCAATCAGTGTAGGCTGGTTAGTAAGGTATAGCGTGATGAGCGATGTGGCATGACTGCAACGCTGACTGAGACATGCTCGTTTAGTGAGGCCTCTTGCGCCAACATAGCAAAAGGAGCACTGCCGCAGCAGGGAAATGGGAATAGTTACTGGGAAGTCCAAGAGCTACTGGTTGGTGAAACTGACTGGGCCGAGCGAAAATGGTATTGGTGCTTAGTTTTAGGGGCACATGCCCAGCCAAGATTGGAAGTACGTTGGTGCCTGCATTAGTGTAAAGCTTGTTCGTCGTGCTGGACTTGAGCACGAGTCCAGAGCCGTTGCACTTTGCGTGCGCAATCCTCTTTCGCTGAGTTGGAAAACACCAGTCCCTACGAATGCAAACTGCATCTCATGCTAGGATGTAGTAATCGATCGAAATGTGATGCACAAGGCAAGCACCTGGAACCTCAACAAAAGCCACAAAACGGGGCGCAGTTTAGGCGAGAGTGTATTGTGATCGGCAGCCAAGGCGACCGCCAAATGCTTGTCTAGTGCTTGGGTCATCCTTCGCTGCTTCTTGAGGCTTGAACCGTTATTTGGATATTTGGTAACAATCTTACCGGAACAACGGCCTGACGTATCAATGCCACTAACCAATATTAGATCTCGTGACTGCTGCTTGTGACGTGTCAGGAATCTCATATACCACATTGAAGACGCGATGGTCGCGACTTGACTCGTCTAGCAATAACCCAGTTGTCAAAACTGAGCTGAAATGGCTCAACTGCTTTACCACTAGGCAGAGGTGGTATCATGGTCTCGTATATGTCTCAAATGAGGTGCCAGTAGTAGAAAGGAAGGCAGCGGAATACCCGAGAGCCAACTTCTCTTTGCAGAACACTGATGTGAATCCACATTTTGTACGATAAGAATAGCTTCTTAGTAAGCCAATTGCACGCTAGTGGCAAGCACCCCACGAAACGACGTGCACCTCTCGAGATGTCTTGAGCTCTTCGATCTGTTGGTGACTCCGTTGAACGTGGGTGTGACGAAATGGAACGACAACGTTGCAAACACTGTGAGACGTACCACTATTTGCTGTTCGTGTGTTCCTGGCTTACACAAAGTACTGAGCAGAAAGAGTAACTTTACATACGTGCCATGGGCGGCTGTCGGAAGTCCGCTTCTCTATGCTTTGACCTTCAATTTCCAGCCAACATGGCATGTTCTTGCTGCGAAAAAGGCGCTAGCCGTCGCTAACAGCAGTATTCCAGAAAACAGCTGTACCCCAATCCACCTGCCAGTAGATGTCAAGATGGCTCCTGAAACGGGTGTACCGATAAGCAAACCAAACGAACACACAAAGAATGATTGACCCATTCTCGTGCCTATCTTGCGTAAGTCAGGCGTGAGCGCGACGATAGCAACAGGGGCTATGCTGATGAAAGCACCGCTGAAGAAACCATAGAAACATGCAAAGGCTATGATACCTCCGAGAGTACTAACGCCGATCCAGATCAATGCCATGACACCCGTAAGGAAAGCAGCAGGCACTAAAACGTTCATTGGCCCGATGTAATCTCCCACAAAGTTCGGTATAATTCTGCCTGGTACACTGGCAGTGTTGAGGATAGGAAGGAGGTAGAATCCGAAACTTGTATCGGTGAGTCCTGTCTGAATAGCGTACGGCTGGATGTAATAGACAGGCCCATAAAACGAGGTGAATGCCAGGAACATTCCAACACAATATAGGGTATAAGGTCCTTCCTTGAAGGCATCCAGATCCAACAATTTCCGCTTCTGTTTCGGCATAACACGCTGCTTCATAATGCAGATACTGAACGTGAGGGTGCCGAGAGCAATGAAGGCAATAGCCCGGGTGGCCCAACCAAAGCCGACCCTCTGTTCCAGAGCCCGAAAGACAATAGGATAGCAAATGCCTCCACAACTCGAACCAGCTGCGGCAATACCGTTTGCCAGGGCTTTCTTCGTCGTGAAGTACTGCGGGAGAATGGCAACGGACGGTACCCATAGGAAACCATTTCCAAGCCCAACGACGATGCCTTGTGCTATGACGACTTGCCAGTACTCACGGCAGAGACTGGTCATCATGAAGCCGAAGGGGACCAGGAAGCTGCCAATAACAACGAGAGTCCTGAAATATCCTCGATCGTATATAGGTCCTGTCACAACCCCGACCATGAGCAGCAGGAATGCTTGTATTGAGCCAATCCATGATATATTGGAAGGAGTTTCGGACCAGTATGGGTTGTTCTCGTAGTATGTTTGGAAGACTCCAAAAGAATTGACAGTGCCCCTAGAAGTCTAGAGTTAGCTGTCTCATTTATGTGCAGGAACCAGGAATGGCTCGAGACGTACCAGCAATTGAAAAAGAGAAAGAAGGAGCCCAACACTTGTAACCATGCTACTGTCCCACCATTCGGCGGAGGATCAGGCTCTCTCGACTCTCGTTCTGTCTTGGCAGGCAAATGTGCCTCAGCGTCAATCTCTGCTTCCACGGGGGAGTCGACCGTTGCTGCATTGCCACCGACAGTACTTGCAGAGCCTCCATGTCGACCTCTAGTCTCAACCATCTCTTTCGTCAACACCAGCGCTGAATGGCTAATGCTCGATCAATATCATAACAACGACTCACGCCATTGGAGTGGATGAAAACAACTCCGCGTCAAAAGAGAACAATGGGAATTGTTGGAAAGGGCGCTCATATCCGGGATGGAACTAATACCAGTAGGTAGTGGTAAAGCATGAGCAGAGTTCGGCTATCGGCTCGAAGCTCGTCTCTCTTTGGAGATTTTCTGACAAATCCGTGCTGGTAGATTTACAAAAAAACGTTTTGGAGAAAGAAACTTGACTTAGCTCGTGTTAGTGTGTTGCCGAGCTGTACGCTAATAAATTCACGGAGAAGAACTTTGGATGCGGCAGGACATGCAACATGGAAGCGTTCGTGCAAAACATGTGTGGTCGCATGGAAAAGGTACGCTCCCTGTCGACACTAACACGGTGTTCTCCTCGTGCTGTTACGAGGTGTCACAAAAAATTCCAAACTTCAAAATGCTAACAATCCCCCCGCATGCGCAATATTGTTCGAGTCACTGCCCAATGCTCTCGACAGGTCGATAGGATGGAATCTTCGACCATTGACAATCTGCCCCTGCTTCCACACCTCGTAATGTGATCGTTGGTCGACTTTCACATATTGCATGCTGGGTCGAACTCGTGTTGAGCCTATTTTTCACCTGCAGTATGTGGCAGGTTTTCTCGAGAAACGTGGCGCCCCCGATCCCCTACGAAATGGCACGTGGCTGCTTCTCGTGCAATGCTCCAGGTCGAATAGGAAGGGCCATTTTCAAGGATTTCACAAAGCCTTTCGTGCGGGTGGAAGATGTGATAAGGCCGCAACCAGGCTGGTCTGTCAACACAGGTTGGAGAAGCGTCCATTTACCTCCATGGTATCGCATAGTGGCTCATAGCAACTCTTCGCAGGTCCAATCTTCGAATGAGCCATCAGGAAGATACCTTCGCACAATCAAAGGAATCTTCTTTTCATCAAACTCCTTCATAGCAATTTGCAAAGGGTCGGTCTCGCCCTGGAGATCAACCAGAGGTGGAGCATTCATGCTAATTTGGAGTGCTCTAGTGCCAAGTACTCGAGCTCTTTCGTATTTGGTCATGTAAGGTGTTGTTGTCCTTTTGTCGTCTGGGATTTTCTTCGAGTCTTCTCCGGCGGGTTTCGCAGTTCTTTTCTGACCACCATCGACTGCATTGGCATCTGCTTCCACAAGTTCCATGCGCTCATTATCGTAGACCTCATTTCTTGCTTGCAAGGCATCCTCGTCCATGTCAGCATCGGGCAGAATGTCCTGTTCGTCCTCCTCTGGCTCGTAGAAGGCATCCTCAGGCTCTTCTGCGCCGAATCTGTAGATGGAAGTCAGCGCATGTTCAAAACACTACCCAGGAGACTCACGCAGCATCATCGTCACCACCGTAATCCGACATCTTCACAGTGAGCGAAAGGTGTGTACGTTCAGTGTTGTGAGGATGCGCAACAAGTGGTTCACAGAAGTTTACAACCCAATCGTCGCGGGTGCAGATCGCTGACCGGGCATACACTAAATCCTGCACACTCTTTACGGCAAATAATTGCTGCTGATCGTACATAGATATTGGCACAAAGCGGCTAATACTGTCCACGAACAGTGACAACGGCTCCTAACGGCTTGTGACGTTTCTTGGCGGGTCACCCCCACAGCGCAAAGCAAGTGGTCCAGAGTGCAGTTTTCATGCTTTTCATGCGCAACAGCCACATGTCACTCACGATCTGTTGCTGCTCTACCCACCCCTGCTCATTCCCAGTGAGAAAGCCGCACATGTGCTTCAGCCAACGACATGGAAGCACTGTCGGACGACGAGTTCGATCATGTCCGAGACTTCGATATAACGGACCCGGAGAGTGATATCGACAGCGACCAAGGCGACCACGATACTCCCTCGACCACTCCTCCACGAACACAAACCCCTCGTCCTTCTACCTCCAAACCCATTGTTTGTCCCTACAAAGACTGCTCCAAGACTTTTAGTCGCAATTCGCACTTAGAAGAGCACCTTAGATCCCATACCGGGGATCGACCTTTCAAATGTCCCCATACCTTCTGCCCTCAAACGTACTTGCGCGAGACTCACCTGAAGCATCACCTCAAAAGTGCCCATTCTACTGTTCGAGATCATGTGTGTACCTGGAAAGGTTGCGATAAAGCTTTCGCAACTGGCACGAGGTTGCGCAGACATCTGAAAGCGCATGAGGATAAAGAGCAGTACAGATGCCGTGGGTACGACGGCTGTAACGCGACTTTCCGAAAACACGAAACTTTGAGAAAGCACATCCTGGTTGAGCATGAAGACACGAAACCTTTTCCTTGCAACTATGTCCACCCCGAGTCCGGTGCACCATGCACGAAAGCATTCGACACTGCCGACCGCCTCAAGAACCACAAACGAGCAATGCACGACAACTCCAAATACTCTTGCACTATATGCGCGAATAATCATGGAACAGTACACACGCCGATGACCACAGAAGAACAGCCGTCTCCATTCTCTTTTGCAACTTTCCCGGAGCTGCAATCTCACATTGCTCAAGCACATCCCCTCAAATGTCCCTACTGTACAGCAACATCCGTATCTAACAAAGAGTACAAACGACATCTTGAGCTGGATCATGGTATCATTGACGAGGCAAAACAAAACGCGAAGAAATTTCCGTGTAACTATCTTGGCTGCGACCACGTTTCCACTAAGCAAGGCAATCTTAATGTACACGTCAAGACTGTGCACGAAAAGAAAAAGGAATTCATCTGCGGTGCTACAAATATCCCCGTGCCAATAGAATTGCAAGGTCGACCACAGATTGAACTTCTAGGATGCAGCAAGTCGTTTACGAGCAAGGCTAGTCTTATCGAGCACGTTCGTACTGCACATTTCTTGTTGCCTAGCAAAAGAGCTCAGCGGGAGGAGGCAAAAAAACTCAAACGGAGTGCAGAAGACTCCCTCTCATATTCTGCTCCCAAACGAAGAATGCCTCGTAAGGACAAGGGCACTAAAAAAGCATCTACGCTCGATACTCTGGTCGGCACGAATGAAGTAGCTCTATCTACCTCCTTCCCTATCATCAAGTCCTACTCAGAGAAGTCACCAGCCTCGCATAGCTTTGATGAGATCATGGAAGACGAAGCTGACGATCCAGATGATCCGAATCAGCTTTCTGGCTCCATGACTATATTTGGTCAGCATCTCTACCATAACGGCCAAGCTCATCGTCTAGTGAGTGAAGACGACAGCGCCGACCTTGTCACAATCGACGACGGCCAGTATATCCCATGCCAAAATGGTCACGCGATGGCTTTTCAAGATGCACATATGCAGCCATTCTTCGATTTCGAGCACGAACAGGAACTCATCCGGTCGCACCTCGACCCAGTACTACTACAAGCCTGATTCATTCAACTTGAGAACATCAACGAAGCAACAGCCCCGATATATTATTATTTTCTGCACCATTCGTTCTGCATTCTTTTGAAGATACCCCTTTGAGCGACTCATGACGACGATCAGTTTACGATTGACCGACCGACGAACGCGGTCGATGGAAAAAAGTGTTTCATACATGGGTGGGCGTTAAAGCGGTGCAAGTGGTTGATAGGCATTAGAGCAAACCATGTCAAGCTTCGTGCATAGGGGCTTGTCGTGTGGAGGATCGACAATGCAAGCACTTTAATCTTAGCATGATATAGGAACATGGTACAACAAAAGTGACTTTCATCATAGCATATGACTTGTAAGGTCTCACGAAAATACCTTCCACCCCTGGGTCCCGTGTTCGTGCCAAGGATGCTCTTTTATTCCTCCGTAGTCACTCTTGCTCTGTTAGCTTTGTCTACCACACTGTCACAACATGGCATGCCCACATGTCATGCCTCTTATCTAAAGCCATAACTACCACAACCAAAGTACCCTTGCCGCACCATGCTGCTGATGTTACCAGCATCTACCGAAGCGGAACATGTCCGCTAGACCGACCTTCCCCTCGAGCTGCCATCCGATGAGCTGAACAGGGTACTACTCAAGTATTACTAAACACCACCACACCTCAGTCATGTAACACACCATCTCAGACCCGCTGAATAACAACGATGTCCTCCTCCGCCCGAAAATCCATCATCATCACCGGCGGCGCCAGCGGTATCGGCCTCGCCATAACCCGGCATTTCGCCCTGCAACACCACGACATCGCCGTCCTCGACATAAACAGCACCACAGGCCCCTCCGTCATCGCTTCCGTACAAGCCGACCACCCACAATCCACACTAACGTTCAAGCACTGCAACGTCGCGTCCTGGGAGGAGCAAGCGCGCGTCTTCAAGGAGGTGTATGAGCAGCATGGGCGACGGATGGATATCGTGATGGCAAATGCGGGTGTTTCGGATCGAGGGGAGAATAATATTACGGTGCTTGAGGGAGAGGACGAGGAAGGGCCAAGTCAGCCGAATTTGGTGACGGTGAATGTGAATTTTGTGGGGTGTCTGTATAGTACGTGGTGATGGGATTGTGAGATGAGGTATGTGGGTATATTGAGAGGCTAACCATTATATAGCTGTGAAACTTGCTGCTTATTACATGAATAAGAATCCGGTTTCTGACGGCTCGAGTCGAGGGTTGATTATCTGTACAGCTTCGAATGCAGGGCTATATCCATTCCCTATTTCACCTGTGTACTCAGGAACAAAAGCTGGTATCATTGGGCTGGTGAGGTCGTTGGAGAAACCTTATGCAAAGCACAACATCCGGATCAATGCTTTGGCACCAGCAGTACTAGGTTAGCTTCTGAATATGAGTCGCCGTTGTATCGCAGAAGTGAGCTGACAGAGTCACAGAAACGAACATCGCACCAGATGCAGCGCTTTTCAGAGGTATGATTTTGACCCCGTTCTCTACCTTGACACGGGGTGTGCAACAGTTCGTGGACGATTCTACCTTATCAGGTGCCATAGCTGAGATTCATGGCGACCATGTGACACTAAGAGGACCGCCAGAAGTAGTGGACGAGGATAGTGCGAAGAATTTAGAACACTTCTGGTCATTTGGTAGCGCTTGAGCACAATATCTATGGTATTTGCTCGATGCTATGGATGATGTTTCGCCGAGGCCCGCCTCTGAAGGATCGAATTCTATTGAAGGGAGTATCTCCAAGCTTACGATAGAAATCGTGGTATCAGCTTCCGCAAACAGATCGTCGTAAGGTACTAACTCTATGGGTATCTTCGAAGAAAAAAGTTGCATATCGTAATGTCGTCGTTGAGAGATAGTTTCCTTGCATTCTCATTTCATAACGTCGAGCAGGTACTTCTCCATTCCTCTGACATCGAAATTTCGAATCCATTCTCTTGTGGTGTAGAACGCCATATGAGAGACTGCTTCGTAGCGGTCTTTGTCCGTCAAGAGACTATCCAGTTCTTTCATCCAGGGTTTTACGTCTTGGACAGGGATGACGTACTCGCCCTTCTCGTTGCGCTCTTGACCGCTGATTGTGTTAACATTGATAAAGGGGGTAACGTATCGCTTAGCTTCCTGTAGACCGCCAACATTGGAAGCGATGACAGGTATGCCTCGTAGTTGCGCTTCTGTTGCAGAGAGGCCCCAGGCTTCCTGCCAAAGGGACGGCATGATCAAGACGCTCATGTTGTCGAAAACAGGCTCCATGTCTGTGACTGACTCCTCGACCCTAAAAGTAGATTAATAAGCGTACTCGTAGCTCAATGATCTCACTCACTTCACTCCAGCAGCCTTCAAGTCCTGCACCATCTTTGGGCTGGAGCCCCAGCCTAGATATGCAATGAAGTTGTAGACGGGTCTGTCAAGAAGCGCATCCCAGTTGTTCTCGACTTTTCGTTGAGCGTTATCTCTTGCCATAGCCAGAAAGATATCGTAGCCCTTGACCCAAGCTGGATTGATCATAACAACGTTTTGTTTGGCAAAGTTGGATCTGTAGCGTGGCCAGTCACTGGTCTCCTTGTCCTTGTAGGACCAGGCATGGTTTGGAATCATTTCGGCATGCAGACCACAGTGGTCTTTCGCATATCGTTGGACCGCTTTGGAAACGGCAATCAAGCCGTCAAGCTCCTTGAACAGTCTCAGCTCTTCAGGACATTGGGCACCTCCGGAGATGCCGCCGGCGTAGGGACCAGTGGGTAGTTGTTCGAGCGTATGAACAACCTCAACACGAGCAATGCCGGCCTGAATATCTGCAGGCAAGTTGCAAGTAGCAACACTAGCAAATGCGTCATTGAAGACCACATGCGTTGCGTTGAAACCGATGATATGATCTTGCAGCCACCTCATGTATGGGACTGCTCGAGCGGGTACTGATCCTGTCTGCAAGAAGTTAGCGAGCATCGAGAAAGGCAGGACGGATAGCATACTCGGATAAATGCAGCAGCATCCTCCTGCTGTAAAGGATTTGGGTATGTAGGGATCATGGTCTCTGCGTCAAGTGTAACACACAATATGCCATGAGTGTTTGTGAACTTTGTCCAGGTGACGGGTGTTGAGTTGCTATCCTTGTCGAAGATCTGGACTGTTCCTCTCTGGAAGTGTTGCTTACTGAATCTTCCTGCTGACTTCAACTCTGCAACTGCTTCGTAGATGTCCTGTCTTGTGGCCCATGCGAACTGCATGGTCATGTGTCCGTGCTTCTGTAAGGCTAGGAGACTGGCGTAATTTCCTCGAAAGCCACCAGATGGAGGTTTGAGGCCCGCTGCTGTCTGTACCAAGGCAACCCGCATGGGTCGATAGCCTTCGAGCTCATCTGGGCTGCTAGGGAACACATTTCGTATGTGTTGGTTCTTCTCTTGCTCAAGCAAGGAATCGTCAGAAGCTGCTGGAGAGGTTCGAGGAGTGGTGTCTTCGAACTCAAAGTTCTTCAAGAATCGCTGCACCACGATTAGCTGTATTCCTCACATTTTGAGCACAATGTACTGAAAGATCTGAGGATAGAATAGAAGGTACTAACGTTCATTCTGTTGCTCTGACTTGTAAGCAGAGTGTCTTTCCGAGGCGAGACGAGGAAGGGATTGTGGTAATCGATTCCAGAGGATCGTCCAATGAAGTAGTCTTTCCACTATTAGGGGTTTTGACCAGCGATTGTTTTGACGATGGCTGAAAAGGTTCAAGTTGTGGTCGGAAAAGAAGTAGCAGTTTCGGAGGGGAAAAGTAAGTCGAAAGTGTTGGTTGACGGCGGACTTTGAGTAGTGAAGGCGCAATCTTAATAACCTCTTGCCAAGACCTTGATCTAGTTTCGAGGGCAAGTACGACGGTGATAGAACTCCAAATTGACAGTGTGAAGCTTGACTGAGCAAACATTGATGCCATGTTTCCATGTGGTAGTCTCGGTAACCTCAGCGAGAACGTGGCAGTCATAAGCACTTGCTCGAGAACACAGCAGCCGCGCCCTTAAAGCAAACAGAGCTTCAAGATCATGATGGCAGCAGTACCAAGTAACACAAGGTAAGCATTAGGAATGCTGCTCGAATACAAAGGCACTGAAAGTGAAAGAGGGACATCTTAGGTGGCAATGTGAGGCTTTGGAGGGGAGTGATAGTTTCTCTCGAAGTGAAGCCGTGTCGAAGGGCTAATTCTGTCATGTCTGCACTGCAAAGCCGACCCCTTCACGACTCATCCCTTTTGATTGAAAGCAAGCAGCTATTTTTGTCGTTCGCCGTGATCGGAGCTCGCATTATCTTTAGTATGATAATTTCAATCGAGATGGTAAGTACATTGTGGACGAAGGGGTGGGTTCGCCGTATCTGTTGCACAGAATCTACTCACTGTTTGTACATCGATGGGCAGGCAGCTGTCCATGCCACGTTATCTCTAGTGGCAAGGCTGAATTGGATATCTTGTCCTGTGAGGCTAAATCGGTGATACATCGTCAAGGACGATCTTCAATAGTCAGCAAGAGACACTGCAGTAAGCGAGACTGCTTTTCGCGACACGTTATAAGGACTGTTGTGGACCTTCCTCAACGTACTGCACAGTCAAATCCAGAGCCTATAAATACCAATCCTGATGTCGACCTTGCGATTATCATTTGAGCCGGTCCCAAAGACCCTGACTTCCATAGGCGGCCACATAATATTCCTCGCCTTTAGTCCTTACCTGATGGCCGACTAACATTCTTGCTTGCAAGCTGGACTGACGGGCGTAATACGACATCAATGCACGGCACTTGGGACAATGCAAACACAAAAAGCAGGCAAACAACCCACTGTGTAGGCGAAGACGCGCATCCGAGAGAGGTGTTTAATCCACAGCGTTGTGTGAAATGTGGTAAGCAGGGTCAAGAGTGTGATTGTTGAGAAAGGGGAACAGGCACAATCGCCTGCGTCATGATAGTGGATTTTGCGTCAATTGTGTTTGCTCACAACCGTGCACAGTGCTCAGAACACCCCAAAAAGAGTTATCCGTTCCTGCTTCTTTCATCTTGTCCTACCTGGTGGCTGTTGCTTGTTCATAGCACTGGCATAAATCAGGTACGCGACGATGAGCAGGAGTCATTCTGCTCGACTCAGCTCAGCCTCCTTGTTCTTTCCGTTGAGGTGTTTACTAGCCCAGAAATGCTGGAAGTGGATACAAATGTGATACTGCATCTGTCCTGGCTTAGACGGCAGGAGAATGGACTACTGGATCTGGCTTGGACCATTACTCAGAAGTAGGAAGATTTTTTACAAGTGACCGAAGACATTTATACTTATTAGAACGAAAGCTTACTTACCTAGATGAGAGCTGTCGATGGCCTACACAAGGGAGTCACAGGACTAGGAAGTCCTTCCCAACCAGCGTACCTAGAAGATTCTTTGTCTTCGATTTCTCCTTCCCCAAAAAGATTCCCGCAGTCGTAATCGTCAACCGTCGCGTCACGAGGGGTTGGAGTGTAATCAAACTCTTCGTCTTCGTAATCTTCTCCGAAGAACCACGAAAGCCACTGGTGACGAAGTTGTGCCTGAACTGGGTCAGCGAATAATTCCAGTCTGCCAGATATAGGTGTGGGAGATTGCCAGAATCGGCCGTCCTTGTCTGCTTTGGGTGCATCGCACTCTATGGGAGGACAGACTGTCAACAGCAATGAAGTGAGCCGCTTGGACCGAGCGTACGGGAAACCACGTTTCGGAGATACCTGGTTGTAGAAGTCGTTGAGCTGGAAATCTTCAGCAGACCCCGAAGCAATGCTGATTTCTTTGTCGTCTCCGAAGGGGTCCTCAGGAACAGCCTGGCAGGACTGAGGGCATACGATCGAATCCCGGTATGCACATGACTGTACAATGGCTGGTCCGGTTACACTCACGTCGCCATCCATTTCATTTGTTTCTTCTGAAATTGTGCCTCGAAACTCCTCCGTCATAGCCTGCAGACGGACAGAAAGATTCTCCATGAGTTCTGATATCCGGAGCACTCGTTCCCATGTTTCCAGCAAGGTTTCGTCCTGGTTTGTCATCTTGAATGTGTTTTCGGCTCTGGTTGCGTAACCCCTGGACGACGAGCGTGAGCCAGCGGCAGTATTGACCAGCAATAAGGCACACTCTATTTTATCGTCGGTCCTGGATCAGGTTATCGCGATTGAAGAGGTAGGATCTATCCATATCGTGCAAACGAAGCTGAAGCATATCAACTGTTGAGGCCCGGCTCTAGTCATTTATGTCAGTCACAACTGTGGACTCTGTCAGACAAAGAAGATATCTCCGAGAAACTGATGCAATGGGCTTTGTTTCTTGGTTTTGTTCGAGCTGTCGGTCTGCCATGAATAGGCTGCGATGCTCATGCTAACAATGCAAAGAGCTTGACAAAGCTATACTGAAGATTATCGCATACAGCAGCATGGCATAATCAGCTGGACCTGGCTGTCATCATCTGAGATCATGACGGTACAATGTCAAGCGCGACTGCAACAAGTCGGCGCTCTGCATTGTAGTGGCAAGGTTACTGTCACATTCCCAATACGTCTATCTTTGACTTGTGGGGCGGATAAATGCACTCTTGGCTTGGTAAAGGAGGACTGCTTGGAATTGCAAGAGTAGCAATATGCAATGATGAGGCCACAGTCAGCATCGATGAAAATCCATCGTTCACACAGGAATAGCCCAAAAGGTAACCCTGCCGCCGCGCATTTAGGCGATCACCGGTCGCGCTGCCTAAAAGGAGATCGTGCCGAGATCTGCAGCTGCCATATGCAGCCATTATTCAGCGACCGATATTCTACCAGATTTTGCTCCAATACCATGACGGTTTGAGCAGATATGGCTAACAAATAACATGCAGTGGTGGGTTAGAATACTGAGTATGGCAGTCATGCCAGGAGGCCACTCCTTGTGACAAGTCCTGACGTGCATCACAGCCTTCCACTAGAATCATGGAGCTATACTGTTTATCAAATGTGCCATAAGAGAGACTTTTCTCTGTTGTCTATCGCTAAGTCCTTCTAGTCACCATCCGAGTTAGCCACCGCATTTCTAAGGTCGCCAACATGAGTCTCAGTATAGGCGAAGGACGACTGAGGCAGTTCATGTCCAAGATCATTCATTCATCCAACTATGGAGAAAAGTTAACCTCGAGGATCACTACATCTCATGCCTGCCAAACAGCGAATGACACTACATCAAAAGAATCTGGTATCAGCACGAGTCAAGCTAGCCAGGTAGTCAGTGAACCACAAGCGATAGCCACGAAAGCGAGCATGCGGAGTGACACGACGAGGCATAACGACGATGTTTTCTTGCCTTCTGCCTCGCGACGACCAACAGACATCGAGCTTGATGCGCTTCAGTGGGGACATAAAGTCAATGGCCCTGAAAGCACTTCGGCTGTCACTCCGGGAGACCTCGAAAGCAGTCCTGTTAGTGGTTTATCATCCCCAGCACGAGTCAATCCTCAACAACATATTGCCGTAACGCCATCTTCACCTAAGTATCCTTATATGAACCGATGGCGGATCCTAGCAACGTGTATTGCATTCTTCGTTCAAGGCATGAACGACTCGGCCACTGGAGCCCTTCTACCCTATATGGAACGATACTACCATATTTCTCACGCCATCATGTCACTGATCTTCGTGGCTAATGCCTGTGGTTTCATCGCTGCTGGTCCAGTCTGTCATATACTCAATAATCGCTTCGGTCGAGCCAGGGTGCTGTCCTCATGCACAATTCTCAACACTCTAGCCTACACCGCCATAGTATGCCAGCCGCCCTTTCCCGTGGTCATCGTGGCCTTCTTCTTCCTCGGTTTCGGCTTCGCAATCATTCTTGCTCTCGACAACGTCTTTCTCGTCAACCTCCAGGGCGGCACGACTCTCCTCGGATACATGCACGGCACGTATGGGGTAGGCGGCATCGTCGCCCCCTTCGTGGCAACCGCAATGGTCTCTCAAGGTATCCGTTGGTCACTCTTCTACGCCATCCTCCTCGCCCTGTCCCTTATCAGCACAGTCGCCTTCTTCTGGACATTCCGCAACTACGAAAGCGAGACCACCTCCGCACAACTCCTAACAGCACTCGAACGCACCGCGTCCCGTCAAACAGACTCAGAAGAAAAGAAGAACATCCTCAAAAAAGCGCTCCGAAACCGCACAACTCTCCTCGGAGCCCTATTAATCTTCTCATACCAAGCCGCAGAAGTAGCCATATCCGGCTGGGTGATCTCTTTCCTGATCGACTACCGCAACGGCGATCCAACACAAGTCGGCTATGTCACGTCGGGCTTCTGGGGCGGAATAACCCTCGGCCGCTTCCTTCTCGTCATGCCCTGCCACAAGATCGGAGATCGCATCTCCATCGTCATACTCATAGCAGGCACAGCAGCGTTCCAATTCATGGTCTGGTTCTTACCGAACGTCATTGGAAATGCTGTGGCTGTGGCGATCATCGGGTTACTGCTTGGTCCGATATATCCTTGTGCAACGGGTGTGTTTTCGAAACTGCTGCCGAGTTGTATGCAGATTACGAGTCTGGGATTGATTGGTAGTGTTGGTAGCAGTGGTGGTGCTGTCGGACCGTTACTTACGGGAGCACTTGCGCAGAAGCTGGGGACGGTGGTGTTGAATCCTATCTGTATTGTGCTCTGTGTGGTTATGGAATGCGCATGGCTCGGACTACCGAGAGTGGTGAAGAGGAGTGAGTAATGGAGGATTGGAGATTGAGAGCGATGGTAGCCTAGTTTGCTTTGCTCATTGCATACTTAAATACTATCTATCATTATTTCATTCTTCAAGGCAAACCTAATCTGGATCACTCAAATCCTCAACCGTGGCATTCTTAGCCTTCCCCGTAGCTTGCTGTCGCTCGTTGGAAGGTCTTGAAGACGTCCCATTAGCCCTGGCTAATGTCTGCGGTAGCACGACTTTATCGTCTTCCTCGTCCTCGTCCTCGTCTTCCGACTCTGTCGTGGTATCTGACTCGCTCTCATTGTCTCCTTCTGCACCAGCAAAGCCCCACGAAGAACCAATACTTCTGGTCGGGCGGTGTGGCGAGATAGTGCGATTGCTATTGGATGCGACTGGGTTCAATCGCTGCTGGAGACTCGTCGGCAATAGAGACGACGAGGGAGCAGTAGGTGTACTATTCGGAGGTTGACGTGGACGCGAAGTTTGAGCGCTAGTTGTTGAAGATCGAGGAGAAGATTGTGGAGGTTGTGTTGTGCTTGGTTGTGGCCGAGGCTGGGTTGGCTGTATATCACGAGACGGCTGGCTCTGAACAGGAGCCTGTCGAGGCTGGGTAGCGGGAGGTTGCACTGTCGAGGCATCTACCTCAGGTTCTGCTTGGATAGGTGCAGGAACACTTGGAGCTCCCTGTGCAGGATCGGCCACATCACTGTGAGGAGTTGACGTGGTGGGGGCCGTTGCAGGTGTCGCCTCACCAACTGCTTGCTGCGCCTCTCTCTGTTGTATATTCGGTTGCAGTGCGTTCAATGTCTGCTCTGAATTATGTGTGCTGACCTCGCTCCCCACTTCTGGATTTATTACGTTGTTTTGTGGCACGTTGCTCATCCCGAAAGCATTCACTGGAAATTGTTGAGGCTGCATATTTGCAAATTGATGTGGCTGAGGAAATCCCTGGAAAGCAGCAGGTCCTGGCATTTGCGCTGGTTGGATCGGACGCAGAGGCATCATTGTCCAACCCTCTGGCAGGGTCAAACCTTGAGGCAGCTCATCGCTACCAGACTGTAGAAGATTGGCGTACTGAGCTGGAGCAAGGGCGGTAATTGTTGGCAGAGCTGTTCGCACTTGAGGAAATGGTTGTGGCGCTGTCTGGGCAATGGGCTGTAGATTTTGGGCTGCGGCGGTCTGACGAGCCATTCTTATCCTAGCCAGCTGGGCCTGAATTTGTCGCAAAGACTGCAATTCGCCCATTGAGGCCTGCAAGCTATCGAGCTCTCGTTGTATCTGTCTCTCAGCCGCATTCAGCTGATCGTCGACGGAGCCTCGAGCATGACGGCGTTGCCCCTGAGCTCTGTTCCTCATACCTTCCCATCTGATACCAATACCGTACTGTTGAAGTGGATTTAGATTCTGCCCTTGAGCTGGAGCTGGGTTCACCAGCTGGTCCTGCAGATCTTCGAACATATTATTACCTCTCGCGACACCCATGCCGATCCTGAGAGGACCAAGTTGGAAGACCCTTGGCCGTAGATTGCCAGCATTAGGTGGATGCTGAGGACGTGCAGGTGCGCCTTGGCCCCCAACAGTGTCGGGACGGGTTGTAGTGGGTACAACGGTAGCTCTGCAAGTTGGACATATCTGTTGTCTTTCTAGCCAGCTGCGCAGGCACGAGAAATGCAAAACGTGGCCACAAGGTAGCTTTTTCGGACGCATGCGCTCAGCCACTGGATCTGCCGGTGAACCCTGAGCTGGGGATACATATGGCCTCATCTCTTCTCTGCATATAATGCATACATCTTCTCTTCCAATCTCTGCCTCGTTGGCATCGGGATATCGCTGGTTCATGTCTCTCGTGGCAGTTCGGTATCGTAGGAAGTCGCCGATTCGCTTGAAGAAGGAGCGGCATGTCAGGAAGACATCGCGCATGATGTGTAAAGGTAAGCCATAAAAGATGAGTAGAATGAAGAAAAAAGAAAGGTAGACAATCAGCTTGCAGAAGTCCGTGGTTAAATCGAGATAGAAAACCCAACGACCCTTGCCATCCCACCCTTCAACCTCAACATCAGCTTCGTCGATAGGTTGGGATGCAGCGGCCTGAGCAGCCTGAGCACGTCGTTGCGTCAGTTCAGGTTCGTCTGTGGGTGTAGATATAACTCCTTCTTGTGATGAGGTCTGCTGTGAGTCGACCTCTCGTATCGCGGCAGCAATTCTCTCTTTGCGTATAGTGTTTATTCTCTTTTGCTTTTGCTTCCTCACAATGCCAATCTCGACCAAGTTGAGAGCGTATCTCAAGGCCGTGCTGAGACTGGAAATGCTCAGAACTGCAAATTCGAAGCCAAACATGACCATCATATCGGGTCTAGCCATATGGAGGACCTGGCCGACAATATACTCCAGCATGCTCAGGTCGAAGCAGACGCTCAAAGCCAAGCTCATAGCCAGTCTTGTATGAAATAGTCTTGCATTGCGACCCCCTAGAACATTGTGCTGTTGCTGCTCTAATACCTCAACTCTTCCCTCACCGATCCAACCCCAGACCTTGCCAGCTAAAAGACTGAAGAACATGACCAGAAACCAAGCTCCGATCTCTCCGCGGAAAATGGTCATAGCCAGACAGGTTTCTGTTACAGCAAACCAGGCCTTCTCGTAAAGTTGTTCAACCTCGATAGGTCGTAGAGGTCCGTAGAGGAGTTTCTGTAGGAAGAGGACGATCGTACATGCGGTTACAAAGACGAGGTTGCATAGTATCATTAAGTTGGCGCTGGATTGAGAGAGATAGACGGCTGCACTGTAGAAGTTCGGTCTCTGTGCCAGTGCTTTGAGTATCACACCAGCAGCGAGAGTGGTGCTGAGGCCGGCGTAGGCAGTCCATCGGTTGCGCATGGCGCCCGGTCGAGGAGGCATGTTGGCTGCGGTGTAAAGAAAGTGCTGCACGATTGGGCGGAAGATCAAGGAGAGATTCTGTTGTACATGTTAAACACTTCTCCGCGACTCCAGCAGGCGACAGGACAGCCAAAATGTCAATGATGTGTACAATTAAACAGCCTTCTGCCTGCAGACAAGGCTTGAAACAATAGCAGGATGTCGAACTTAGTAGATGTGTTCTTGTTGCTCGCGCAATCACAAGCGTAAACGAGCCAGCGACTGATCAATAAGCAAGATCGTCTGGTCTCGTGGCAGTTTGACTTTATGACGGAACGCCAGGAATACGTGTCAACTAAATTTGGAGGAAGGCCCTAAGCTTCGGATGTAATTTTGGTCCGAAACTGCCTCACATGTTCACATCTCCTTCACAAAATTCACGTTGACTAGTAAATGTAGTTGGGATCAGGTTCGTTGTATAGACAAGCTCATCGATCAAAGCAGCCACATAGACACCTTATAAAACGCTTAGCTGCTCTAGACCTTCCTTCACGATTCTCCAGAGAACAACACTCAAATAGTCCATGACCTATACGAATCTATTAGAATTGTTGAGCTACAGGCTATGCACGTCCATGCCCGTCGTTTCATCTTCCAGTACTAAATAGTAGCAGAATCAAACAGACTCGTTGTGAGGAATGCATAGTGGGATATGCACTCTGTACACATACAAAAAGTATTGGACGGTGGAATTGAGTTCAGTACGAAGACTTGTAAGGCATTCAGGCTAGAGCCTGACCGAGTGGAGCCTAAAGCCAACTCTTAGGCGTCGGGGCAGTTGTGCCCGGATGTTTTGTTTACCCTGGCCTGGCACTATCGAGCCTCCCACTTTACACGCGCCAGACATTGCTCGATCTTGAATGACCACGCGCTTTGCAATCCATAAACCATCCAACAACAACTAGATAGCTTCCACGGGACCATGTTTCTACATAGTGCGCGTAAGCGCAAGTCCGACCAGATGGACGATGAACCAGCAACCCCCAAAGGTAGCCCAGTGAAGAAGATGCGAATCACACAAGCACAGAAACAAGCTCTGATAGACAACTTACAGCTCGAGAGTATGAAGAAGGTTCATCTACAGGAGGTCGTGTACTGACAGTTTCATAGTCTCGGAACGAGCGCGCCAACTTCGAGCTCAGTACGGGTTACAATGTTCGGATCTGAGGTCGAGAATCGAAAGAAGGATAAATCGCGTACCGATCAGCCTACGGAAAAGGAAGATGGGAGAGCTTATGGCTCAGCACGAGGCATCACCACGGAAGGTTGCCCCTCCGACGTCACAACCGACCATCAGGAGTCCATTCAAAGAAGTCCTCGACGAACGTCCATTGCCAGCACTTCCAAGCCCGTCGAAGCTTCCTTCGCCGCTCAGAAAACCTGCTATACAATCGCAGAAGACTCGAAAACGGAAAAGCTCCGCCATACTTATCCCATCCGACAAGGAGAACCACGAGCCTGATGTTTCTGATGCTGCTCTTGACAGCCTACCCGTACAGAAGAATCTGAAAAGAGCAAAGACAGCGGCGACGGTTGTCCCTACTCCTCCCAAAAGAGCTGCTTCGCGAACCCAAAAGAAGCCTCTTCAAGCCAATGGAAACCCTACAGGCGTTTTGTCGCCTCGTTCACACAATTCGAGGACGCTCGTCAGGTCACCAATCAAGGAGAAAGAGCTTCCCATCCCAGCAAGAGAAGCATCACCACTACGACAACAACCACCACCTCAAAGACCGGCTTCACCATCCAAGATAGCTTCGCCCTTTAAAGCAGCTACTTCTGCACTCTCGTCCCTCGCTAAACGTGGCTATGCTGCTGCTGGTGCAGCTGGTGCTAGACTCACGCGTCCGATAAGTCGTGAGAAAGAGCAAGCTACATTGAATGGGACAGGAACCACGATCCCAAGCACTGGATCACCAACGAGAAAAATGCTGCCACCACCACGACCTGCACTAGCTACTCTAACGAGTACATCCGTAGCGTCACTTTCCACTGCTTCTCCCCAACGAACAGCCTCACAAGCTTCCATACGCTCCAACACCTCTGAGCAGAGCAGCGCCACCAACGCAACTGTTGTAACAAAATCGAAAATAGGTCGTGGACTAGGTACCAAGAAAGCAGCTCCAGCTCCAACTACCGCCAGGGCACCAACAAGAACCATCACGACAACAACCACAGCAACGAAGACGAAAGGGAAAGTGGTAGTTAGTGGCTCCACAGTCAGTACTCTGAGTCCAAAGGCCACAAACACAACAATCAAAAGAGCTGCCACAACTGCTGCTGCTGCGAAAAAGGTTGCGACAGGTGCTGCGAAGAAAATGGTGGGGGCAGGACCTACACCCACGGGGCGGGTTTTGAGGAAGAGGAATTAAGTATACTGTAGTTTGTGATGATGATTGCATTGATTGAACGACTTTGGGAGAAACAGGTCGTAAAATGACACGGATAAGCGTCGATGTTCCTTCTGGGAGGTGTATGTGAGCTCTGCTGATATGGTAGTAAGTGTGATGGCAGGCCCGCAATGAATAAATTTGCTGCTTACAAGTTGTTACACTACTAATTTCGTACTGATCATTGTTCATAGACAACTGATATCACAGCCGCCTGCGTGGTTTATAGCAGGAATAGCTACACCAGATTGTCTTGGTTACCTCCATGTCCTGTGTTGGAAATCGTGCACACCGCCAGACTATTGGACTACATCTGTACGTCAGGTCAATAAAGAGGCAGCAACCCTCGAGGCAATGAGCACTTCTTGAATATCTAGTGTATACATTGTGCATTGGTGGTAGCAAATACAGAAGACTCACTACGTGTGCGCCTGAACCATGTACCTCGATACATCCCGACCAAACCTATATGACTATAAATCGCATGTTTCACCGCCATGCCTCAAATGAGCGCAGCTGGATTGACGCCTCGAGGTTATGCCTTCCGAAACAGCATCGCTGACGCCCGAATGCATACTCAATAATCAAGTGTGTCGCCACCGTCCCCAACTGTTGCAGCTGCACGGTCGTTCGAGCCACCGGCAGGAGGAGCATCGAGGTCATCGTAACTTCGAATTGCTCGTCCTTGAACAGCTTCCTTGGGTCCAATCACGTTCATCGGTTGACCAGCCCCATCCCCCCATCGTCCGCCTGAACCTCCTCCACCTTGAGCGATGAAGCCCATGTTGCCGTAGCCTCTTCTATTGTTCTTGTCATATGGATTCTGGCGGTTGTTGTTGAAGCGACCACCACCTCGTCGGATTGGACCAGTATTGTGATTGCTCCCGCCATTCATGTTTCCATTTGCACCTTGTGGACCAGGTGCAAAGCCTGCTGAGTTCATCATGTTCTGGCCGAAGCTCATCATGTTTTGTAGGTTAAACCCGCGAGGAGTGCCGTTTGTGAACTGGTGGTTTGCAGGGAGCGGGAAGTGGCCGTTGCTGTTGGCGTCGGACCTCGAAGGTGCGATGTGTGATGGATCGAGGACGTAGGTGTTCACGAGGTTGAGCTGCCTTACGTTAGTATGCGTCCTGCATATATCGTTAGGTAACTTACATCATTTTTCAAACCTTCATACCACTCCTCATGTCTCTTCTCGACGTGTTTCTTCCAGAAGTGCTCCGCCTTGAACAGCTTGGTACAGTCCGGCACCTTGCACCGGTACTTAGACTCATCCTCTTGTTTGACATACTTGTTCAGCTCCTCCTCAACGGCTTCTTCGACAGGTTTGCCGCCAATCTTCTTGAGATCACAATACTCTGGCTCGAGTAGTTGCAACACTTTCTCCTCGAAGGTCTTGACCCAATTGAAGGCTTTTAGAAGCTGCTGCTCGGTTCTATTGAACTTGTTTCCCTTGCGGTCCTCAACAGGACTAGCACTGCCGTCTTCCGTACCTTCTTTGGTCTTTGGAAATGGGTCACCATTGGCACTAGCAATGGCAGCCTTCTTCGCAAGTTTGCTGAGGCCTGCTCGTGGTCTTCTCAAATGACCACCTGGGCATTTTCGGACCAGTTCGTGGACTGAATCTGATTCAAAAACGCAGAATAAGCAGAAATTGAACACTCTGCGCAGGTACTCCACAAGAAGATCCAGCTTTTTCTTGACCACGAGAAGCTCTTCGCTGTCATCCTCTTCTTCTCCCTCAATCTCCTCACCTTCCTCGAATTTGATTTCGTCGTCATTATCGGCGAACGCATTCTTTTTGGGAGGCTTGGGAGCAGGCTGAAGTAGACCTCTGCTTCGCATGTCCTCGACACGAGCATCTATCATGGCAAGCCCACCCGAGGCCTCGTCCTTTCCCGTCTCAGCTTCGAGTCTGGTAACTAGTCGTCGTGCAAGCTGGTAGTCTCTCTCGATTCGTTCCGGAGCTGAAAAGAGATCCCAAAGTGCCTTTTTCCTCGGTTGAGCTGGAGCGTTGTGCACACCGACATGGCAAGTAAAGTCACCTCGCACAGGATCAACGATGGTCTTGCCATTGATAGCTTCCAAAGCCTTCTGTGCAGCACTCGACGGTTCCGACTTTGGTTTATCGTCTTCTTCGCCGTCCTCGCGACCTTCACCTCGTCCAACGTCCTCCATGGCTTGGTCGTTCTCCTCAGGAGCAGGGTTGAGCATGATCCAACCAATTCTATGAAATTTCTTGATCGGATTCGGGTCGCTCAACGAGAGCCATCTGAAGCCACCGTCACCTTCGCCGAGATGTTCTTTACAGAAGTCCTCGATCTGGGTACGGGCGACGTTAGGAGCCAAAGTCTTGATCAATAGCGCAGGCTGATTCATTGCTTCGTCTTTCAGGTCACCACCTTTGGCGGGAACCAGATCTTGTACTCCAAGAGTTTCTGCACCACCAATTGCTTCTCCTTCCTCTTTCTCAACCATGCCCCCAGCACCATCACTGTCGTGCTTATATATACCTTCAAGAGTGAACTCATCAAAGATTCCAGCGTCGATATCTGATTTCCATTGCTCGAAAGCAGCATCTCGAAATTGCACCAGTCTCTTTCGAATAGAATCGCGCACTTCGGGCACGTAGCGTTCCTTGAACCATTCCTCACTCTTGTGTAGTTGGACGAATTGGCGAGCAGCTTTGACCTGGAAATCTTGCTTGTAGGAATCGTAGGCTTCCTGTATCTTGGCGCGTTCCTTTTCGCGATCGATTCTGGATTCGTTCTCACCTCGTAGACGATCTGAAGGCCGTCGTCCGCCATGTTTTGCCCGTTCTTTATCTTCGTTGAGCTGCTGTTCGTTTCTCCACCATTCTGCAAAATAACTGAAGCCAGCCTGTGTATCCATGACCAACGGATTTTGTACCGGGTTGAGCCGGATAACTGGCTTGTCTGGCTCTTGTCCTGGTACATAACGATCGATATTGGCAGGTGTGGGAGAAGGCGCGCGCCGCCTATCGTCTCGATCTCGCGGATTTCTCGCGTCATAGTAATCGTCGCGACGGGGCTGATATCGATCGATCATGGGAGATCGGGATCTATTGCGAGGAGGAGGACGTCGTCGATCATCGACTTAGGAGATTAGCGTGTGAGATTGAACGTTTTGGATAGACTTACTAGGTGAGCGCCGCCTGTAACCTCTATCTTCTCTGTCTTCCAGCTTTACGGGTCTGTCCTCGACAGGGGAGCCATACGTCTCGTAAGAAGTCATCCCTCCTCCTCTTCAGCCAAGCTCCCACCCGACGCTTGTGCAGGACAATAAGTTCCTCACTCTGGATCGTGCCTCGAAGGAAGGAGAAGCGTGTTTGAGCTAAGTAAAAGCAGGTAGAACGTTAGATTGAGGTCAGAAAGAAGAGTTAAAGAAGACATCCTGGCAGACGGCTAGGGGTACGTGAGGAGCAATGATATAGATAAACAGCTGAAATAGCTCAGAGGTTCGAGGTGCGCAGAAATGGTGAAGTTCAGACAGACTCACAGACGAGTATATACAAAGCGGTGCTGCTGATGACAAACAAGCAGTTGGTGAGGTGTAGGTAGGACTCCTACGTGAAGGGATGCGACAGACCGGCATGTCATTCGCTCCATGCCGGGCACGCGTTTCCGAGGCTTGGCATCCAGTTTGGAGTTGTTCTGGGGAGTGCTTGCCTCGATTCGAGTTTGGGCTTCTTGATTCTATACTCTGCTTGAGATACTTCTTGCTCGGTTGCTTGTCTTATGTCCTCTGTTTTCATGTTGAAATCCATGTTGTAGACAGCTGAGCAGAACACTTTACTGGCATTCTATACAAGACAATACGATGCGCTCCACCCCCCCGGGGGAAATTGTTGATAGATAAGGCCAATACATAACTTATCTGATTTGAACAGTGATATTGTCGTCGTGGTCTTGTCTCGAAGACCTGCATGGGTGAATATGACAAGCTAAAACTCGTAGGTCACATATCACAGAAGTGACTGCTATGTTTGCTGAATAAATTTACACGCTTCAGCCTATTAGCTGACCGCGCGAGTAACGTTTGACTCGGCGAGACAAGGTAAGACCGATGAGCCAAACGAAACGGGTAAGAAGGTCAGAAAGAAGCTTTCCTAAAAGTCTACGTGCTTACGTCGCAGAAGTGGGCAAGGTCGCGGAGGTACATCAGCAGAATTAGGACACAGCGCTGGTACATACCACAGACAGCGAACCTGGGCGAAACCTCAACAGTCTATATGTTCTTCGACTCGAATTCAACCTTTATCATAGGCCTGCTCCTGCAGCTATTCTAAGCGGGCAAGACAAAATCACATACGCTGCGAGATGCCTCGATCTCCTTGATATCCTTTATCAAAAATGCATTTTAGCCAGTGCTCCTGTTCAAGCTACAGCTCAAGTGCCGAGACGAACCAGCCTTCATCGTACCACTGTCCGTGCCCGACGACGAGGCGGGTGAACAGACTGAGGAATTTCACTGTATTGATAATTCAGCGGGCCAGTTTCAATGAAGTAGGTTGCAACTCGGATATCACGCACCACCTAGAGACAAGGATGATCTCGAACCCTACTGAACATCCTCCTAAACCATCAACAACGAAAGATACTACTGGCATACATCCCACCCCAGTCTACAGACAGCTGCTATAGAGGACTTCGGGTCGCGGCCGTAGTTTTGTGGGACATGAATATCACCATGCCTTTGGTCAGCCAGTTCAAAACGACAGGACTCCCCACGTCGCAGCGAGAGATATCATCTGTGATGGGTTCATTTTTGCGATGCCGTCATGCTTTGCCCTTCGCCGTTGTCACTGTTCGGTCTCTCGCAACAGGACAACGTGTCGTCTCTTAAGCAGCTCAACGACCGCTTCGAGACCACATAGAGTCACACGCAAGAGCCGACGGAGCGTGACTAGACTTCACATGTCTGCGTTTCCAGTAAACACAATGTGTTTTCACGTCTCGCTAAGCTCGATATGAGGCAACACTCATCAGCGTGAGCACGATACTGTATGAATGCACATGTCCAGCCAGTACGAAAGATCGCGCTAACCCGAAATGAGCAGTGATCTTGAAATCTTGTGGCTGGAGAGGTCACGAATGGAGATCAAGTGGCAGTTCTCTCTCTATGTCCTGGCCGTCGAAAGCATTAGATTCGTCGCGGCATCGGCCACATGAATACCCTTTTGATGACCGGGACGTGCTTTCGTTTGTCGCCTGCCCCTTGAAACAGTGTTTGATCCATTTCGCCAATACTCCACTATCTACAGGGTATATCAATCTGTCTTCCCGCTCCTGCCCATCTTGATTTCTTTCTTTCCTTTCATACTTACCTTAGTGGAAAGAGTACGATCAAGCAGGTACTTCTTTGTAAGGAATGCTCTCCATTGCACATCGGGGTAGCAGGCTTTGCTCAAACTCATTCGTGGGTTTGACCGCTGGATTTTTTGGCCTTATCAATCTTTTCATCATTGTCATCGCTTCATGCGATGATCTGGCGAAGGGACGCATTTGAAGGAATAGGATCAGAACCTTAGATCGCATTGCATAGCATGACTCGTTCGTGATCTGTGAGTAACTGCTTGGATGGTCTGAACGCCTCGGGCAATAGATTCACGTAGGCGTAACCATCAACTCACGTACTCCGTCCCTCGAAAACCGTGTAGGTATAGACCGATTGACCACCGTTAGATGGGAAGTAGCTGTTGCTGATAAAGCCAGCGCTTTGAGCAGGTGACGGGATTCGCGAGGCAAATAGGCACCCTTGCATGACGCCTCAGACTTGACCTTGGAAGGTGTCAAGTTACTTCGTCGAGCAGTAATTGTAAGCAGGATCTTGAATGGCTTCGATACAACTTTCCAGTATCTTCGGCGTTTGGCGTTGCTAATATTTACACGCGCGTTGACCTCCAGTGCACTTTCGTGATTTTGCCACGACTACATAGCTTTTGCCGATTTAACACCAACTACCTCAACCGAGACCTCGACAATTACTATTCACTGGTAAATGTCGGGAAGGCCAAAATACATCAATCAGAATGGCACGTAGACCACCAGGCACAGAAGTCGACGCCCTCATCACACAATACCAACATCTCTCCGGATTCTCCAGAAGCGATGAAGCCCTTCACACGCTCCGCAAGATCGGTAGCATGGTCAAACCCATCATGCGACAACGATCATGGCACGTCGGAACTCTCGCAGAATTCTACCCAGATCAGCAGAACCTGCTCGGACTCAACATCAATCACGGCCAGAAGATTCAGCTCAGACTACGCTATCCTGGCGACCAGAATCAATTCCTCCCAATCGACCAAGTGCTAGATACAATGCTGCACGAGCTCTGCCACAACGCCATCGGACCACACAATGAACAATTCCACGCTCTATGGGATCAGCTGAGAGATGAACATCAATCGTTAGTCCGCAAGGGATACACAGGTGAAGGCTTCCTCGGCAATGGTCGATCTCTTGGTGGGCGACGAATGCCTCTCCACGAAGCTTCGAGACTCGCGCGACAAGCAGCAGAAGAACGAAAGAAAGCCGCTGAAAGAGCAAGAGGTAGCGGACAGAGACTTGGCGGGATGGGAATCATGCGTGGTCAAGATGCACGACAAGTTATCGCCGACGCTGTAGAACGACGAATACGAATCGAAAAAGGTTGTGCCAGCGGCACAGCAATGGGCGATAGAGTCGCTCACGACGAAGCCATCAACGGCAATAAACTCACAACCACTCAGGCTGGACCCGACGACGAGAACGAAGCCACAATGATGCAGGCATACATCGACCTGATCCAAGAAGAGGAAAGAGAGAAATTCGGCGGCTATTACAGTCCACCATCTGCTGATAATCCCGCAGGGTCAAGAGGTCAAGCTCCAGGTCAGAGTTCCAACATAGAAAACAAAGCAAAGTCCCTTATGGAGCAGCAACGCGAGATCGAGCAGGAAATTTTACGAAAGAAACAGAACCAGCCTTCAAACCCAGCGTCTACACACTGTCTAAAATCCACACAGCAAGATCACCTTCCTCCACCAGAAGCAACAAAAGCACCCCCACCCCCAGCAATCCCACCAGAACCCGAATCCACAACCTGGACCTGTGAAATCTGCACCCTAGTCAACACACTCTCATTCCTCTCCTGCGACGCCTGCGGCATAGAACGACCGTCTTGGATCTCAGCTACCCTAGACGATCCTCAGCAGCCTACAACAAATCACCGCAAGCCGCAGCAGTCAGCCTATACTACGCAGAACGTGCTCAAGCCAAGGTCATCCGCTTATGACAGTATATCGCGTTTCAAGGCGGAGCGTGCAGAGAAGATTAGTAGAGGTCCTGTGGGTTGGAGTTGTGTTGGCTGTGGGAATTTTATGGAGGCGGAGTGGTGGACTTGTGCACAGTGTGGGAGGATGAAGACGAGTTCGTGAGGATGGTTATGATGATTGTATACAGCTAGAATATATGGATTGAGGCGAGGACTACGTACACGTTCCTCGTTTCAGCCGCGGCAATGACCAGAGTCCAGGTGGTGTCGTTGTTAGTATGTAGATTCAGGCGTGCGATTGCAGGTGCAACCACGAGCCTGACGGTCGAACAATATTACTTCTTCATTCGAGGACAACAGGCACACCATACACTACCACAGCAGCTCCACAGAGATACCTCAACATGCAAGCTCCTCGTCCTTCCGTGACAGCTTCTGTCAATGTCTTCGGCCGCGTATTCGCATCCTTCTGCTGCTTCTCTTTTACCCTACCTTTTCTTCCCTTCTTTTTCAGCGCTTCCTGCACTCGCTCATCATTTCGGTCTATCAAGCCCCATTCACTCAGTGCCTTCAGTGCGACTCGATCAACCTCACGATCAGTAACGTCCCACAAACAACCCACTACGGCTGGAGCATGACCGAGCATATAAGCTCTTGGCATACCTGAGCTCTCGAGTCTGCCATGCTCTGTCATCTTGGCCGAACTACATCCGAAGAGAAACGTTACTGCGCAACGAGGTAGAGCACGAACGGTCCTAGGACGGATGTACTGCGCTCCTGAACCGTGTCCGAAATATAGAAGGATATCAGACGTTGTGAGAAATTTCTCAAATTGCGCTTCTGTGGGCGCCGTATTAATGCAGCGCTCAAAGTTCGGTGTGGCGGTGTGTGAGGCTAGGATTGGTTCGAAGACCGACTGTGTCGAAGTCAGATCACCTGAAGGATTTAAGATATAGCTCCCACGAGCTAGTCCTTTCGAGATAGGTAGAGCGTCGGCAGTTTCGGAGTGAAGACGGATCTGATCAACACGTTCGAATAGTGTTGCTAGTGATGGCATTCTAGAAACAGACTGGTCGATGAGACATGGCAGAGCCTCCCACGGGATACATTCTAACTCTTTGTCCAGTATCAAGATCGTATGGCGGGCTGGCAGACTGGGTCGTGTCTCATGGTAAGCTCGTAAAGCATCAAGGATGTCGACAAGCATGGCGTCCCAATCGATCTCATCGTAAGCGTTCTTCTCTCCATTGAATTGTAATATATCGACAACAAAGTACAGAAGGTCTATGATTGCATCGTCGAGATCAGCAGTATCAGGATCACCGAGGCCAAGGAATATACGAAGAACGTGGTCGTGAATCTGAACTCTCTCAGAGTCACTGGCAGTCTTCTGTCTTGAAGGAAGATGGTTACCCAGTGTTTGAGAAAGAGCTTTACTGAAGCGCATGGTCTCCTGCTCAGTAGCGGTATAGGGATCTAGAATACCTCGGAACCCGCCGAGCCAGATGAGTTCGATATTTTGAAGAAGAAGTCGCAGTCGTTCATCAAGTGATTCACGGTCAGCGTGCCACTGTGCCCTCGCGGTCTTGTCACTCATACCACGAGGGTCATGCGACGACTCATTAGCTGTCTTGATGATGTTCCTCATCTCAGCTTTTGCATCCGCAAACACGAAATCATCGATTCCATCTCCTTCGTTACTTCTGTGAAGAGGAATTCGCACCAGGAAAGGCGATTGTCCCTTAATAATTTTCGACACAAGTAATTCGTCTTCATCTTCAGCCAGGGTTAACGAGATGATTGACCATGATGACGGAAGCTTGTCTATTTGATGGATATCGATGGCGGCTCTGTTGAGGTTAGACGAAACTAGGTCAATTGGCCATTTGAGAAGCGATGCGCGCTCACGCGTGGCAGCCTCTGCCGCTGCAAGCATCACCTCACGATCGAGTGCTTCGTCTTTAGGTTGGGACGTTCTCAGTACAAGCTCACTAGAAGATTCCACAAAAGGTAGACCCATGGTTGCGAGCAGAAGCGATATTCTTGCTTCCATCTTGATCAAAGTATGAATCATGTCGGTGGGACAATGTGACTTGCGCTCAGTGAGCAGAACTATACACAAGCGCAACGCGACATGTAGCATCTGAGCAATACTATCAGGACCTTCTGCCGTTGGGGGGCATGTCGATGGCATCGGATTTCTTGTAGGACTGAGCACAACATCTTCTCCACCACCTCGAAGTAGCGAGACTCGATTGCGTCGGCCTGGCAATGCCTTTGAGGGTAGTGCAACTGCACTGTCCGTCAATACTGATTGCATAGAATCTGCACACAACCTTCGCCATGCTTCGCGAAGAGTAAACTTGGCGACAGCAAATATTTCAAGAACAAGATATTGCGGACTGGAGCACAGATCCGGCACACTGATGCGATCTGTTCCATCTAGTTGCTTGGTTGAGTCCTGTGCTGACAGCTCCCATCTGAGAGAATGACGCCGATCTTCGCTGAGCGCTTGAGCTATGTTCAAAGGTCCCGTCATCGAAGCTGACGATGGAACCTCTGAGATGTCGATGCTATTGCCTTCCGATACCGTTTTTAGTCCTTTGGCCGGGACCTTGACACTTGCTGTTTTCATATGACCTCGACGAGCCCTAGCAGTTTGTAAGTTCTTCTGCGTTTTCTTTCTCGATGAGCTGAGTTCTGAAGCACAGACCACGGCATTTACGGTTGTCATCAGCTCGAAAGCACGATCCTTGTCCCCTAGCAATAAAAAGCCTTCGACATAGTCGAGCTTCAAATCGGACTTTTCGGGTGTCTTCCTTCCGCTCGAAAGTTCCTCAGAGGCCAGAAGGAGTTCTCGCGCAGCACTCGTCTGTCCCGCTCTAGCATATAAAATTGACAAGGTGGTTGAAAAGTCCGGCTGCAAGGAAGGCTGAACAGACTGTAATTGTGACAATTGGTTGTAGTAGTGAAGAGCATCCTCAAAGAGTCCTGCGTGACTTACCAGAGATGCAGCATGTCCTAGAGTGCACATATACAGTTGCATATATGGCCAAAACGCAGAGCCATCATTGTCGTTGTTTCTTTTTAAGCCAATATTGAGAACTGATAGGTCTTGTGTCAGGGGAAGGACGGAAGAACCATCTTTGCTGGATGGATAGCTTGATCTCTTGTACTGCAGAGCAGTCCAGATCGAGATCACAATCTTAGCAGCTTGTCGGGCATAGCGATGAGCTACTTCTGCACTCGCTTCTCGAAATGCTACTCTAGAAGCCAACAAGGCGCCAGCTGCTATCAAACTATCACGCTCGATCTGCTCCCTGCTACTTCGAGGAGCATCCTTGGAATACTGTCTTGCAAAGCATTCTGCAGCCTGTGCCAAGTGGTGCTTGCATTTTACGGAATCTCGCCTGGCCAGCTCCAATTCCGCACGTGCTAGATAAAATCGAATAGAGTTTCTTTCATTGCCTCCATCATGGACGAGGATTTTCTCGATTACGTATAGGTTTCTGTCTGCTAGGTCAAGCTCGGCTAGTTGAATGTGACAGTGAGCAAGCTGCATGTGGCATTCGGCGAGCTGCTCAGGCGACTGCTGTACATTCAGTGTCAATATATGAACTTGTATCTGCAAGGCTGCCTTGGTAGTTTCGTAATCTCCGAACGCAAGGGTGCGGTTGGTGAAAGCTCGCAGGTTGACGTAGAGAGTTTCGCAATCGTCTACTACCTCGTCGAGGACATCTAAGGTAGTGCAGCCACAGACTTGTATCCGTACGTCTTCAACAGCGCTTACATCCGGATAAATTCGGTCAGCCTCAGCCAGCGAACATATTTGCAACTCAGCGAGCAGCTGTAGTACAGCCAAGTACGATTGTAGAAAGATATTCTCGCCATCGCTCTTACTGGACAGGACGGCAGACAGTACCTCTTTCAGTGCTGATTTGTCATCGTCTGTCAAGTCCATCATCTTCGAAGCTCTGAAGGAGAACGCAGAAACTAGTCTCAACCTCCAAACATAATACTTCGTTGACGCTGTTAGCCCAAGTACGATTTGAAGCTTCCCGAAAAGTGATTGGTATCTCAATGGTCGCTGTTTCTTTCTCAGCAGGAAGAGCAGCTGATGTTCAAGTAAAACAGCGTGATGGAAGTCTGGCAAGTCAGTGGGTTCGTAGAAGTAGTGGTCAAGATCGTCTGCGGACTGGTCCTGCTGCCATGAAGCGTTGTAGTTGCGTAGTGTGCGCCCAAGTTGAGCAGCAAGCGATGCAGTATCTGACCACACTGTCCTATTGGACTTGGATAGAGCCGTCTCAGCTGCATCGGACAAAGCTTCACTTGTTATATAGTGATCGAGTGCTTGTTTAAGGGTCCGTCTCGACTCTTCGATTCGTCCACTTTTCATCTGCAAATCCGCAAACTTCTCTAGGCGCGGACCCAGAGCATTCTTGCTAAGGTCCTCAATAGGGAGACCTTTCAAACAAGCTATTGATTTCGAGATCATGTCCAGAATAGCACCATCGTCTTTTTGTGCGATATGCGGGTGCATATGAGCTCGCCAGAAGATATTGGAAATCTTCACATAAAGTGATCGCGCGGCATCGATCTGTATGGCGTCCTTGGTCTCCTCTTTCTTCGATAATTCCCTTAGGAGCTCAACGCATTGACTCAAGTAGTCGAGATAGCCTGGAAATATCTGGTCGCGACCAGAACGCGCGTATGCTTCGACATCAACAAGAGCTTCAATTGTCTTGAGGATGGCGAGACAGATAGATCGACCTGTCTTGTCATTGGCATCAGGTCGCGCAAGCAGACCGGCCTCGAAGAAGCGAAGGATGAAGAACAGTAGTTCCAAGCATTTAGAACCTATATCAGCGTCACTGCTTGGTTCCTGCTCACTGCCTGTTCCCGCGACGAGTTTTCTCAAGCATGCTTTCCTTAGCTGGACCATGTTTAACAAGCGATCAGGCCTGAGACTTGATGGAGTATGGACGAAGTCTGGCAACATTCGTGTTACATCCTGTATGGTCACCAATAGCTCGGTTTGGTCACATTGTCCATCAAGGTGAATTAGAAGCAAGCGACATAGGTAGAAGAGTCTCTCGTCTCTGCTTCCGTATGTGGAAAGGTCAGTAAGCAGAACCACCATGTGTTCAGGGTCGTCGTGCCTCTCTGCAAGTTCGATCAGAAGCTCTGATAGCTTGATAGGCAGTCGCGTCTCGTGTCCGTGGCTTTGCAAAGCACTCTGCAAGCGTCCGAGTATGGTCTTAATTTGATTGTAGAACGTTTGGCTTTTCTCACAATTGCTATGTGAGATGTGCCGAACAGCTTGTTCCAAAGCTGACCACGATTCTGCACTGGACTGGCTTTCCTCCTTGAGCATCTTGGAACACGCAAGCTTGTATATTTGAGCTTCCACTAAAAGGTTTAATGAAGAACAGACTTTGTCAACGGAACCAGACTTGGTCCTTGCAATAGAGGAAAATCTAGTCAGGGCTTGAGCAATGACCTTCAAGTTCGCACCAGCCTCACAGGCACCGATGAAGCCACGTTGATGACCTGTCAACACGACACTTCCTGGACTACCATTGACGTCCAGCTGAAGAGCTTCCAGGAAACCAGATGATAAAGCCTCGATACCATACAAGATAGCTAGGCGCAAGACCTGGGATTGGAAGGAACAGGTCAGGTTGAATGCTTTCTTGCTGGTACAAGCTTCGTCTCTCTGTAGTAGTGCACGTAGCTCTGTCTTGCAAGTATATATCTTTCTGTAAGCAGGCTTCGTATCTGACTTCCGTCTTTTCCAGTGTTGCTCGTAGATCTTTGTGGCCTCAATATGCGCCAACTCCTTCGACTCCAGGCTGATTAAATTGTCCAACAGTAAGATGGCTCCTTGCTCTCTTTTGTGTCTGAACTCGTCCGTCGTTCCGTCCTCGACTCCATCGAGGCGCAGCACACCAAGCGCAGCACATGCGCATTCAGCGAACGTCTTCGAACTGGGGTTAAACGATGTCTCTGTTTCTTTAATCTTGTGAGGGCGAAGGTTTGTTGTTGAGCGTGGCTGAGAGTCGTTATGTCTCTGCGGCTGTCGAGTCGTTCGTTGCTTTGTGAGGGCAGATAGGGTCTTCAGATTCTGGTTGAAGCTGTTCATAGCAAGCTTCTTCTGCTCATGTAGAGACAAGTCTGTCTTGATTTCCTTCTCTGCGCCATTCTTCCCTGTTCTACTCGAGGTAGTTGTCTTGATCGTTGGTGCTGATACTGTAGATTTCGGCCGTTCGGCTTTACCTGTGATCGTACCATTTCCACTTGCAGGTTCAAGTATCGCTCTTAGTAAGCGCAGGTCGCGAACAACATCATGCTCGTCTGTAATGGTCTCCTTTTCCTCAGGTTCGGATCTGCTTGAGATCGTCTTTGTCTTAGTTACTGATCGTCCAGCCATGGAGGGCTTGGTGGTCGCCGACCTGACTGCCATAGTTCTTCCTTTTTGGAGTTCTTCTGTATTTCTGCTTTCAGTACGCCTAATACCTGCATCTTGTCCCGTAAAGTATGTGCTGCATGGTCGAGGTGACAGAGCATTTCGCGCTGAACACGCGCAGTGTTGATTCGTCCGAAAGAGGAAGGCCTATCGGCAAGGTTCCTTCATTAGGTAGGATTCGATATTGCACCTTCTCAAGTGCTTACAACCACCGATTACTACCACAGGACTTCGTCGACTCTCTCATGGCCATCGACAATAGGTTATGACATCCACGCAGGCCAGTAGAGCCGGATGGCGACGGCTTCTCAATTCTCATGGCGTCGCACTCCGTGGCCCATACCCAGTATGCAAATCCATGCGAGGACAACAACAACGCTACAGAAGCAGCAGTCTCCTCGATAGAGCTGCACCTCATCTTCCTCGAATTCTCCAACCTTCGCTGTGGGAAACTGTTTTCCCTTCTACTCTACGGTCGAAGACGAGGAGTCTGTTCTCGGAGCAGCAGCGGAAGCCTAGGAATCCAGCGACTTACTTCATCTGGATCTACCTTCTGATCGGTTCACAAGCAATAAGAATTATCCAAGTCAAGAATGAGCACAACACTTTCGCTCGCAAAGCTGAGATCCAAATCGAGAAATTGCGTGAAGTAGTGCGCCGTCTGCAAGCAGGTGAGGACGTCGATGTGGAGAAGGTACTAGGCACAGGTGTCCCTGAAGAGGAGGAAGCATGGGAAGAGGCTCTCAAGGAAATTGAAAACGAAGAACGATTATGGTCAGAAAGCAAAAAGAAGAAACGGCAACAGAGAGAACAGAGAAAGAAAGAAGCCGAAGAAGCACAACAACGGGAGCAGGACGCCAGTCCAGTGAACCAAATAGCAGAGCCAGTTAAGACGACTGAAACTGCTTCCTCTTCAAGTCCTCCGTTCAGAAATCCTACTTTCTATTGAGCAGCTTGTAAACGAAGAACAAAATCCTGAGCAGAAATCAAAGACCTCCACAGAGCCGGAAAAAGCAAATATCCTATTCGTGCGCAGCCAATACTGCATATCCGACTCTTGGGAAGTGTATTCTCAGTCCATTTTCAAGCTCAATCACGATCCTTCGTGGCGCGAGTCCTATCAATGTGCCGTGTTGCTGTGCATTCTCCGGTGCATTGTCATCACTAGTCTGGACGTACACCCTCTGTCCCTTTTTCAATCCAGTCGGATCGTTCTCGTCGACGCCGACTTCTTGAGCCGCATACTGAGAATCGAAGATTAGTTGTCGAGCAGCTTCTTCATCCACCTTTGGAGCTTCGTTCTCGGGAACATGTTCAGGGAATTGTTCAATCCAGCGATGCACTTTCGGGAAATCCGTCTTGCTGAAACCTGGTTCTTCAGTTCCATATTTTAATGTTTGGAGAGCAAATTTTGGGATCCAGACAGCGTGAATGTCGGCAATACCACACTTCGAGCCATTGATGTAAGGTTCTTGATCGGTTGATTCTGCAAGGAAGTCGTTTTCTATCATGGCTAAAAAGCTCTTCAGTTCAGCCATAGCACTAGGTCGAAGTGCTTTGTAATTGTCCTTGCCAAAGACCGGGAATAGGTCATGGCGCTCTTTGATCAGTCCTGGCGTAAGGAAGACGACGGGCAAGCTTGCGAGGATGATCCAGAAATTGCGATACCCATATGCCTCATATGCATGGTCGTGCTTGGTTTGGACCAAAGCAGACATCTTTTCTGAGAAGATTTCCTCAACTGCGTCGATAAAGGCGCGGTTGTCGATAAAGACATCTTTGCCGATGCTGTTGACAGGAACGCGGCGATATGTGATGCCTAGGTTCTGCAGAATGGGTCGTGGCTGTACAAAAGGTTGTTCACAGACCTGATAGGGTATGTTGGCTGCATGAAGGAGGTTGCGAGATTTTTGGGCGTTGGGAGCGAACTGGTAGTCCCACGTTATCACTGGTGGAGCTTGTGCGACGCTGCCCATGATGATGAGAGGGTTCTCTGAAGCGACGTAAGTTGCTGGAAAGATTCTGATCCGCAACTACAGGAGGGACCCGTTCAGGCGAGGTATACAACGTCTGAAACGAGGAAGAAGACTGCAAGGTGTTCGGTGAGGTAACGTCAGACTTTAAAGATTGCTCGGAGCAACCAACAGCTTGCAGAGCAAATAAAGGTTTCTTCGGTCCTCATATCTGTCATCGAGATCTGCGAGAGTTCTTGGATCGCAGCAGCATGTGCTCCGAACCGCTGGTAGACAGGACGGGCTTGTGGTTGTGGTGGTTCGTCCACGAATCAAGAGGAGTGGTATCTGTCATTTGAGTTCGCGCACCCCTCGCGAGGCAGAGACTCGAGATTCGAGATGCGGAGAGTCTGGGGAAGTTCGAGATTCGAGAACGATACGAATGGTTCTGGACTCAAGCCATACAATAACAACCAATAGTGGCGAAATGAACGATCGTCTACACCAATTGTTCACTTGAGCCGACTTCGCTCGGCGACGCGTAGACTTCCGAAGGTCATGTGGGACACATCTTGGAGGTTGCTGGCTTTCGCAGAAGCATTACGTGAACCATTGCAAGTGACCAGAGCACTATTGTCTTAGTATAGTTCACATTGACCACTAGTGGTACGCACGATGCGATGCCCGCTTTCTTCCCTGTCTGTCAAACAACATGAGCCCGCTAGCACTGTACACAGGATGCGGTTGCAACCATATTGCGTTCTGTATAGTATTATACTATATATCATGTTGACCACAGGCTTTTAGTGCAGATTGACATAACGATTATGTCTTCTTTCTTTTCTAGAAAAGGTAATGATAGTGACCCAGGTTCGATGTAGACTTGCCCTTCTCTGACCTACCCCAGCGCCAATCACCTTCTCACGTAACAGTCCGAGCATCTCTGTCAGTGATCAACCTCAACTTATCAAACATGTTTCAACGAGCACGCTGCATCAGATAAAAAAGCCCACGACCAAGCTCGAGACATAATCGCATCTCTGCTCCGTCCTACCACACTGCAGTCTACATGTCTCAACTACAAATCCTTACGTCACCCTATCGGCGGTCGAAGTGGCTACTTCAAGTTGCTGAACATACAACAAGAAACAGTGTTGCCTGCTCAAGTTACGAATAGCAAAATATGTATAGCACAGCACAGCACGAAAATGCTTGCAACACAAAGTTAATTGGCAGGCTTTCTTGTTGCAAGTGATCCGAACAGCTCATTCCCGCCTTTCTTATTGGTTCGTATTTCCTGAGAGCACGCGTGACCCACTGCGCTAGCGATGATGGGCGGCGAAAAGCACTGACATGTGGCATCACGATTGAGAAAGTGAAGTATTTTAGAAAAGTAGCGGATCTACTTGTATGGTATAGCAAGCTATCTTCCGGCTTGAGCTTGCTTCTATTACAACAACACGAACGAAAAATGTATCTCCCAATACTTGGGCTCACCGTCATCAATGCTGGAGTGCTACACTGTCTCTCGAGGTACTCCACCACCTCGTTCTCACATCTGAGCAACAGATATGTCTGGATCATCTCGGTCGTCCTGGCCTGGCTCATGTATACACTCGACTGGATGATCCTCTATCCTCGTCTACGCAGCCACTTACGAAAGCTCCCCACCGTAAAGGCAGCCAACATCCTAGGCGAACGTCCTCGAGGTAAGACGCCACTGGCGTGGTTCCATCGGTATCCAGATGCCGATGTGATACATATGCATGGGCTCTTCGGCAAGCAGGTTCTCTATCCTGCCAGCCCAGAAGCACTTCGGGACATATTCTCGACCAACAGCTATCACTGGGCGAAGCCATGGGGCATTCGCGCGTTTTTAGCTCGCATTATTGGATTCGGCCTGATATTGTCCGAGGGAGATGCTCATCGCAACCAACGCAAGTTTCTGACGCCAGCTTTCAATATTCGCAACATCAGAGCGCTAAGCAGCCTGATGTGGAGCAAGACCAGTATTTTCTTGGATCAGTTGGAGAAGGAGAATGAAGCCCAGGGAAGTGTTGAGATCACGTACTGGGCTTCACGTCTGACACTTGACAGTAAGTAGTCCTGAATACTGTTTCATCTTGTTGCCGTGAGGTTGGTGTACTGACTGAATAATAGTCATCGGACCCGCGGCGCTCTCACGCGATTTTCAGACCATGACCAGCGCCGACGACCCCATAGCACACGCCTTCAGAGAGATCTTGGAGCCTTCCCCTGGGCTGGTCACGTTTATGGTCTCGAACATGTTCCTACCGCAATGGCTGGCGACCCGTTTGCCAGTCCGCGCCAATGAGATAATTGCAAATCAATGTTCACGAGTTCGTGAACAGTGCCGTAATATCCTGGTTGAAAAACGTGATAACTTCAAGAAGCTCAAGGCTGCCGAAGAAGGTCGAGAAGATGACATATTGCAGCACATTATGTCAACTGGTCAATTCGGCGATGAGGAAATCATTGAGCAAATGCTTACGTTCCTGGCTGCCGGCCACGAAACCACGGCGTCGGCCTTGACGTGGTGCACGTATGTCCTGGCACAAAGGCCAGACCTGCAATCGCGTCTTCGAGAAGAGATCCGAAACAACATATCCTCGATGAGTACACCTGTGTCCTCGACAGCCTTGGAGTCTATGCCTCTCCTCAACGGCGTCTGTGAAGAGGTATTGCGCCTCTATCCCACTGTACCATTGACCATTCGTGAAGCTCAATGTGACACCACTATGGCAGGCATCCCTATTCCAAAAGGGGTTGTCGCACTTATCGTCCCATATGCCATCAACAGACACCCCTCGTACTGGGGAGAAAACGCGTCTGACTTCGTTCCCGAGAGATGGATCGATACTGGTAAAGACGGCACACAGCGGGCCAACAAGCATGGAGGAGCTCACAGCAATTACTGCGAAACTACCTTCTTGCATGGTCCTAGATCGTGCATTGGCAGGGACTTTGCCAAAACAGAATTGAGATGTGCCGTAGCTGGAATCGTGGGAAGTTTCGAATTGGAGTTGCTGGAGCCTGAAAGAGAAGTGGTAATTGGGGGGACAGTCACTACCAAACCAGTAGGTGGCTTGAAGCTGAAGTTGCGACGTGTGCCTGGATGGTAATGCTGACGGGCTGTTCGCGATGGTACGAATCGCTGTCTTTGTCGAGTTCGTCAGCTCGAAATCCGTGTCATGTCCGGTCTTCGGGTGGTGCAGGACTGGCGCTTTTGCTTCCACCAAAACGACCTATGCCACCAAAGCTACCTAGATCACGCTTGAAGAACTTCCCAATGTTCTTCAAGTTTTCGTTGAGCTTGGTTCCTGTATCACCATCTCCATCACCATTTACGTTTTCAACTACTGCTGGTGTTACGGTCAGGTTTGGTATGTTCAAGGACGAAGGAGGAGGACTTTGAGCATCTTCTCTTGGCGACGGCGCACCAAGTCCTGGTGTCGCTGAGGAAAAGCGATCCATTAGTGCCGATCCAATGCCATCCGCAAATTTCATGTTAATATTTCCTGGCAGGTTCGCGGTACTCAGTGAGGCAGCGGCAGAATTTCCAAGAGCGGACAAGTTTTGTAGGGCTGCAGCACCACCACTTGGAGTGTTCGATGTTTGGCTAGGGTTACCACTAGGTACACCATTGAGCGAGCTGAGCACCGGCGACCTTTCCACAAGACTGCCTTGGTATCGTGGGCTGAGTTTGTGCATTTGGTAGAGTTCAACGAGCTGCGCATACTCTGAACGATTTTTGATGCCTTTCATCTCCAGGATTTTCTTGAAGTTGTTGTCCGACAAATCAGCAATATGCACGAGGTATGCCTGTACTAGTGCCTCGGGTGGAGAAGGATTGACCTGCAGTGTTTTCAGAAGTGGTTCGATCTTTCCCATGGCAGCGTTAACTCTTTTCAGGAATGCGGCTGGAGGTGGATTTCCTGGCAAGATTTGTGACAATGTTCTCTTGATCTCGTGCGTATCGAGGAGCATCTGCTCAGCTCCCGCCTCAGATATCGGCCTGCATTGGCCAATATTGGCAAGATACGTATTCGAGAGAAGCTCGACAAGGTTGTCGGCAAATGCTCGAGCATATTGCTGTTTATGTAGAGACTGCAAGATCGAAGATGTCCGGTCTTTGATTTTGCGTTGTAGACCAGGAATGTAAGAGCTATTGTTCTCACAAACTTCAATTCTGCCGAAGTTGGTATTACGCATTTCGCGCCAGGACGGCTCCAAGTCAACCTCAACTCTGCGAACGAGTCCACGGACGGCAGCACTTGCAATGCCCATGAAAGCGTCAGCTTGGCTTTGTAGGTCGACCTGCACGCGGTACTGATCGTCTATACGACTTTTGATCTTCTCCTCGAGCTGGTTAGATGTGTTGTAGCAGTAGTCAGCAGTATTTAAGGTTAATATTATGTCTTCAATGGTCGGTACTCGAGACGGTGTGCTTCCACTAGGCTTCTCGGATATGTAGAAAAGCAGGACCTGCTGCGAATATTGTTCGAGATATTTGCCAAAGACCCTGGTTAGGTCGAGAAGTGGCTGTCCTGTCGAAAGCTTTGCGCACTGGTTGAAGGATAATTGATAGAATTTGATTAACTCCGTTGAGGATGGTATGACATGCTCAGCATTGAACTCCTCATCTGGCGGCCGTGTCGGTCGTGATTTGTACTCTGACATAAGTCTTGCCAGCTCTTTGTCCTGCTGGTCAATCCAAAGTTCAAGGTAGGGCTCAAAAGCTTCGGAGATCGAGACAAGCTGGTTAGTCGGCTCGGTGGCCGAGGTCGTCGTATCCGTTGAGGTTCTGGACGTATTATTGAACCTGCGCTCCAAGCTGTGCTCAAAGTCTAGGGTCTGCTGCAAGCATGCTAGGAGTAACCTGACATCTAGAGTTTGACCTCCTCTGGTTGACCTTGAGAGAATAGCCTTGAAATCCTCACGTGTACCCTGTGCAAAGACGTGAGCGAGTATCTCGCCTACGTGCCAGTGTTGAAGGAAAATGGCAGCATGTTCTTCATCATATGTCTTCATAGTCTTTCTGAACCAAGCATATCTTCGATCGATATTGTCCAGAGATCCAGCTTCCTGATCGCTCCGAAATATGGTTCTATACTGCCGTAGTTCTGTATTGCAATACCATGTTATTAGGCGGGATCGTGCAGCGTCACCCAGCGCATCGACTACCAAGCATGATTCATGCAGCAGACCTTGTTTCTGAAGTACTTCCTCTTTCGCAAAGATTATTTCGAAGTCCTCACAAACTTGTTCCAGTAGCTCTCTTTGTAGCTCCGAGACATTCCTATTTAAAGCAGCAATCTGCTCTATTGACCTGTAAGACTTGAAATATGCCATTAACTGAATGACGGCCTGTAACAACTGGGCACATTCGCGGTACTGCTTGGTCTTGATCAATGCTCTTAATTGTTCGTATGCCGTGGTCAGCATTTGTAGCCTCTTCAATGCAGTCATTGACAGTGTCAGGTTCTTCTTGGTGTTGTCCAATTGCTTGATATCAGCTGTCATCTCGGTGATGTTTCGTTCGGTTCGCAATGCCCGTTCCCGTACACCGTCAATACGCTTGAAGAGTTCGGCCAGCTCAGCCTTTGAGGCTTCCATACGTGCAAGGCATTCCGCATTAGCTCGATTCTGAGCCTCTTCGAGGAGATCGATCTCGTCCTCGAGGTCATCTTGGTAGGATGTAAGCACTTCATAGGTTCGGCCTACTGAGGATAGGATCGAGGGATGAGTAAATATCTCGTTGAGGTGGTCTACCGGGTCGTAATCGTCTAGTCGGGCGAATTAGTACGCATTGAACCAGTTTCGAGCCACAAACCAGCATCCAGGTAGTCCAGATCTTCGTTCAGGCCATTCACAGACATAAGTGAGACTTCTTGTGTACCTTAGACCTTCATTTGTTCAACTCAACGACTCTTACTTGAGCCCTCGATAATGCCGTAGATCACAGACTCGAGTTTATAGCCCTGTCTAATGAGATCGAGTCGTGACCGACATATACCGTGTCTGCAGCCTCGACAGCAGTGCTCCGGGATAAGTTCGGGCAACTCAAGCCGTTTTGTTAATTTTCCATGTATTGTCTTTTTATCCTACAATTCCTCGATCACACTTCAATTGTGCAAGTGTCGCAATCTTGCAACGGCACAATATCTAAAGACATCGCAAGTAAGTCAAACACGAACCCTCCGAGAACCACTTTACCCACTATGATGAATATACAAGAAACCTTTTGCTTTAGGAAGAGCCGGAAAAGGATGCAGCAGAAGTCCCTGGAGCATCGCCAAATGATCCAATTAAGACCTGCTGTTGTCTATGCTTAGAATGGTTCTACTGATCTTGTGATCTCTTGTTGATAATTCTTACACGACATTTTGAGCTATCACTGACTCTGCCAAAGTCCTAGATCAGAATTGTGGAAGAGATCAGAATTGTGGAAGAGATCGGAATCATGGACTAGTCTCAGACATGAAGAGCGACTGGAGCAACCAAACAAGTCTTTTTATATATTGACTAGCCTACTTGCTTCAACCTTGATGCAGCTTTTTCAACCTCATGTTTCCTTCGTACAACCCTCGATCGATAGCTGCAGCTACCGTTAAAGTTCCACCTATTACAGCACAAACACCAGTCAGAAAGTTCGAGAAGGTCTTTGGTCGAGCTTCCCTATTGATCACTTTCATCGGACTAATGTCGTAGGAAAAGAACACTCCAGGAATGCCACCATACGCATGCAGTCGCTCTTTGTGACCTTCAGCAGCATCAGTTCCTCCTGACAATGACCTCTTATGGGACGTGACGGAGTACTGATGTGTTTCTATAGAGCCAGAATCGCCCATAGACTTTCCGTGCAGACCCAGAGGGATCAAGTCGCTGATCAAGGAGTGCTCTTTCGAGGATCGTTCCTCATCCCAACCAAGTGGAAGGTAGGATGTAGATACTACTTTGACGAAGTACATGAAATTGTAAGCCGGCTGATCTGTTGTCTCGAGATGATTGTCGAGAGGATTGGCATGATGGTGGTCGCTCCACTTCGATGCCACGTCGGTCAGCTGCGGACCGAAACGTAGGGAGTGTATGTCATGACTGAAGGTGTGGCCGCCCTCGAGAGGAGAGTTCAGGAAGTTCTCCAGATCATGGACATGCATGTTGCCATTGCTGTAACTTCGACCAGGTGCGATATGGAAGTTTCCGACCACTTTGTTCACCCGAACGTTTCCTTCTATTCGACAGCCTTCTTTTCTTTGCTCGTCGAGTTTTTGGCCGTATCCTTCTCTTTCGCACTGCTCGACTCCATCGCCACGCCCAAAGGCCCAGCTGTTGGTCGCGTACGCTTCTCTGACCTCGTCGCAAGTATTACAACAACCAGGCTTCTTCGCGGTTGGAGGTGCAGGTGCAGAATAGCACGAACCGCAGTAATCGGGGTCGAGATGGGCAGCAGCCTCGTCTGCGTGTAATTGTAGCGCTTCTGTTCGAATGACCCTCGAGCCCTCCTTCCAATCCGACAGCCTGACTTTATTGACACCATGCACTACACCCGTCTGCTGTTCCCCTGAGACGTCCATAACATCCAGCGTTAACAGTTCACATGGTATTCGAGGGAAAGAGATATTGAGATGTATTTCCATCTTCTCACCTTTAATGTAGTTAGTAAGGGCTTGCAGAATCTTTGCGCTCAATCGTACCTCTGCTCTTATCGACTATAAGTTCTGGCTGTACCAGGATCTTTCTGTAGTCGCTCCATTCCCCGAATGCTAGATAGAGGATCACAAGCAGAGAGACAATGGTAACTATACCACCAGAAGTCGTCCTGACCCTAGCATCCTCTACTGTTTTTGTGAATGCATCTAACCGTGTGAACCGGGACTTGATTGGCATCTTGAATCAAGCATGAGCGCTCGTATACCACACGTTGCGTCTACTGGATATGTCGATGCTAGCCATGATCCCTTGTCCGCAAACGACCACTTCGTAGTAAATGCTACGTGGCTGAGATACTCGAAATGTGGCTGAAACACGTTCGGTGGCTCGTGCACTGTACTGCCTGACCTGTGTTCCAGGCAGCCTCGAACTTGGCTGACTCGGACCTCGTCACTTTTGCTTTCTTCCCCAGTCTATTACCTCGATTGTCTACTTCTCATTGTGCCAAAAGCAGATTCAATCGCTGGTTCAATTTCACGCCATATTTGTTTTCGATCTCGTCACTTTGATACAAACGACATTACCACATTCACTAAGAAAAAAGTGCCATCTATCGGCCTTCATACAAAGTAACCCAGAAATATTACGATATCTCAAAACGACATTCCTTTAGGCAAGATTGCCAGCGCGAACCATGGCAGGGCGCATGGATACGGACGACACAGTGATCCTCTCAGTCACAAATTGGACAAATTCCAAGGCGTCAAACGATCCTGATGGCGGACAATCGTCGTTAGAAGGCTGGCTTAAGCGCAAAGCTCAGAGAGAAATATTAGCAAGCCAGCGCTCAGGGAATGTTCTCCAGCTGCAAGTCAGGGGAAGGGATAAGCGCAGTTTTCTTCACATCAATGGTTGGAAATGGGCAGGTGTTGACGTTACGATCACTGATGGCCAGGCCTCCGAGGCACCACGAGGTCCGAGGAATCAGCAAGGAGGCTTCAACCAAAATCAAAGAAATGGTGATCTCAGTTCACGAGTGACAGCAGGTCCCAACAACAACAACTTCAACAATCGAAACCAGTCAAAAGAATTGTTCAATAACGCGCCATCAGGGCCAAGAGGTGGCGGCTTCCAACAGCACCGACAGCAAAACGGCAACTCTTCTGCCAATCCATTTAACCAAGCCTCGAACAATCCTTTCAACCGACCTAACGACAAACAACAACCAGCTGACGAGCTCACACAGGCTATGATAGAGGTGATACGGAGTCGCTACAATGCGGCAGACAAATTTCTGAATCTATCCGAACTTGCAACACATCCAACAATTGTCGCATTGGGCCTCAATTCGCGGGAACCGGAAAAGGTCTTCCGTGTACTATTTATTACCCTGGAGCAGCACGTCTTCGAAACCCGAGAGAAGCGAGCCGAGATGATCGAGTCAGTCTCGTTCGCAAAGAATGGTCTGACGACGGTGAAGGAGATAATAGGAGCCAGCTCCACTTTCTACAAAATCAAAAATCTCGATCTATCTGATAACCAGCTCAACAAAATCACAGATCTGACATGGTGGAAGAGCAGATTTCCAGATCTTGAGCAGATCATTCTATCCGGCAATCCTGTTGATTCCCCTCAAACACGTGCAGAAGTCAGGAAATGGTATCGAAATCTGAAGGGCTACAATCTACTGCCACTCGACGCACCACTTAATGGGGCACTTAACAATGGATTGGAGACTGCACCCCCTGTACCGTCTCCATCACCTGCACTAGAAGCAGCACTCAATGGCCAGATACTTACCCCGGCTGGTCATCCCGAGTTCCCACCAGGTTCGACCTTCGGTCTCCCAGTGCCTGGAAAGCCAGAAGACCAAGTTCTCAAAGAGCAACTAGGACTGAAGTTCAGTTTCGAAACACGATTAAAGATGAAATGGGTGGAAGAATGTCTAGTCACCAATAATTTCGACTACGACAGGGCAATGAACGATCTAAATGCGACACTCAGCACTGGCAATGTTCCAGCTGATGCATTCTTGCAAGTGTAAAGTTATGGCACAAGGCCAAAGGAGGAAAGGTGACACTGGAACCATGATGGAATGGAAAAAAGCATTGAGATTGGACACATGAAGAGCTTGGGTAAGAGATCCACATTTGACATTGCTCATCAACTTACGACTTGACGACTTTTGTACGATACTCCTGGTGTACGTTGCAAATATCTTGACAAAGCGATTTAAGATCTGGAAGAGGCATTTTACTAACGAAATGAATTTAGCAAGCGATTTATCATGGTGCAAATGAAGACACGCACAAGACGTGCATTGAAGGAATGGAATTAGCAGGACTATTCGCTTCGGAGGAGAGGTTGTGATTATTCGTTCACATGATTATTCAAGCTGTAGCCACAAGCATCAATCGCTCTAGTAGCAACAAATAGGTGTGGTAATTTCAGAGGAGGTAATTTCAAAGCAGAGTAATGACATTCACAATTCAATCACTTAAAAATTTGCTTTTGCGCCTAAGACTTTCGCAAGTCTTTCCTGATCCATAGAAACATGCCGCTGAAGGACATCAGTAGCCGCTTATATGCTTTCCATCACCTAATAGTTTGAGGTCGTGGAAAGTCAGAAAGCGTTATGGTCGATGAATCTCCTGTTCAAGTGTGCTTTCGAGGCAGAAAGTCCACGGCTTCCCACTATTGAGCAAGGCAAAATCCATGTCTCACTACTTGATGTTCAGTTCTCGTGCTAGCCGATCTCGTCAGATTAACAGTAACGATGTTCTATGTCTTTGGATAGGCTTTGTGAAGCATAAGATGGACGTCGTCTCGAGCTAGTACGAGAAGGCGGAGCAAAGTACATGTGTCACTACCATGTGGATTCGAGATTTGATGCTTCTTATTCATATGGCATCATGTGTCGAAGGTAGACTTTCTGCAGTCGTAGCAGCCACGACTCGTTGTGTAAGCTGAGATCTGCTACGATGTGTAGTTGGACGTCAACGTCGGACAGGGCTGCTCAGACGCTCAACGACAGATGAGAACCGCAACCTACTTTTGACGACGCCTGTGATGTTTTAGGTAGAGTATACATTAGACACTACCTACCCTGAGTGCAGTGAGGCTTGAAAATAGTCTTCTCATCATTCAAAAAGTGACTGTAAGATCTCGGTGTTGGATCTAGCCCCTGACTAGCGTGAGTTTTGTCTTTCTTCGTCGGACATATACAGCACGACCACTTTTCGCCCCTCAAATCATCACACAGATTCCGGGAAGGTAAACTTCACTGTATCATTATGTTACTTCACAGCTAATACCTTCCAAAGATGGCCGAGTGGTTATGGCGTGTGACTCAAGAGCTTTTCAGACTCTTCATCTATGCCATGTAGATGCGAGGTTTCTCATGGACTCGTTTCGTAAGCTTAACCAACCCCCAAAGTTCTATGAATCACTTTCTAACGGAAGAAACAGCGCGTGGGTTCGAATCCCACTCTTGTGAGAGAAGCCGAATCCCTGCAAAAGACACCTGCTGATTCGTATAGCTCATCACAATTTGTGAATTCTTTTTTTTGTTTTGTTTTGACATGTGGAGAAACGCAGAGAAGATACCTCGGCAGAATGTCGTTAGCGTGACTCGGAGCTATTTCGCCGAAAGCCCGAGCACATGTTTGTTTACATGACCCTTTGCGACGAAGCTGTGCGCATTGCTAGATCGTGATGAAAGAGGATTCGACCGCCTGAGGATGTGAGGAGAAGATCTCATGTGATATTGGATATGGACACACGAAGGTCGCCCTCTTCTCCTCCAACAGTGCCGCAAGTCAACCCTGAGATTGTCACGTCGCAACGCAATGCTCGTCTACAGAGGCTGTACAAGGACGCACTGCGGGCTACACTTGCCACGAACTCGTACGCTAACTTCTCATCGTGCTTTCCTACACCAGCTAGATATTGTCCCAAGGCGCTCGAAGGCGTATGGGACCAGCTGAATCGCCGACTCAGTGAAGAGTGTCTCAAGGACTTTGAGAAGATCTGTCAGGAAAGAGATATAGAGAACGGTCTAGCTACGTGGGAACGACTGGTTGAAGATGCGCGGGCAAGAAAGGTGCAGGCAGAGGAGGCTCATGATGGCACAACACTTGAGCAGGCGAGGCCGATACATCTACTGAGTGCTCAAGAACTACACTCCGCACACCTGAACCCAACATTGATCAGGGTTGAGAAAGAGCTACAGGCGAAGCTGAGAGCGACACAATTGTCGAATACAGAAATGACGACAAAAATTGAAGAGCAGAGAGCCGAAATACAAAGATTGGCACAGCAGTTAGAAAGCATAATCGAGGACGTCGAAGGGGCAGCAAAGGCATTCGAGGACGATTCTATAAGAGAAGAACTTCGCAACAATCACGGAGCCTTTGGCACTATTGATAATGACATGAACGTGGAAGGCTAAAGCTTGAACGCTACACAATGCCACAAAACAAGCTTCGTCACAAGTCGGTCATTGCAAGCAAGACTATACACAAAAGAAGTACACCACAAGAAAACAATATCCAGATACAAAGTGGGCGTCAATGCGGGCGACGACAGTCTGTACTGGTCTCGTCCAAACAGATTTGCCATAGGCGCTGGTTCGCAGTTCGTCCCTCCATACTGGATATGATTTCATGCACGACGACGTATCAATAATCGCGTCAATCAATCGATATAGTCAGCCGATTAGATTACACGACTGTGGAACAACGATGTCTATGATTGCTCATTGCCCAAAACGCGAACACCTGTATGCAGCCAGCCGGCATACATCGCGTAAAGGAAGATTGTGTTATCCAGCATGGGACAAAGACACTGTTTAAGGACTGCCATCATAACACAATTTTAACCGCGTAAGATGACCTTGAGACAGATGGATGCATCGCCAATATAGATAAAACTCTCCATGTGAAGCAACATCCCTCAACTCGAAGCAAATTCTCCGAAACAGCAAGCTGGATCCCGGGTAGTCGGAGAAATAACATGGCGACCCCGGTTCTGCTCGATCAAAGCCATTTTAAGGCTGAATCTTGGCAATCAGGCCTCATTGGATCCGCCGCCTAAATTGTTTGCGCAATCAAACCTAATTTGACTTCCTGCTTCAACTGCCGCCTCTAGCTTGCTGCTAGCGAAATTGCCTTGTCCACTGCTCACTGCCAGTAACTTCTCGAGTCGAGCATGTACGCCATATTCGCTAAAAATGACCTCAACGCACAAGACTACGCCTGCAGTCTGGAAATTCGAACTGGACCTCCAACGGATTTCTGCAAAGTAAGCACCGTTCAGATTCACGAAAGATGCGCGCCATGTTCGTATCGATCCAACCCCGGTCGTCTCCAGGATGCTGTGGAAGTTCTCTGCCATTCACCTATCACGATGCGTTCGTCAGATGCAGTTGAAACGGTTGCTTTCCGTGCTATTGACCTCCAGCTCGACACATCTGTGTTCTTCATTTCCGAACAACCTGAAGACGAGCACATTGGCGAACCTGTTATTGATCAAATACTTCTCTGTGTTCGTAAGAGCCTCTGCAGTCTTCCCTTTGTTGTTGTTTATTCACCTCGCATCCCACTGATCTTCAGCGCGCTACGATCCACTGTCCTGCAAGCAATCCATGCACGTCAAATTTGGCTCCACAATCGCGTGGCTTCGCACCAAGAAGTCAAGTCTCAACCTTGCTACTATTCGTGATTTGGTTCCTGGCGTTAAAGAGACAGTCTTTACGGCATAAACCTGACCTGGTGGCTTGTTCGATTGATCTCGCCTACTGAAAAGCAACGGAAACTCGGCTCCGTTCACGAGGTTGGACCAGGCGAAGAAACGAGCACGACCGACCGGAGCGCGCTTGTCTTATCAATTGAGATCCGCCCGACAGTTCACGATTGAAGACTTTGCAACGACCTAGTGTTTCTTTTCTCTTCACCTGCACCTGTCGCGTGTTTCGCGGCGTCCACTCCTTTACAGCCATCTCAGCGTCCACTATCCATGTCACAAAGCGACAACAGTATATCAGGTGAAGTTTTGACACGACTCACTTGACGAACAACAATTCTACCTCGAATTTTTAACGGCACGAGCATTCGACCGGAGATGGGACGAGAGCTACCTTTTTGGATTCTGGCAGTTGTAACTGCTATATCAACAATCGGCAGTTGCTCTCTCAATATAATACTTGCAGCAAGGCTGTCCGACATAATTCAGTTGACAGCTCTCAGAGCCCTATTGTTTGCAGGTTTCTCACTAGAAGTTATAGCTCTTGGTTGCTTGAGCTATTGTTGTCTACTCTTTCTCAGATTGTCGATTCCAAGACGGATAGCATGGATTGATATTGGGACCGGTGCTGGACTCAATGCAGTTGCTCTTACTGTGGCCGGAATTGCTTTGATTTGGCTCGCCTACCCTCCGTACGACCTACCTCCAGAGGACACACATACTCGCGATGCAGCATTGACTCTGTGGGCACTGACGATCGTCCTCCATGCTGCATTCTTTCTATTTATCTCAATAAGGACTCGCAGGATTTTGCGCCCGAGCATTCCTAGAGTTCAGGTTCAAAATTTTGGTATCACATTGTCGCCCATGGAAGACTTGGCTACTGGTGGTAGACCCTCATTCTGTTCCAGGGATACGACATTGGCGTCCTCGCGACCATGTACTCCAGCATCCTCGCGAACGTATTCTATACCTTCGTCATCTACAAAAGTAGCCTCTATCCGCAGTAAATTTACACGAAACTCGGCAAAATCTTCACTGGAATTACCCCCATTCCCAGCTGGAGAGTCGACGGCACTGGGTAGTGCCTTTGATCGATATGATACGTCAGGCATTACCCACGAAGCGAGGAACACCATACTCAACTCAACTCCGAATGTGACTCGATCTGGTCTCGAGCCAATACCTGGCTCACGACCTGAATCTCCAGAAGACGAGCCCATCCTGCCATCGTCTCCTCGAATTCTCCAAGATCTACGGAGCTCACCATCGGCAGGCAAGTCTTCTGCACTGGAACTATTCCCTTCACCACCCTCGAGCCCACCCAATTTCTCACGGCCTACATCTCGAGGAAAACCCACGATGACGTCTCCCTCGCAGTTTCGACATCGCAGCATTTCATCATCTATGACCGATTTGGTCCATCCCCTATTCCGTCCCGACAGTCCGTCACACCCTCAAATTCTGACTAGTGGAACGATGGTGACCGCGTCGCCATTATCAAATCAGCCCATCACCTACAAAACACTAAACAGGCTGCGCAGCGCCACTGACATAAGAACCAAGCAGGAGAAACAAGAGTATGCTTCAGGTTCATCAACGCCGACAGGCAACGGTCAGTGGCGAGTCATGCCACAGCTTGAAGACCCAGTGCTTAGACCGAGAAGCAGATCACATTCTTCTCTGGTACAGCAGAGACGACCGAGCACGTCCGGATCCGACCAAGCAATGATCACAAGACCTACCAGAAACAACAGTATCGGCAGTCCAGGTCCCAGTGTCATTGAGGAGGACGAACTACCGCCTATCCTGCCAGGCTTTATTCTTAGTGCTGGGTCGAGAACCAGTCTGGTGGGATACGGGAAACGAAAGAGCGTGAAAAGAAGTAGCGCGCATCTCGAATGATAGTAATGTAGATGGAAGGATGTTGACGACAAACTCATGACAGGCATCGGTTTCTTTATGAATGATGTGCGAAAACTAGCGCTGGCGTTGGAGGCAATCTGAAATCGTTGGGTTATAGGTAGTACGTGGCACAGCTGCCAATTAACATATACCGAACTCACTACATGCTGAGCCTCTCGTCTTGTTGCCTGGTAAATAAAACTTCTCTTTCGTGACCCTGCTGGCGATGTTGTCGTTCTACAGGGGGCGCGACAGGACGAGGATATTCAACGGCTATCGATCGGAAATGATCGTAGGTGGGTATCCAAGAGAATGTTAGAAGCTTGCATTGATGTACAGTACCGTCGTGCAACCGTTCGCTCAGTGGAATAGCGAACATCATACCAAGCACGGACTGCCTGCCAAATACCTGATGTATATCTCAACTGTCAAATTACAAGTTCCCCATCTCCCTCCACCGCTGCCTAGCATCTTCTTCCCTTCTCGCCTTTTCCACCTCATCCACCATCTCTACCAGGTTTCCACTCCTGATATCTCTGTCCCTCTTCTTCAGCCCTCTCCAGACTGCCCAGGCCATAGCAGCATGAACCGCATATCCTGCAAAGCTGACGAACTGCAACGCAACCATTATTCCCCACAGCCCTCTCCGGTCATTACTCGGACACTCCGTCCTCTGATACCCACTGATCGTCACACTTGGATTCTCAAGCGCTTCCGCAGGTACCGGACGATCTGCTCCGACACAAGGCGGCAAAAACACAATCGCACTCCCCAGAAAAGTCAGTGCCAGCAGGGTGCTGAAGATCAGTGCCATCAGCGGCTGATTCGACCGCGCCAGAATATGCAAATGTAGGCTGGGTATGGTATTGAAGAAGCTGAGTGCTGGCACGACAAGTGGTTGAATGACTTGTGGAAAGGTTAGACTTCCCCAGCCATTTGCCAGGCTTTGTATGTTGACGATCCAGACTATGCCGATGACCACTTCGATGATGCTGAGGAGTGCGAGGACCAGCACGACTTTGGGCGCGTGGAGGGCGAAGCGAGGGGATGCGAGGCCCCATTTTGGGTCGCCGGAGAAGGAGGCGTCGCGGAAGTCGAAGAGGGTGTTGGTACTGGGCATGGTAAAAGTTTTTCTTTCGAATTGATGTCGGAGGAAGGTGGTCGTCACATGAAAATTGTCAGTTGACTTTGAATGGGACTAGGAAGGACGAAGCAGTGGTAGGATCCTGTTGAAGAAGATATGCCCGTACTGTTTGGCAGATGTAGTCCGCCGACTGCCAGTAATTCGGATATATGCGCCAGTGGTCTGAAAGTGCGCTCACGACCAAGCTGTGGTGAGGTATTAATCCTCATGCACGTTGTGCTGCGTCAAACCAATAACCAGTAAATCTATTTTGAGCCACGAGGATTCTTTCTCAGATCCGTTTGAGAAGCAGTGCTTGAACCTCGACAGATTGCCGATCCGCGCCTCAAGGAAGAAGATCAAGGTATTAAGATTTGAAATCGTTCAAAAACATCACGAGGTTACGAGTAGTAGGACGTTACATTGTCGTCCTCTCAAACTCGGATATTCGGCACCTATATTTGAGCCTCCCACTACTCGCAAGCCAGTCAAGACGCGCTTACAGATGAGCTGCCGCTTCATCGATTGCCTGAAAGGTAGAAGAAGCGTTAGGCTCGCGATCGAGGTGGATGCGATTACTACTGCATGCTTGAACCCCGCTTTGATCGGGCACCCCATGGGCAGGGAAAGCTTAATGACGTGCTTGGTGAAGCTTGATGCGATGCTTGCACGGGCAGTTGCACTAACAGCTCAGTGCGATCAAGGACAGGTTAATGGCCACAATATGCCTACGCATGCATGACGAATGAGTTCTAGGAAAGAGCGTGAAGGGAAGAGGCGGCAGCATAGTATTTGAGTCGTGATGGTTCTTGAACCTCTTTCAACACACTTGAATAAACCTCAAACGCTTATGCAATACTGACAAAAGTCCTTTTCTTCCCTTTACTTTCCTGCACCTCATCAACATTCTCGTCCACAAAACCAGGACCCTCATCCGCCATCCGCCGACCAAGTACTCTAAGACCAGCAAGATTGAAGCCCATTTCCCGTCTACTCTTTTCCATGCCAGCTCTTAGTTTCTCTCTCAAATTTTCCAGTTCAACCCTCATCAAGCGCGAGCTCACAATCTGCTTGTTGTGTACCTTGAGCATGAAGTTCAATATTCGACATACAAGGGGAATGTTCCGCTGCTCTTCTGCGAAAAGTGTCAAGAATGTCAATAATGTCGGCAACTGTGAAAAGGACAAGAGCAGAAGCGCGTCTGTCAGATGCTGTGGTGGCAGTTTCTGTAGGATGTTGAGTAAATAGGAGGATGCCGATATGTTTCCATTTGCCAAGTATATGGGGTGTCTTGGAGGCTGTGCTGGCGGTTTTGTTGCGTTGGCCTTCGCATTCTGTACAGCTTTCGCGTGCTCGGTCATTATTTCCAAGTCCTCTACTCCTAGAGTCAGGGCTTCGGTAATCTTTTCGCTTGCGATTAAAGTTTGTCCGCTCTGCTTGCTTGGGTCAGTACTCTCCACGCCTTCCGCGTCTTTCTCGTTGGCACCATCGTCATCCAGACTGGTCAATAACGTGTTCTCGTACATCTCTTCGAGCTCTTTCTCTCGTTCTTCTTCAAGGAACACCTGCTCATCGGTTTGGTCCCATATTCTGATACTCTTGTCATGAGCTGCAGTGACCACGAATTGACCATTGTGAGCCACTGTCATTGCCCAGATTTCTCCATGGTGTCCCTCCAGCTTCTGAATCTGTTCGAATTTGTCACCGTCATAGTACTTGAGTGTCCTGTCCTTGGACGCACTGAAGAAATGATGACCATTTCCATCACGATTGTCAGGTATGAACTGGCAGTTAAGGACGCTATCATTGTGGGCTAGGAAGGTCTTGTGACAATCACCGAAGTCAAGACCCCATATACGGACGGTCTTGTCGGCGCTGCTAGTAAGAACAAGCTTGCTGTCATAAGATATGTCAAGGTTCAGAACCGGCAATTTGTGACCATAAAGTGTAAGGTAGAGCTTAAGAGTGTCGACGAAGAACACCTTTACCGTTGTGTCTAGTGTGCTGAGAGCTAGATACTTTCCATCGGGGCTAAACCGCACAGCCAGAATATCGTCGGCTGTCTTTAGAGTGCGTGTATGTACAAGCGTCAATTTGGGATTCTTTCGATTCGTACCGAGAACTTCCTCCTGAACAACACGAAGCTCCCAGAACTTGGCAGATTTGTCAGCTGAACCAGTGATAAGGGTGCGGCCATCTGGAGACAGGTGCATTGACCAAATGTCGCGCTCATGTGCAGGTATGGTGTCGATTAGAGATGATGCGGCAATATCGAAGATTTCGAGATTTCCTTCTCTTGTCCCAACGACGACGATCTTGTTTCCTGGTAGGAAAGTCGTGCAGAGAGCGTAGCCACAGTCAAGTGTCCGAAGGCAAGAGTGTGTCTTTGCGTTCCATACTTTGAGGGTATTGCTACTGGCGGAAGCAAGCATGCGATCATCTGATGAAAGAGCAAGGCAACGGATGTCCGATCTGTGACCCGCCTGATCGATCGAGAGAGAGCGGTTGTAGTCGATGGTGCGATCCTTTGACTTTCGTTCTTTGGCATCGACATCGTACAGCTCGAGCTGATTGTTTGTAGTCGCGAGTAGTATCGACAAGGATTTGCTAGATTTGCCTCCAGCCCAATCCATACTTCTAACGCGGCCTCCCGTTCGCAGGATAACATAAGGTACGAACACTTCTGTAATGTTGACCTGGGACAAGTCGAGGTCTGTAGAGTCTTCCAATTCCGGTTCGTCCTGCATCTCTTGGTCGGCGAGCTTCTCTTTCCGTCTCTTTCTCTTCCTGTTGACTGATTTTTTTATTTCATCTTCATTGCGTATGCGCCACAGTTCAATGGCTTTTTCTGAGCCATGGAATGCTATTAGATCTCGCTTTGGGTGAAATCTCACAGCTATCGTCCGGTCCTTGCCGTTTCTGTAGAATGTACCTCTGTCCTTGAGGACTTTTTCACCACTTGCGAACTCTTTTGAAGCGCGAGCTAATGCCTGTTGATCAATAACCCAAGCTCTCATCTCGCCATCGTTGCCTGCGGTTATACATCCATCGTGATCAGGTGAAAGTCCCAGAGCCCAGCACTCACCGTTGGTTTGTGCAACGTGAGTCTCTATACAATGCTGAGTGGACAGATCCCATATCTTTATAAGAGCATCCTTGCTGGTTGACAACAAATACTGATCGTCTTCCTCGTCGCCATTAGTGAGCACAGTTTCCTCGTCGCCATCTTTCAGTGGTTGTGCCACAGACAGGAAGTTCAGACTGGTTATTTGATCTTTATGACCTTTCAACTTGTGCAGACCCACCTCACCTACCAGATCCCAAAGAATGATATCCGTGTCTCTCGCGCCGCTTGCTAGACGTACACCCTTCCGGTCGAAGGTCAACTGCGTAATGGCGGATTTGTGTCCGTTGAAGGTGATGTATATCGTAGTGGTGCGACTGTCCCAGACGCGAATCTTGCCGTCGTCGTATCCGACTGCGAAGAGGTCGGGATCGTTCTGGCTCCTCACAATGACCGTAACTTGTGCTCTGTTATCCGTAACGTGCCATCTAGACTCAAGCTCGCCACGCTTCAAGTCCCAAACCAATACATCCTCATTAGCGCCAACGAAGGCTCTGCCAGCGCTGGTCCGAGAGGTGGTCGCCTCGTCTTCGGTTTTGGAGTCCCAGATGCAATTAGATGCAGTTGAACAGATCTGGCCGAATGTAGATATCTGCTCGAACTTCCTGATTATGTTAGCAAACGCTCCTTTTTCTAGTTCAGTGAAAGAACGTACAGGTAGGACTTGACCATTGTGAGATGTACTCGCTGGCGCAAACAACTGACTGAATCGTCTTGAACTTTTTTGTTAAGTGGATAAACTTCGGCCCATCTCCCCACAGTCTGACGATTGCGCCGCAACTTCCTCGTATACAACAAGCAAGGCCGATAGTAGTTGCAATACAGGTCGTTCTGGCTTGTATATATAGACTCGACCGCTCAACAAGAAAACCATAGCACTTGCCTCAGTCAAGATGCTTTTGCTTGATTATCAGAATACACTCCTCCAATCGATACTCACCGAGAAGTTCTCTGGAGCGAGCCCACCTTCGTGAGTACACTCTGCGGCCTGTACCGGCTCGACGGCGGGCTACACAATCTCAAGGCCGCCACGATTCTATTTGTGAGCTGACTGTACCAAGGAACATCGATCAGGTTGTCAGCGATTTCGACGGCGTCACATTTCACATATCTACACCACAAAGCAAGACTCAGATCCTGGTGTCGTTAGCGATCAAATGCTACAAGGAACTGATAAGCTACGGCGCTGAACAAGTCCTACAACGGGAATATGGCGCCTACACAACGTCGCCCGAGGCTGGCTACGACTTTTCTATCCTAATCGACCTCGAGAATCTTCCCTCCACACCAGAAGAGAGGACCGGGCTCGTGAATCGCATAGCACTTCTCAAGCGGAATGTTATGGCTGCGCCTTTCGAGAAGGCCTTTGACGAGCACAAGGCCCTATCCGAAGAAGCTAGTAGATATACTTCAGAATCTGCTCCACAAGGTGTGGCAGAAGGTGGTGAGGTTATGGCCGTTCACTACAGGGATGAGGAAGCAATATACATCAAGGCTAGTTTTGATCGAGTCACTGTCATTTTCTCCACAATTTTCCGGGATGAGACAGACAGGATTTTTGGCAAGGTCTTCTTACAGGAGTTTGTGGATGCTCGACGTCGTGCTATACAGAACGCTCCCCAAGTGCTCTTCAGGAGTGATCCACCACTGGAGCTCCAGGGCATGAGGGGTGTGGGCAAGACCGGCGAGAAAGGAGAGATTGGCTTCATCACATTTGGTACATATATTCTACAAGTTTTCGTTTCCCGTGCTAACACTACCATTCAGTTCTCTTTCCACGCCATCTGACACCGCAGCGGAGGGAAGAGACCATCTCTCACATCCAGACATTCCGAGATTATTTCCATTACCACATCAAGGCATCAAAAGCATATATTCATAGCAGAATGCGAAGGAGGACCGCCGATTTCCTTCAGGTGCTAAATAGAGCCAGACCTGAGAACGAGGAAAAGGAGAGGAAAACTGCAAGTGGAAGGACATTTAGAGTTCAAGGATAGAACAGCTGTCTCTTGTGGACGTGGCTCGCCCTTCCCAGCGACCGTTACATAGCAGTATCAACTCTTACGTGCTAGCACTGGCCACATGGCGAAGCTCTGCAGTCCCAAGCCATGATTTCTGGCAGGAAGTACGAGCGCGAAGAAAGTAGTGGCTCTCCACAGCGTAGCCGACGCCTAAAACCAGCCCTATAAATCTGATCATAGGCTACGTCCTCTGCAGACCGGCACCTCGTGACTACCTAGGTATCATTGCCAGAGCTTGTTTGATCTGGACACACAAGCTGAAACTGCAGCTAACTGTTTCCAAGATTCAGAGTTGAAACGATGGCACAAACGAGGGCTGTCATAGAGGGGCACCACAACACTCATCTTCCTGACTGGTAAACCTGGACATTTACTGCTTTATCAACCTATGTTTCTATTCTTACCCTGCGATTGACCTTACTGAGTTTCCCTCCATCGTGGCTGCCTGTGCGTGGGTAAATTGCTAATGCTTCTCTGACCCTGCCTGCCTGCCTGCTTAACACGAATCACTCCCTTGTCTAAGTAAGCAGCATGTTGCAACACAAACCTGCGAAAAGAGCGACCACACTGAAGGCAGGAGGTGGACAGTCGTCTGCTGTCCAAGTTCGCCAGGTGGTCAAGGACTTCAGCCCAGTTATTGCCCAACACCTGGAGAAGGTCTTCAACGATCTTGTTTCCACGAACCAGAAACTAGGACCTGACGGACCGCCATTGACCTCGTTTGATGAATTCGTATCTTGGTTCCTCTCCCCAGCTTCAGCTGCCCTTGCGCCCCCAATTGACCGCGACCTCTCTTTTCCGTTGTGCAACTACTACATATCCTCCTCCCACAATACCTATCTAAGCGGGAACCAGCTCTATGGCTCAGCAACCACAGAAGCATATACCAACGTCTTGCTGAGAGATTGTCGGTGTTTGGAGATTGACGTCTGGAATGGCGAGGATGAAGCCTCGAGCGTCAGCAGCTCAGATGTCGAGGATGCTGAACGAGAAAGTTCGTCTGTGCCGAGAAGCAAACGGGCAGTTTCAAGATTGAAGAGTATCCGTGAGAAAGCAAAGGACAAATTGCAGAGGAGATCGAGCTCCAAGTCTCCCTCGAAGCGGCCTAGAGAATATACAGAACTCGATCAACAGACCGAGGAAGTCACTGACAAAGTATCAGCTATGGACATTGCACAAAGAAGGGCAGCGCTGAAGACAGAGCCGCGTGTATATCATGGCTACACACTGTAAGCAGCCCTCATACCTGACTTAATTTGGACATACTCTACCCTTGTAACCCTTCGAGGTATCAAACTTGGCACTAAACAACTACAGGACAAAAGACATCCCTTTCCGAGAAGTGTGCATGGCCATCAGGGAGTCGGCTTTCAAGGCTTCTAGTCTACCAGTGATCGTATCTCTGGAGGTGCACTGCAACATCGACCAACAACATGTTATGGTCGATATCATTGAAGAGGAATGGAAGGGTTATCTGGTCGACACAACGGGTCAATCCTACAATGACATTCAAAAACTTCCAAGCCCAGATTCTCTACGCAACAAAATTCTGATCAAGGTCAAGTGGACACCCACCTCAAGCTCAGAGACAAATGATCCTCTAGAGATGACAGAGACGAGAGCGACTGATCAGTCAGACGGCACTGTCGCTTCTACGTCTTCCCAAGGTCAGCAAAAGGCTGCTAAAATGTTGGAAAAATTATCGAAGCTTGGGGTGTATACCAGGGCCTACTCCTTCAAGACTTTTTCCCAGCCTGAAGCAGAGATTCCGACTCATGTCTTCAGCCTGGATGTAAGTTTCCTTGCCTATCCTGTAGCCCAGTCTGTCAATACTGGTGGACTGACATCGATATAGGAGAACAAATTGGGCAACCTACACAGCCATCCGGAGCATGGCCATGTCATGTTCGATCACAATCGAAATTATCTCGTCCGAATCTACCCTTCCGGTATCCGCGTCAACAGTAGCAACATAGACCCTGCTTTCAGCTGGCGCCAAGGAGCCCAGATAGTAGCATTGAATTGGCAGAGTCTTGACAGAGGCATGATGCTGTGAGTGGTTCCATCATCTAGAAGGACAAATGCCTTACAACAGGGACCATCCAAGCTAACACACCCTCCTAGCAACGAAGGCATGTTTGCCGGCGAAGAAGGCTACGTTCTAAAACCAGAAGGCTTCCGCTCAGACTCCGTCGCAAGCCGGATACACCCCGTCAGACAACACCTAAACCTCTGCATTCGCCTAATAGCCGGCCAAAACATCCCCCTCCCACCAGACAAAGAACCCAGCCACGCCGATCACCTAAAACCTTACATCACCTGCCAGCTCCACGTCGACACCCACGGCCCACCCGGTCAAGGCAAAACAGATCTCGACGACGACAAAGTCAGCGCGACCTCAAAATACAGCCTTGGCAAGACGCAACAACAATCAGCAGGCGAAGAGCGCGAAGAAGAAGAACTGAAACTGAAACGAAAGAGCCGCACCGCGAAGACTGCGAATCCTGATTTTGCAGATGCGAAGCTTAGTTGGAACGGAGTGCCGGATGTGGTTGAGCAGTTGAGCTTTGTTCGTGTCAAGGTCAAGGATGATCGTATGATGGGGCGGGATGAGCTGGTTGCGTGGACGTGTATCAGGCTGGATCGGCTGAAGACTGGGTATAGGTTTTTGCATTTGTTGGATGCGGAGGGAGAACCTACGGAGGGTGTTTTGTTGGTGCATATTGAGAAGGAACTACTATAAGGATTATTACTGAGACAAGAGCAACCATCAGCTCTTGCTGATAATTCTGGGTTGGATCAGCACATTTGCCGTGTTGTCAGATTTGTTGTCTACTATTGCTGAAGCTGAGCATGCTTAGCCAGCAACTATTTCTTCTTCTTATTCTTCTTTTTCTTCTTCGCCTTACTTTTCGTACTATTGCCCACCATTTGTCCCTCCCCGTCACTATCGTAGAGATCTTCCTCCTCCTTCCGCTGAAGAACCCCTGTTGAAATCAGAGCCTCTCTAAGATCGTCACAGGTCTTACCAGGAGCCATCTCATAATCAGCTCCAACGAGGGTGCGCAATATCTCCATAGCCTTGACCGGATCCTTGGTCTGTGCCTGTCTGAACTCTGACAGAGCAAGTGGCTCGATGAAGTCTGCTTCGGTCAGGTAGCTCTCGATCTCATTAGCTGCTGTTTTCGGATTACCAACAATCCTTCCGTTCGGCTTCCATATCAGAAAGTTCTTTTCGAGGCCGAGCGAGATGATATTACCTTCAGTCGCATCCTCTGTGTATGTCCACTTCGAACCGATTTTCTCCTTGAGCATCGCTGCGACTGTGCCCAGCTGAGTGGATGCGCTACCTTGCGCAGCTGCAGCCTCGATATCTTCGTCGGTTGGCTCGTTCTGTGGCATACGTGGATCTTGCGAGTTCTGTTTGTTAGACCTAGAATGTGCCTTTTTCCGAGGCAGAGATGTCTGCTGCTGACTAGGTCCAGCATGTAGAGTTGCACCTTCGAGCTCGGCTTGAGTCAGCTGACCAGATTTTACCATAGCTTGTAATTTTGTCTGCGCAGCGAGCTGCAGGCGAAGCTCTTTGATCTGCTCTTGCAATGACTCGAGGTAGAAGTTTTTCGTTGCGTTGTCCTCTTTCAATGTCTTCAATTGCTCCACCTGGCCTGCGAAGTAGTCGTTACGTTTGGCTGCGGCCTCTGTTTCCCGAGTCTTTGCGTTTTTCGAGATAGTATCTGCGAGAATCTTAGCCTCTTCGTGCTTCTTTCTTAAATCTTTGAGTTCCGCTTCGATCTTTTGACATTTGCTCTGGTAGCGAGTGGCATCTTTCTCAAGCTGGCCACATTTTTCACGTAGAGTCTGCTCCGCAGCAACTGTTTCATCGACTTTACTCCTGGCCATGACAACTTCCTTGGCATCTTTCTCAGCCTGCTGCAACGCCTTTATTTTGTTGTCGACGGCTTTGGCGACCTGGTCTTCGAAGTAGATTCTTTGACTTTCGAGCTGCGATGTCAGCAATTGCGTATACTCAAATGCTAGATTTTCTCTTTTGGCCATGTCCAGATCCTGGTCAACGTCTTCCAAAGCTGTCGTTTGACCTTCTTTACGCCGACCAGGAAGTTCAAGCAATTTCTCGTCACTTGTGGAGGAACCATTGGCTATTATCCTATGGACATAACAATCTCGGTCGTAATCCCAGACGCGCTGCGTTTCGAGGTCCAGGGCAAAGGTGTGTCCAGTCTTCTCGAAGTGCCGGTACGCATGCTTTCCAGCATATCGTCCGCAGCCAACATCGCCACAGATAAGACATTGCCACAAACTCTGTGTGATATGGCACTCGTGGCATTGATAATCCTCGTCATCGACTTCGTACTCACCATGAGAGTTCAAACGTTTTTTGGTCTTGATAGACCGGGTAATGCCTGTATTGAAACTGTCGTCCTTAAACCGGCAGACAGGACAACCATAACCCGACCACTTTTCTAAACATGTACAATGGAAGACGTGCTGGCAAAGGTTCGTAATGAGACCAGTAGATTCATCCATACGTTCAAGGCAAACAGGGCATGTGGGCAACTCGACTAGCGAAGGTGTAGGAGGAGCGAGAGGCTTGTTAAAATGTCCCATGGTCTTGACGCCATTCGCATTCACGCTTTCTGCACGAGTTCTAGGATGGACCACGTCTCGATTGTGCCACACCTCGACAGATTTGACAAAGACAACATGACAAGTTTCAGGTTCCATCGTGTTAAATAATTTCGTGTTCCAGTCGCTCTGCCACTGACGAGCAAACCTGCCGTCTTTGAACTTCATGAGTACCATGTAGCGATTGACTCTGCTCGTTCTCACCATCCTAAAATGGCTGACAGCATTCCTTGTATCTGGTCCCACAAAAGCAAGAAAGTCCCTGGGAGTCATGTAGGAAGGAACCGCCAAGATGGCGAGCATAGTACAATCTTCATCCTTTGGTGGATGGGAAGAATAACTTGCAGGAGGTCGAGCTTTTGCAGGAGCACTGCCATGCCATAATTCTGAAGGAGTGATGCGATCGCTCTTTCGATAGAGGCCTGGTGTTTCCTCCACGTCCCGATACAGGTGTACAATGCCACGTTCTCCTGCATCCGTCTCCTCTGTAGCAGCAAAAGCAGCTCTTGTCTGAGCACTTGCTGCCTTGGTACCTATGCCGGCAGTGATATCGTCTGTAACCTCCACTACCACATCATCTATTCGTTCATCATCATGCGATGAGGCAGTGACGTTCGCTGTGATGGGAGATTGGCTAGAAGAGGAGGACTTGGTGCGCATGCTGTCGTACTTGTGGTCGCGCGAGGCTCGTGCTTGCTGAGAAGTGAACGGATTTAGCGCACGGAAAGTCTGTGATAGATTAATGGGCGACTCAGTGCTATGATCAAACAATTCTATTCCAATATGATAGAAATAGTCGGGCATAATGTCTGCATCGAGTGGCAACGAATATGGCGATATCAGGTCAGAGGTGTAAATACACTGCAGGATGCTGAACAAATAACCATGGTTAGTTGGCAAAGACTTTGTCCCAAGGCAATCGCTTAATATTTGGTGCCTGCTAGAATCACCTTGCAAGATCAGCTGTTACGCCAGGCAGGAGCGTACCGAAGTAGAGGTTGGCAAATTCACGAGGTGGTGGAATAGATTGTACTAATGTGCAAGGGTGCGAATCGTGCAGCGATGGTTGCTAAACCAAAAGGAATAGTCACATGCAATGAAGGTAAGATTTGTAACGAGGGTCATCAGATGTATTCAGAATGATTGCATGCAGGAACATGCTGCAATGCATTCGCTAAATCGCTATGTATGCCCTAATTCCCCATCACTCCTCTCAACACGCGTGAGATAACCGATGCAAATGCTGAACATGTCGTAAATCATGATGTCAATCACAACTTCTTACTGACCACCTCGAAGCCGAAGCACCAAGTGCAGAGTGCTCTCCTTCTGAATGTTGTAATCAGACAGAGTACGTCCA